CTCTTCATGGCGTCAAACTTTTGTGCGGGAACTTAAATGACACCCTGTACATGTGTTATTCAGAAAACCATGCATACATAGTTAATCATTCTGATTCTAATAATAATAATAATAATAATAATAGAAATAAGGTTGAATGGGAAAGAGAAAAATCAAGAGAATATTTGATACATTTCGATCAGTGTTCACGAAACTAAACGATTAATTTGGTCCGTCATGCATATAATAGTAGTTGGATATTTAAATGAATACAATTTCCTTTTTTTGGTGACCATTTATGTCTGCACAGAGCCAGTCCGGAACTATAGATATTTGAATCGTTATTAAGAGACTCTCGGGTTACAAAAAGCTTTATATTTCTTATACTCAGATTGGAAATGAATTTCATTTCTCGATGAACTCAAAATTTGACAATACCATAAGCAGAATGAATGGATTTTCAAAAAATGCACCTAAGGAAATGCACTGAATTTTCGATGGCGTACTACTTTTGAATTATTAATTCAACGGGTATCTTCAAATTTATTCGATAACATGAGTTTGAAATGGATTTCGCAAGTATTATTCGGAAAAAAGACAGAGACTTGACCAGTAATTTGGTGAATATTCAAAATCAGAAATTTCATTTTTATACCGAAGTTACTTTTAGCTCGTTCAAATAATAAGTTTAACTATATTAAACGTTTTCTAGAAGACATATATTGCTTGCTGAGAGCTTTAATTAAAGAAATTTTTGCGTTAAAATATCAGAAATAAGAAGATAATCCTAAAAAGAATTCCATAGTGTTGTGTGAATTCAATTATATTTTTTTATGTTAAATTTTTTTCGGTTCGCATCAATTTTTTTTTCAAATTAGTTGGTGTATTAGGTAGCATAATATTTTTTGTATCGCTTTTTTTCCTACGATTTCCCATTTTTGTACTTCTTTCCCATGCCCTTTTATTCATGCCCAATTCTTCATCTATTCTCAATTTGTTAGTATAGTTAAAATAAACCTGGATGTACATAAAACTGTGCTAATTTTTTGTATTTCTATTATCACCACTAGAGTCTCTTTTGTTCTTTCGATCATACTATGTACTACACGTCAATGACACTCAATCATGCTTCAAATACATAAGCAATTCTCAGAAGCAATCGCATCTTCTCAATTGAAATTTATTTCAGTCATAATTCAAACATCTTTTTTTCAGTTACTAAATTTCGAAAAATAAATCAACAAAAATGATTTATATCCATTGGCCGCATTTTTTTCTTCCAAAAATGTTCGCAATTTTATCTTTTATTTTCAATCCATTATTTATTTATTTGGTTATCACGGCATCGAAACCAATTATGGGAACCTACAAATATCTCCTTGTATTTTTTGCATGTTTCGATATGTCGTATTCAGCGGTCGAAACCATCATTCCATTTGTAAGTCCAGTAAAAATTCAACAAATTTAAGAATATTCCTGGAAGCGATCAGGAGTTATGTTTTAGCAAATTCTTAAAAATAATTCAGGCAATTCATGGTACTGGTAATGCAATGGTCGTATTCTTGAGTGATGGACCATTTCTTGACGTAATTTATTGGAAAAAAAGTTGTTATCTTAATTAGTAATTTTTGAGGATCTATATTTGGGCAAAATCGCAATTTCCTTTCGCTCCTGTTTTATATCATTAAGTTATGGAATTCTCTCAATTCATTTTCTCTACCGATATTTGGCATTGTTCCAGTTAGACTTCTTCAAATTCTATCATAAAATAAAACCAATGTTACGGTACCAAAATCATTACATTATTCTTCAGCCCTCTTGGTATTACTGTAGTATTTATATTTTTCATACTTCACGGTGTTGCTTGGTTTTCAGTGAGTATTCTAATCCTTAGCGTTTCCTAAAAAAAAAGCGGCTACCAGAATTTTTCGCTGCAAGACCTTGTCGTTCACACGTGTTGCGGTTCACGTTTATTTAAAGAAACAGGAGCGCACGCGAACCGCAACGCGTCCGGCGACATAGAATACGATAGCCGCTTCTTTTGGGAAACAGACTATGAAATCGGCAATCACGCCTCGTTTGAAGATTTGCCAATTTCTGCTCAGCGACACGTTCGCCGTTCGCAAATTCTTCTATAATGTTATGATGGAATATTATAATTGTGATTCGTTTATTACGCCTCTATTTGCGGTTACTTATAAGGTGATTTATATGACGAAAATTCTTTATTTTTTTAAATTTGAAATGAAATACTTTAAAGGGTTTCGACACGACTTTTATTATTCGTAGTTGGATTTGTATATTTATTGCAACATTCATATCATTGTCTTCATTAATTATGTACGTAGTAATTGGAATAAGAGTAAGAAATGAACAAGAGAAACAAATAGGGAATATTCGCGAATTCAGATAATGAAGAATTTGAAAATTAATATGAAAATCAGCAAAAATAATAAGAAGGTGCACAGACAGCTGCTGAAAGTGTTGATTGTGCAGACATCGATTCCAATTTGCATCAGTTTCCTTCCTTGCGTTTGTGCTTGGTATCTGCCCATATTTGGAATTGATGTTGGAAGGTCTTATAATTGAAAAACAATGTATTAAAAATTAATTGCGATTTTTTAGACTAAACAATTATTTTGCGGTGATCGCCTTATCTGCATTCCCTTGTTTGGATCCATTGGTTATTATCAGTATGATTCCATATTATTCTACACCACTTATCCAGATGTTCCGGATCAAACGAAGTCAAATATTAAATATTACAACATCAACGTCGTCAAGAAATTGAAACAATTTGATTGCGTGTTCGTCGAATAAGAAAATTCAATTGACGAATCTTCCATTTCTTGACAAAAAGAATCTTAAAACATGACATAAATTCGAATATCTGTGAGATATCTCACTTGTATGTTATCACAGCAACACTCGACCCAATGTAAGGACCAACCCAATAAATGTAATGAAATGTCCAAAAGTTGTTTGGAATTGTTTTTGAAGAAAGCACGATTTCGGCGACAATATTCGGAGAAAGTGCTCGAACTGGATTCATTGCGGTGCCGGTTATCGAAGCGCTGAACAACCATTGGGTTTGATTCAATTTGTATATAATTAGATATACGTTGCAAATATATCAACCATTGCCATCATCCCAATAATGAATGGAGCCGCAGGATTCGAAAAAAAATTTCTTTTTGAGAAAGTGGCTGGCTATATTTACCGGTTTTTCTTGATCCATTGCAACTAAAAGAATTACAGTGACGAAAAAGTAAGTCGTGATGCTTTCGCTGATTATTCCCTGAAATTACCACTTTCATGTTCTCACTTTGAAATGGTTATAAAAAAATTATTCATTTATAATGAACATGTATTGTCGGCGTCCAACCACTGCTGTACGCGGGTAGATTTACGCGCATGCACCTTGAAAAGGTCTCGTCACGTCTGAACGGTTAGTTTTTTCTTGACGATTTTCGCATTTCCTTGAAACATCATTCGATTAAAATTATCGAACTGGTCCATAAAATTTGAAATGACTTGTTAGTCCGTGCGAGACCCAGAGAAAGACGCATCCCGTAAATCTAACCGCGTACAGCAGTCGCCGGACACCGATTATAGTATTTTAAATAAATATTTGAATTGTTGACGTGACCGTCAGAAAAATGAAAAATATTTTAAGATTGTTTTACTTTTATTGTACAATCTTGAAAATCAGAGCTTCTCACCTCCCACCAGTCATTCGAGCGGTTTAATAAAGTAGCTCCCGACGACGTCGCAGCTAATTGCGTTGTCAGCATTATCGACTTCTGCCATGTCGAGTTATTCCTTCTATTATATCCGGCACGAATACTCGAACTCGCCACAGCATTCTCAATATCGCCAATTGGAGTCCAAACAATAAAATCTCTTTGTCGTTGGAGACACTTGACAGGTATACAGGGATTTTCTAGCAAAATTTGGTAGCCACTTACAGCTGATAGAAGGCAAGCACAGAATCCAGCAGAAAATTGGGATAGCATGTAGAATGGCAGGTGCCATATCGGAAGTTTTCCAATGAGGGTAGCCGCCCAGGAAACAACTGGGTTGAAATGTCCGCCGCTAATATGGCCGAGTGTGAAAATGATCACAATCGTCGCAAAACCGTGCGTTAATGCAGAATGGGTAAGACCGTCAGGCTGCATAATATCGTAGACATTTGCCTGCATCGTGCCGCAAAAAATGAAAATGAAAACGCCGAGGAACTCGGCGTAGCATTTGCAAAACAGGGAATATTCCATATTGGATAGCGAATAAAGAGACATTCGCACAAGGTTTCAACGAATGAATTGAGGTGGATGTCGAAACGAAGAAGCTCCAAAAAACATATAGAACAACTCGTCAAATATTGTTGAGTTGACTCTTGGCGCATACCTAAAATGGGCAGTAGCAATGCTATTCGATTACATGGGCCGCTTCCTGAAATTTGAAGATTACGAACATGTGAAATTTAAGACCCGCGAATTTACAAAATTGAAAATAGCTAGATCGAAAACAAACACGTTTTTATTCCCATCTAGTTTTGGTCGAAATTTGTGTTCTATAAAGTGCATAGGTCCCATCGTTTCTTATTGTCGACGTCGCGCGACCGCAGAAAATTGGCTAAATCGCAAAAATATTAAGGAAAAGTCTCAGTGCGTTGTATGCGCCTTTAATATACATATATATCCTTATACTTAGGCCCGTAAATCTACATTTTTAGTTTGCGCTTAATTCAAAACGACAACACCATTTTTTGGCATTTAGCCAATTTTCAACAGGCGTGAGACTTTGACATGACTGCAGTTCAAGAAGCATAATCTTATTCTAATTTTTCTTTTTTTTTTCTTCGTTTTCTGCATTAGAATCGCTTGAAAGCGTCGGATCTAAAATTTGTCTTCTGAATTTGACTACAATTCCTACATAAAAACACTTTATTGCTATGATTTTTAGTAATTGTTGTGTTATATACAAGATTATTGGGAATTTGTGAAATTAAAGAATATATATTAGACATTCTTTTGAGAAAGGGGTTGATATTCAGCAATATCGACGCGGTCGATTGTTGTCATAATCTGAAATAATCGGCGTTTCGATTATGGACAATATCAGCCGAAATCTTACTCTTGAAGTGAAGTCATAATCTCCTGGGGTCTCGAAATAATCACCATCAGCAAAGTATTCGGTATCGCGCACTTGATCCCAGATTTTCAGTCTCAAAATCAGTCCGGTGATGGCTCCCGAGATGATTGAGGCGAGGAACACGATTCCGATAGCGATGACTTGACGGAGTGCCTGAGTTGATTCGCCGAACGAGCGGTTTCCGGCAGCATCGCGAAGCATTCCTGGATAAATTGAACCATAGCTGAAAAAAAAACCAACGAGCTATTCGAGGTTTGCTATTTATCTCATTTCATACTCATTCGCGTATCTCTTTTCATCGTAGATGGACACAAAGATAGCTGATGAGAATCCGGCAATCAATCCAGGCATTCCATGAAGATTGTGAACTCCGCAAGTGTCGTGAATTCCGAGCTTGTCGGAGAGGAATGGCTGAAAATCGGTCATTTGCTCACTTCGATGTATTTCTCTACATTACAGTAATGTATTTGTATCCAATAACTGAAATGAATCCAGCAATGCATCCAATAATCATAGCGTGGAATGGCTCAAGAACAATGTTGGCGGTGGTTCCAATAGCAACTCCTCCAGCCAACGTTGAATTCGCGATGTGGACCATATCGAATCGCTTCTAAATATGTGTAGCCTTCATGTCAACCATATTCTTGAAAATGCTTACATGCTTATCGACAGCTTGAGAGACTAAGAATGTAGTCATTGTGCATGTGCAAAGTGAGAGGAACGTGTTGGCAACGGCTCTCTGACGAGCATCAGCGGTTCCGGCAACAGCAGCATTGAACGATGGCCAGTAGATCCAGAGAAAGATGGCTCCGATCATAGCGAAAATATCGGTGTGGTAGGTCGAACCCTCGTGCTCATGTCCCCTTTGCTTTTTGTTTCCGAAAGCCTTTGCGCAAGCAAGTCCGAAATATGCTCCGAACGCGTGCACAACGATCGAACCACCAACATCGTTGATTTTGAGATTGTGAACGCAGATATGCTCAATGACCAAAGCGGCGGGCGTCTCGATGAACGCCATTATAATGTATTGGGATGGGCTCAATTTTCCAAGCATTGCTCCCATTGAAATGAGGATGACAGCGGCTGCGAAATCGGCTGTGAGAAGTCTGAAATATCATAACTACCAGGAATACATTACACAAATCTCCTATTTTGTTATATGCCATTTCTCTTATCATCTATCATCATTATGATTTTTGAGTAATGAGAATTCGTAGATTTTATGCAATTTCAATTACGGGGCATTTTATGGGTTTCTTTGCGATAAGCAGAAGCTAATTAGATAAGATTGTATCAACCTACTGTTCTAGAGAAATAGTGAATTTGAGATGGGGATGGTGGGTGCTGCAGAAGCCACGAACAATGATTCCCCATTGGATTGTGAAGCAGGCGAGGAGCATGTTGACAGACACCGCTGAGAATCCGTATCTCTGAAAGTCTCGACTATTCGGACGCTGATTCACAAATCATTTGAACCTTGAGGAATGTCATTAGGAATCCGAAACCGATGAAGATCATGACATGGGTGTCTTGGAACACTAGAATTAAATTCAAATTGAAAATGAATTGTGTTGACGGTATTTTTTACTTGGGTACATCGTGGGCATCCGAGCTTCCTCATTTGCAGCAGCTTCTCCTCCAGGAAGGGCAGATGGCGAATATTCAGCAAAAATGGCAAACAGCACCAAAAACGCTATCTGAATTCAATATAGATTCTAGTAATAGCATATTCTTCAAACTTGAAAGAATAGAATAAGCACAGTGAATTGGTGTTTCTGTAGAGCGGACCGCATTCTGCTTGGATTACTGAAAATAGCATTATTCAACAACGATTCGATGTCAACTATGTATTGATAAAAGTGAGGCAACATTTTGCACCGCAAGGTTCAACTCTTATCGTACATTGAAAGCACGAGGCGTGAACATTTTGCGAAAATCGAGACCATTAAAAGAAATTGCCCAAGGTTGATTCTTATAAGGGGGCGTGGTCTGTGCGAAGACAATTTACAAGAGGACACGCGCACACGAAATATTTTGTGTTTGGTTACAAATAATGCGATAAGATAAGATGAAAAGTATTTGAGAGGATATCAAGTGATTCTTGATTTTGCTGACGTTGATGTTCTGAAGATTCACCAAACGAAGTTGAAGAGAACTCATTGCAAATTGAATACAGCACAATATACATACATAGAGAGACAAACACATTTGAGAGAACAATAATCTCAACACGATTGGCAACAATGAAAATCGTTTAGAAATCGTTGTTTGAACTATTAAGTCTTGAATAATTTTAGTCAAATCGTGGAAAAAAAACCAACTGATCAAACTCGTATCGCTCTGCTCCTTTTCGCATCACATAGTTGTCCATACCGTTTTTCGCATATATTCCGCGTTCCGGGTATTCTGAAATTATTCTTCTAATTTTTTTTGAATGAAACCAAAACACATTTAATGTTGTTTCTTTTTTGATTGAAAAAACGAGGCTTAACACTTAATAAGATCAGATTAAACTCTAACGAGGATGTCAAAATGGGAGGAGCCGGGCAGAGGCCCAACAGGTTGGGGGTTCAAATTGTACAATAGTCAATTTTGTATTCCTATTGAACATTTTTAGTCATTGAGAATTGTTGAAAAACAAAAGGCTCATAAATTCAAAACACGATTCTTCCATTTTGATAATGTTTTTGAAATTGGGAAAATGTGACTAATGTATTGAAAAATCGAAAAAAAAACAGTAACGCTGAAAAATGCATATAAATTATGTGTTAAGGACAAACTGTTGCGCCGCTGGAAAAGTTGTCTGATCTACTGTAATTTTTTTGTATCTATCCCGAAAAAATTCAAGATCTACTCTATTACACATTTTGTAGCTGAAATTATAAATCCATGTGCTCAGAGTGGGCTCTTCAACCATTCGACTTGGCAAACCTACCTCCCCAAAAAAGATGCAATTCAAACTTTAAAAATTTCTAAATCTGGTCTACTTACGAGTAACTTCATTGCCATTTTCGAGACTTGCCGCTGTGAGAACCGTGGCTCGATTGCCTCGATCCGTCATACAAATATCGTGAACGGCTGCCATGTCTGTTGAGATCCTAAAAATGATAAGAAATTGATGAAGAGCAAACGGTTTCGATTCGATTCGAGATCCATTTCAAAAACCACTTGTCAATTCCTAATGTCAACAGTGTAGAAAATTTCTTGAACTTTTGGATTTTAAAAAATGCGAGCGAATAGAATGCGACTTAGTCTACACAGAGGATTAGAACGAAACAAGGTTCGAGAAAAAAAAAAACATAAATATTCCGGTTGAATTAGAAACATTTGTTCGTGATCTTTAAAAGAAACTAGGGGAAACTATCGGAAATATGTAGATGTTGTCTTTAGTTTGATTAACGAAATTCAAAATATTTTTTCAAATTTTTCGCGGGTTCGCATCATTGTCAAAAAATTGAACTATAGTGTTTATTAGGTGAAAAGTACTCATTAAATACAAGACGAAGACCAATTGCGGATCATGTCGTCAAAAAATAAATAAACTTCGCGTTGTTTTGTTTATTTGCTGTTCAGAAAATACAAAATTTTCATTTTTTATTTGATCATTGAAAATCGCACTAACGGCGAATATTGTATAATAGGAAGGAATTCCTGGAATTGAGTGTGTACGCTTAAATGCCCAAACAAAGATATTGGCAGGAAACGAAAATTTTCTCGAGGAATTTTGAAAATATGCTTATTTGTCGAACGAAAATTGTTAGTTCAGATTCGGTGTTCTATTGTTGTTAGATGACGCGAAAACCGAAGAAAAATAAATAGTAACCATAGAACTCTTATACTCATCTTCTCGAATTGTTTCCAAAAAAACTAGACTTGCTGCTGATTCATCGATTTAATTATTCATCGATTTTTATTGATTCATAAAATACGTGCAATTTTTCTTTTCTGAAATCTAAAAATGGAAACGAATCTGAAAACAATACAATTATTCGATCTTTTTTATACATATATTGTCGGCGTCAAACGACTGAGTGGATTCGAGGACTTCAAATTCGCGAAATCAATGTTTATCGTTGACTGAATATTAAATGCGCGTACGCTATAATGCAATGTACGCAGTATCGCGTATTTCTCGCTGCCTCGTGACGTTGGCATAGCCAATATTTTTTTTAATTTCGTCAAGTCGTTTGACGCCGACAATATTTATTTAAATAAATTGAACAAAATTGCAACTGTTTTTTTTTAATAATTAATCGTTAGAAAATATTGATTTTGCTTGCTTAGGATAAAAAGGAAACATGAAAAAGGCATATCGGATAAAAGAAAACGTATTAACTCCTAAAATGTGTTTTTTTCAGAATTAAAGGAATATTTAAAGAGGTTTAGGCTGACCATAATTCTATATAAAATCGCGTTTTCAGTAATAATTTTCCTTAAACTTTTTGAATCATCATAAAATTTTGAGACATTACTTGAAATCCTAAAAGAAAGCACATTATTTAGTGGACCACCCCAAATATGATGGTCCCTAAAACTTGAGCATGAGCCTGTCCGAAGTTTATTCCAGATTTTTTCTACAAAGAAAAAATGGACTAAGGAAAAGGTAATAGCAAGTATCTTCAGCAATCATTGACGATCTTCGCTGCACGTGGTGATCATCTCGTTTTCTGTATCAATCTGACCTTAAATCACCGGAATTGAATGTTTGATCTGAGAATTCTGTGAAATGAATATTTTGCGACTTTGGTTTTGCAAGAATGATGAAAATGTGGAGATGTTTGATATGATAAAGTAATTTATTACTAGCTAACCAATTGCATCAAGACAAGTAACAATGCGTAATCGAATTCTGAAATGTTCGCAACCAACAAGGGAGATTCTTTCGAAAAATATAACATCAGTAACAATACAAAGCAAAAACCCAGAAAATTGATGGTTCAAAAGAATACTATAATAGTAGATTACTATTCATGATAAAAACCTGGAATAACAATTTTTTAAACAATTCTTCCACATTTTTGCAATTTCCTATCAGCGTTATTTCATTTAAAAAAATACAGGGTGTCATTTAAGTTCCCGCACAACTTTGAAGACGTATATTTCTGAAACTAAAGGTCCAAATCAAACGAGACTCGAAATATTTTTTATCTATAGTATAACAAATATTTATCCATTAACTCTTTTCGATTCGGCCTCCTTTCGGAGCTATGACTTCACAGAGACGCTTCGGGTAGGATGCGACTGTGGTACGCAGGTATTCGATGGAAAGATTGTGCCATTCCGCCAGTAATGTCTTCTTCAGAGTCTCTACACTTGAGTGGGGTTTTGCGTTGACCTTCTCCTGCAAGACCCCACACGGAGAAGTCAAGCGGGTTCAGGTCTGGGGACCAATCAGGCCATTCGGATGACTTGATGAAGTCGGGAAAATGGGTCTGGCACCACTCCTGAGTAGTTTTGGCAGTGTGGGCGGGTGCTCCGTCCTGTTGAAAGACCCATTTCTGCCCAACGAAATGCGTTTGGGTCCAGGGCATCACATGCTCCTCTAAAAAGTCCCGAACGTAGACTTCTTTGTTCATTTTCATCCCCTGATCTGCAAAAACCAGGGGCGCTTCCCGGTTGAGCAGATGGCACCGAAAACCATCATACTGGCAGGATGTGAGGCTCGATGTATTGTTCTGCTTTTCTCAGAAGCTTGCTGGGATGTCTGGGCAAGTACTCGATGGTTTTGTGAGTTGAATGCCGCCTCCACAGTGAATAGCTTCTCGTCGGAGAAGACAGTGACGAGATGTTCTCCAGACTGCGTGCGAGCAAGAAGTTGTTTTGCTTTTTCGAAGCGTCTCTGCTTGTTGACGGCCGATAGAATTGCCGCTTTTTGGACACGATATGGGGTCAGTCCAAGCTTCGTTTTGACGATTTGTTCCATAGCGAAGATGCTCATTCCCACGTCTGACGCCATCTTTCTCATGCTCCTGTGGGGGTTTCGCCTGATCCTCGATTTGACGGCGTTTATCTTCTGAGGAGTGGTTACTGAGACGAGTCTTCCTTGTCTGGGACGGTCACTGGTCGTATTTAGCTCCTTGAAACGTTTGATGGTGTCGTAAACCGTTCTAAGAGGCACACCGAGGCGTTGAATGATGTCTCTCAGGCTCACATTTTGCTTATGAAGTTCGATAATGGAAGCGCAATGGATGTTAGCCTTCGCCATTTCTCGGAAACACATCCGAAAGAGGTGAAACTTGGAAAGTAAGTAAAATATACCTTATTTAACAAAAATAAATTGTATTGGTGCACGAAAAGTGCGCCAGCCAAGCTCTTCATGGCGTCAAACTTTTGTGCGGGAACTTAAATGACACCCTGTACAATTATGGTGCCTGATTGATGCGTACGATACTTGACGGATATTTTTTGATCTTTTCATTTTTAAGGAAACTGTCTAGTATTTCTTTATTATTGCCGAAAAGAAAATCTAACAAGCAATTAAAATGGCACACAAAATTATGTACATTTAAAGCATTATATGCGATATTCGATTAATATTCTCCGCCACCAAAGTCGCCACCACCAAAGTCCCCGCCACCAAAGTCGCCACCGCCAAAATCGCCACCATCGAAGTCGCCGCCGCCAAAGTCATTGCCTCCATAATCCATTCCAGTTCCGTAGTCTTCATTGGCATTTCCGTAGTCATAGCTGTCATTGTTGCCACCGTAATCTCCTTCATTTGCGTTTCCATAATTACTATCTGTAAAAATATGAATTAATACAAAATAATAAAACTAGACAAACCATCATTGCGATCCGGCTGGTGATCGTGTTCGATCTGAAATTAAAAGTAAAACTACATAACAGTTTTTAAAAGAAATTGAACAAATTATGGTTAAAGAGCATGCCCGAATATTAAACTGAAATAGTGGTGTTAGATAATGTATATCTCTAATGTATAATAATAATAATTATTATTATTAGTGAAATGTTAGAATAATGCAATCACCTCATTCTGTGGATGGTTAGAGACACTCGCATTCGTATGACTATTGGTCGTAGTCTAGAAGGAAAGGAAGGGTTCACAACACGATTAAAGGAAGTAATCAATTCGTTTAAGGAATTCTTACCTCTCCGGCATTTCCTGTCGAGTTATGATCCGCGTTGCCGCCATCTCCATAATTGTAGTAGTTGTTAGTAATGTTTGTATCATTGTCCTGAAACATTTCACCGTTTTTCCCAGCAATGACATATCATATTTCTTACTGAGTAGTAGCCACCTCCCATTCCATAACCTCCTCCAAAACCACCCATTCCGTAGGATGGAAAATACGAGTGATGTCCTCCCCACATCGATCCTAGACCATAACCGAGAAGACTTCCAGCAAGCATTCCAGTTCCGAATCCCATTCCGGTCCCACCGAATCCTGAGCCGCCTCCGCCGTAACCACCGTCTCGAACAATGACGGTTGTGTGGGATGGTCCACTGCCACCACCATAGCCTCCTTGTGGATAGCCACCACCTCCTTGATATCCGCCATAGCCCGCTGGCTGAGGTGGGGGACGATATCCGCCACTGCCAGGTTGTTGTGGATATCCACCGGAGTGTGGTGGATAACCACCTCCACCGGCCGCAACGGGTTGAACTGGTGGCGGCGCATCTGGATATTTTGGTGGAGGCACTGAAATTGTAATCGTTTTGTTATGACGTTCAATAAAATCAAAACTACCATATCCACCTGATTGCACCGGTTGGACAGGTGGAGCACCACCTGGTGCAGGAGCTCCAGGATTTTGTCCTCCTGGTGGTGGATTTGGTTTGGGCAACGTTTTCGTGATCTCATTAAACCATGATTCAATATCGCTGTCTGAAGAGAACAGAATCCAATGGACTGTTTCTGCTTTCGGATCCATTCCAATTCCGACCAGATGATGTACGGAACTTCCATCCGGTACCTGTGGACGTTTTACCGGCATTCGGTCGGTCATTAAACCCACACAAATATAAGGAACAACATCCTTCAAAAGGATGCTTCCTTTCGGTTTCCTGTCACCCTAAAAGCTAATTAGTATTATTTTTCACATTTTTTAAATTCGAATTTTGGAAGTTTTTAATTGAATTCGGAAGTAATTGTGAAAAAAAACATTAAAAAATTAAAAACAAGAATGGGGTTAAATTACGGTTTAAATATTGTTTAATACACTTCGCTTTATTTCCACCCCATAAAATCAAAAAATACGTTTTTGAAAAAAATTAATTCTGAATACGGTAAAGTATCATTGTCAGAATATGAAATAATATACAAATATAAGTGATTTCTAGACCCGCAAGAAAAAAATTTTATTTAGATTATTAGCTACGAAGTTTCCTGGTTCACGATTTAAACCACATTTGCTATTTTTCTCCCTTTGCGATACATTTCGCCTTTCAAATTTTGCATAAAATCACGTACTTTTTCCTCAAACCAACAAAAACGTGAATCGCTGAACAGCACTGCGTGCATCTTCTTCCATTTCGAACCGAGGAAACCGGATTTGTATTTTAGAATATCGCCTTCTTTTAGTTTTCGAATATCCATATCTGAAAGAAAAACATGCTGAAGTGAAAAAATTCGCAGAAAAATGACAATATTGGAAGTTTTGAATTGTATTGACTAAACGATATGCAAATTCTCGACTACAATAGAATTTGCGAGAAAATTGAGCTACTGAAATAGCAACATTTTTAATTTTTCCTCGAGTAGCTAAATAGGTATTTAATAAAAAGAAAAAGCATAGAAATGAAATTTTGCATAGCGAAAATATTAATCAAAACAAAAAATGTCGATGAAAATATCCTCTGGTAAATGAAAAAAAAATCGAAAAATATTCTACATCAGAAATAAATTATTACTTTCAAATCAAAGGCGATGTTTTCTAAAACAAATCAGGCTGATTTGAATGATTTTTTGTGATATGATTGATTTTCATTTTCTATTTTTGTCCAATTTTATTTAATTTTATATACAATTTGAATAAAAGGTTGAAAAAATGGGATGTAAATTGATAATTATTATTTGTTCCTATATTCCAATCATAAACAGTAGTGAAATGAAAATTTATGGAAACATTTAGATTATCAACATCTATATTATCAGAAGCTTGTGAGACATTCTATAATTTAAGGTGCACTACTCTGATATGTTATAAAAATAAAACTAAACCTATGTCAATAGCGTTATCACAGTTGCAGAACATGTTTGTGAAACTAGAGAATATTGAATTCGGCGAAAATACTAAAATAGGTTTTTTGGTTGCCAGGTAACGATGAAAACAATTAGGAAAAAAGAAAGAAAGGTAACATGGAAAAAAGGAGTTTTATGAGAAACTGAGTCATGACAGACGAATGGAAGAAAAAGGAAATTTTTTCATATGAAAGCAATAAATAAATATAATAAAAAAAGGAATTGAAAACCAGAAATGGTGTCAATAAAAAGAAGATATAGAGAGAGTAAGTGACGAGAGATTGTGCACAATGCGGAGTTAGCAGACACGCGGAGAACAATGCCGTCAAAACACGTGATGGATATTACGAAATTGAAAGCATGACTCATGCTTTTTCCAGAAGTATTTCGAATGTTACGTAATTTTATTGCCGAACATGAACGATGGGTCTCGATTAAAATAAAATAAAAATTCTATCAAAATTGTTAGATTGAACGCTCAACAAATATAAATATACCAAAGTGTCGGCAAACAATAACGCATTTTTGAAGAAAGATGGAGATTCGCAAATAAGTTCTTTCGAATCAACACAACTCGACTAGACCAAAAAAGATCGCTTTTTTGAAGTTGTTTGAAAAAAAAACGTAAAACAACACTGAAGATTTACTCCGCATATGTTTTAGCAATTAAAAACCAAAAGAAACTCTCTAGACCTTGTGCGAAAAAAAATTTTGCAGAGAATATTGCCGCATTGCCGGCGATCGCCGAAAATTGATTTATGTGTAAAAAAAAATTTAAATAAATGTAAAAAATGATAATTCTTTATAGTTTTTACTGCGCCGCCCGTTTAAAATGTTGAAGATTGTGGAAAATAATAATTCAAATGTAGATTACGCAAAACTCAGTTTTTCTCCAACATCTGCCTAGAACCATATATACGGTACTATGTAGATTTCGCAGAACGAACTCAAGAAACTGCTAAAATACTGTTTAAAAAAATTCTAAAAATTCCATGCAGATTGGGCAAAGTTTTGGAGTCTTTTGATATTTCTTCTTAATATCTGCAAACTACGATAAAATCTCCCCCTCACCCGCAAAAAATGCGTAGAATATCGTTGCGATCGAATGAATTTGAAGATTTAAAATTTTCGAGCTGCTATTTAATGGGTCACCTAATCAATGGACTCATTCTCCGCACGCCATATGGCGCTTTCGTTAACAACCAATGCACTCGAAATTCACTAAAAATTGTTTTATTTTTCGCCCATATGAATGGCTAAACTCCCCACATTTTTTTTCAAAATATCATTTCATTTTTTCAATAAATTCATTCCCTTGTAATTAAAAACAGTTTGTGTTAACCAAATCTGTTTATTTGCCATCAACACAAGATGTCTCTTCAAAAACACATCATTTATGTTCGCCCGTAACAAAAGATAAGATTAGAAACAATAACAATTCAAGAGTCTTCCGATGAAGTGTCTTTGAAATGAACTGTCTTCGCCTGTTGCATTAACAATTCATTTAATGCGCTGATTTTTTCATCAAGAAATTTATGATATGCTGAGAGAAGGATGAGATTTGATCTGAAAAAATTGACTAACCAACTTGAATGTGCAGGTCAAGCTATGAGAATGTACGTAAATATATTTATATTGTCGAAGTCAAACGACTTGACGAAATAAAAAAAACATTATTGGCTATGTGCCAATGCGTCTCGAGGCAACGAGAAGTACGCGAGACTGCGTACATTGCATTATAGTGTACGCGCATTTAATATTCAGTCAACGATTAATTTAAATCTACACTGATTACGCGAATTTGAATGCCCCGCCTCATTTCAGTCGTTTGACGCCGACAATACAACAACATAACATTTTTCAAACTCACGCAACAAAAAACAAATGAAACAAGATGATTCCGATTGTTATCCAAGCAAACTTCGAGCCGGTAACGCTTATAATAAGAAGACCGAAAAAACCGAAAATCAATGAGCCTGCGAGAAAAATAAGCATGACCAGTTGAGGTTTCAACAACTTGATACTGTTTTTCTGAAAAAAAATCTGTCTGAAATCATAAAATTTTTAATACTTGAACCGCCACGATTGTGAGCAAAATAGTGGCAAAGTGAATCAAATGAAAGAGAATCCAAACAATGAAAAATATTCGATAGACCATCCAATAACGGATTGGATTGGCTCGTCGCATATACTGGAAATACAAGTTTTCGATTAATTTTCGATAATTTCAAATTACCGCTAATGTTAAACGATATATGAATAGTTTTTCATGCCATTCGGAGAGTGTGAGAAATATGATTCCAATACCGATACCAATAATGGATGTGATCATACTCACTACACAGTGTACATAAACCCATGTCTGCAAAGTCTGCAGTTTTTTTATTCTTCATACATTTTTAAGAAAAAATTTATATGCTAGAATAAATGGTTTCTAAAGCTTGATCAACTAGATTTTCATGTTTCCGCAAGTTCGAAACTCTCTACGTCATGAAAGTTGTCCGAAATCAGATGACCACTTAAACTAACTGTCTCAATGTACCGCCTAGTTTCCAAAAAATGATGCAATACACATTCCGCGTCATTAAAATGTGGCGCGATCCCTGATTTCGCATTATCAACCTGTTTTTGAAACCTTTCGCTATCAATAAACATTCACATAAAATGCCGAGCAATATGTTCCAAAAAGCGTTGGTTTTTTGTTTTTTTTTTTCGTGAATAAGCAGTTTACTGTGAAGAAATTGAAAACCTGAATGTGCAATCGACAATATCTATAAGTTTTCTCAGAATCCACAATATTCGAAAATGGTCCCTGATTCGAAAAATGATAGGCCCCTGCAAAAATTTCTTTGCAATTTTTACACACACGTGTTTCAATCGTTTTGAACACCGACATGTTATTCTTGGAGATTGTCAAGTTGATCAGTGATGTTAGAGAAATAACGAGTTGGCCACGCGATAACGAGAGATGGAAAAATCAGTGATTCGAAGGCAAAGTCAACGGTGTCGCTACCTATCATAATATTTTCCAAATCCAAACCTTGCATTTTTCTTAGACTAACGAAATAATGGCGTGTAGCGAATATGCGAAAAGCTGAACGAATTGAAGTGAAGAAAATCGCGTTGTGAAGCAATTGAGCAACTGTTTTGTGTCTCATCAATTTTGACTTGTGCATTTTTTGAAACAATGTTTCGAAAAGTTTTATTTGTTTTTAAATCGACACAGACCCTTAAAAATAATTTTTAGACGTGTAAAAAATATATTTGGGTACGGTATGTATATTATGTGCATTACATCGTCGCATTACATGCGGATTTATGTTATTTTACAGTTAAACGGCCGGCTCCTAACATTTCTCATCAGAAAATTGCATATAGCCGGTCTCATTGCAATTAAATTGGAATTTGTTTTTACTGAGATCATCTAATCTCATTTTCACTTCATGTTGTTTGTCTATCCTATCGTTTTTCGAGTTGTTGTCTGGGCATTATAGTATGAAGGCAAGCGCAGAAGTGATCCTCAACTTGTCAGGGGTCACAGAAACGTTTCGCAGTGTGTTTGTGTGCTTTACTCGGCTCCTGAGCGCTACCCGCTTCTCTCAAAATACACAGAGAAATTGCGTAGTGTGATAACGGGCCGCCCGTAGAACGACGCTCGTTTTCTCTTTTCTTCTAGAGAATTGTCTTTCTATAATTGACCGTGAACTATCTCACATATTAAGCGCGCTCATTTTTCAAAACGATTTTTCTGTTATTTCTAATTATTCTCTCCTTACATGCCATTAAATTTGAAATATGTAATTTATTTTTCAGGTCGTTGGGTTAAACTGCTGCAAGCTCACGGAATACTGGAAATGTACCGAGTAAGCCTGCGACATTTTCAAACTTTAAATATTTTTAATAGGTGTTTGATAAATCCATTAGTTTTTCGAACCGTCCCAATTCATCATAATAAATACCTGGCATCAAAATTGATCCAGGTAATTTCTAATTAAGCATTGTAAACTGAAAATTTCAGTTTCAAACCAGACATGTGAACTGTGCCCTTCGTTCTTCCACGAGCTATTCGCCGCCAAAATCAAAGTGCTCATCGGCCTCCAATACGCCTCCACTATCACCAAGTTTTGATTCAAATGATTCCAAACTGCAACTGATTGGTAGAAGTATATCAATTTCTAATGTGTATGCATTTTGATTTTTTAAAAATTTTTTTCGTAATCATACTTTTTAGACATCCATTCATAAACAATTCTAAGACGGATAAATCAAAAATGAATAAGAAGCAGACAAAAGAGCCGACGGTCAAAGCGCCAGAATGCGCAATGACGCCACCATCGACACCATCGTCGCCGACGGATGAAAATGAGAGTATCGAATTTCTATATAATAGTAAGCGGACATTTTTCGTTGTGATAATGCTGACGAATAATGTAGGCTGGCAAAAGTTCGCTACCACGGAGACTGGAGAACCAGATCACTCAATAGTTGTCTATCGGCCAGAAAAAGATATTGCCAATGATTTCGTGGTAAGATTTTCGTTTTTTTAATTGAGAAAAAATTAGTGGTTTAATTGTTTGGCGTTATTGAAAAAATCTGTGTTTGTTATTCATAGTCGAGATTGAATAATGGTTGAAATGGTAAAAATTGAAAGCTGAAACTTTTCAAAAATACGATTTTGCACTTTTAAGAACTTTATGCTTTCAGCCATTCGACATTGATCGATTTCTTGCTGAACGCCTTTTGAAAGAACTGGACATCGACCCAAAGTTGGCTCTTTTCTAAATTCCCTTATTTGAGTCATAGTTAGTATAGTGTTTTTTTTTTATTTTCTTCTCCATTTAGTTAGATTTTTCATTGTGGTTAGTGATAGAACCATAGAGTAATAGAATATCATAGGAAAAATAGGTTAGTGGTAGAAATGCCATTGATAGCCAAATGTTCATCTTTCAGTTGTTTCTCATTTTAGCCGTGTTACGTTTTTTTCTCCCCTCCAATCTCGGTGTTTTGAAGTTTGTTGAACTAACTATTACCATCGCAAAAAATCGAGTAGCTTGAATAATTTTGGGGCCATCGCATTTTTTCGAGCCGTCAGTTCAAATTTGAATTTAAACAGTGAATTCTGGTACCGCGCAACGAATAACCTGCGAATCAACTTCACCATACATCGGCACAGGGTGCTCGTTTTTTGCGATTTTAATAATTTCTCCGACCTTTATGATTTACTGGTAATTACGGTTCTCACTCATCCTCGCACAACCACAATCCCCACACAATAATCGTTTCCGCGAAAAGTTCTTCTAGTGTTCTGATTCGTAGCCAAATGAGATGCTTAATACATAATATGCGAAGAATTGCTAGGCTAAACATTATCTTGTCATATGAATTGTGCCTGGTTCGATTACGGCCATTATTAATGCTCACACCTGCGAGTTGCTCAATTGCCCCTATCCTATCCTCTTTTCATTAGATCCTTTCCCTTTTGTTATCCCTCTCCCCAACCCCAACCAATTTTCTGTTTAATCGCATATCAGTTTCTTTTTTCTTATTTTTCCTGTAAATAGTAAAAATAATTTATTAGATTTCGTCCATCCAAACCCTTCCGATGATTTTTTTGCCCTTCTGAAGATTAGTTTTCTTTTTTTGTTTTCTCTTTTTTTTAATACCCGATTATATTTTTCTCCGTCTTTTTGATTTGTGTTTATGTTCATTTTTTATGTCAAAATGAACTTCAAACTTCGATGTAGAAATCAATTTAATGTGTTTTTTTTTCGTGATTTGAATAAAAATCATGTTTTTGTGGTTTCAATCACATTTTTAAAACTACAGTAAGTAGTTGGGGAAAGCAATCAAAGATTCAATAAATAAATGTTTAAAAAATCAAGACGAGATATTATAGGCAATATTCATTATCAGCGTCCTACTCCGGCCTTATATTGACTGACGATATACAAATAATATGAATGTACATATGTGTATGTTTATTTTTGTAAAAAATAGTACACTTCGTAAAAAAATCAATAAAAATGAAACACCGGAAGAAAATTATAGAAAATTTATATTTAAAATTAAATTATTCAAGAAATTATTTATTCCCTTAATAATTCTACGGTATCGTTGTATAATTTAGATTTCTCTGAAACTGGAATATTTTTGCGGTAAGCTCAAAGTTTCATCCATTATTGGATTGTAAACAGCAGTTTCAGAGAGATTTTCTGTTTTCGAAGAGTTAAAGAAGATTCGATTCCCTAAATTGACATTATATTAACTGCCCACTTGTGTGAAGCGTCAATTGCGAAGTTACAGGTCAAAAGCGGTTCAAATATGTATCTATAATTAAAAGAAATCCATAAAACGTCTTGATGAAAAACATTTCAAAGAAAATTGATTATGAAAAAAATTATTAGCAGAAAAAATTTCGACCCGACTTTCCTCGATTTTTTTTTAATTTCTGCGCAAAACCTCTCTTTAAAATTCGAAGTGAAGTTCCGGAATCGGTCTGATCCGATAGTAATTTTACGTACAAGATTGTTAATTTGTTGGTTTCGAATGGTAATTGTTCGGACAATAGTTGCTTACATTTTTCGCATCTCTTTTAATGTAAAACCAATCGGATCCGCAAAATTGTCTGATCTGATCGAGTTATTGAATATTTTCGTGTCTAAGTGGTTATTTTTCCAATCGAATTTCGAAATTTCTCGCATAATGGTAACTTTTTTATCCGTTTCTAAAATTTGTACGAAACTTAAATTTTCTAAAAACGGAAAACGGAACCCGGAACAATTTTTTTTTTGACGTAGCACGGAACGACTTTTTGGTGATATAAAAAATAGTTTATTAAAACCTAATCCAACTCGAATACTTTAAAATTAACAGTGCAGAATGTGAGAGTTACCGTTAGAGTTACCGCTACCGTAACACACAAAATCAACAAAAATTTTTTCCGAATCGTTTTCGTTTTTTTTACTGAAATTCACTTTTTTTGCGAAACACGGAGATGGATCGCGGAATAGGAAAATGTCACGGAAAACGGAAGACGGAATTCCGTGCAGCTCTGATCAGCATAAATTTTGATTTACGATAATATACATATGTATCCTGTTAACACGAGATGAATCCTTCACAAAGATGTCTACGCATGTTTTCGAACAATTTAAATTCTTCGCAATCCGACGGTTCGACCATACTGCCGTTTTGAACGCGAGAATCTGAGATTGCTCAGAACTATTAAGACAATTGTCACACGGCATTTCAATGTGATTCAAAAAGAGAAAAATAGGAAACATTGCAGGTTCTTAAAGCCACAAAACAAGTCACAAGTTTTATGTACATACATATGTCCCGTCACAGTTTCGAAAAGGCTCCTATCATGGGGGTGGCTTTATAATTTTGCATCACTTGAAAAAAACGGTTTTTGACCACTACGCAGTTACTTTTATATTATAATTCTGAAACGCGCTGTACATGAAACAAATGTGAAGACTTTTGAATGGAGTTTTTGTACCTTTTCATTCTTCCATGTACCATGTTATTTTATGCGAACTCTTTTCAGGTTCTTTATCAATGACTACAATGTGCATTTGTACCAGAACTCTAGCGAAAAAATGACGAAAGTGTGCATCTTATCAGTAAATGACCAGGTACGGCTACAATCGACGGTTTGTTCAGATTGCACTAGGGTCTTATCAGTCGTAATCAACTTGATATTTCATTCAGTCTACTCTTATTTTCATAAAATCATGCTCGGTGTCACATTGTTTCTTTTTGTGATCACATGTAACGAGAAGTTCAAAATTCTTGAATTTAACAGTCTATCAGTTTCAATTATTCAACGATTTTTTCATTCAGGAACTATGTCGGAATTTATCATTGAAAATGTCCCATTGACGAAGCAATGGCTCGCTGATGTTATCGAGAAGAAAACGGGATTCCGGCCGAAAATCGGAACGGTATATTTTGAATTGAAGCAAAACGAGAATTCAAAGCTATCAGAGCCTTTCTCAGTGTTTGAAGGCCTATTTCGTTAATCGAAATTTTTTCAGAGCACTACATTGGACAATGCTGAGCTCGGCTACATGTCGCTCATCCGAAAAGTCGGCTTAATTTTCGATGACAATGCTCTTGAAACGAAAGCGAACCTTCCAAAAAATGTTGTTTTGAAGGTGATTCTGTGGTTAATAATTTACCAATAAAACGTTTTAATATACAGATTGCCAATGGTTCAAAATTAAATGGTGTCATTGAATCGGCTACTGGAAACACTGGAGTATCAAATGAAACAATGCTAATGGAAACGTTTATGCATAACACTGAATGCGCTTATTATAATCTTTTCGCTAATGGCATTGAATTACAAAATTGGGAAATCGTTAATTTGTAATTTTAGAAGAGGAAAAACCATTGAAAATTCCAACAATTTACGCTACAGAAGATAGTCGAACTGGAGCCACGCCGATTCCTGTGATCGTGATGGAGTTGTACGAGAACTGTAAAATTTATGATATTTGCCAAGGATTCAACGAATCGCAGGTATTAATTGAACAATTAACCTACATATATTAAATATTAAATATAATTGATTAAAGTTGTATAAAATTGTTGACGAACTTGTCAAATTGCACATTTACTCATTAACTACAACCAAATGGAAATTAATCAAAGCTGACCCATTCGTAAGTATTTTCTCTTCTTATTATCGAAACTTATTGGATTTTTTCAGCTCAAAGAAACAGCACCAATGTTCTTTGAAACCGTCAAGAGTATTTCGAATAATCTCTCTCAACAACCTGAGCTGGACGTCTTGAAGGTATCTCCTTGAATCGTACAATTTTCCTACATCAAGAAATTTGTTAAGGTTTTCAATCGAAATACCTTCGAAAAGAATCCGCAAATAATGTCCACATTCTCTGATGTTTATGAGAATGGAGGTTCGAGAATTAAAAATGAATTGAACTAATTGAATTTTTCGCGAATTTCAGAGAGAACAGCTGTGATTGCTCACGGAGATTTGTGGGCCCCTCAAATTCTTTGGGACCAAAATGACGATATCGCTGGAATTGTCGACTGGCAAATTGCTCACCATGGAAGTCCGGTGAGATTTTGAATTTCAGCATATATGTAGCGATTACATTTCGGTGTATTGCAGCTTGAAGACTTCTTACGCGTCATGTCCACTTGCACGACAGTTGAGAATCGCAAAAAACTTACCAAACCTCTACTCGATTATTACCATGAGCAATTGTCGAAGGGTCTCGAAGCGAAAGGTGTTAAAATACCGTATACCAGAGAGGAATTAGATGTATATAATGAACGATAATTATTATTCGTCTTGAAGAATACCAATTACAGGAAGAATACAAATACACAATGATTCATGTCGGCGCAATGACCATTTTTGCGAACGGATTCTGGGCAAACTCGCCAGTACTTCAGGTAAATGAAGATTCTGGAATCACTATAAAAAACGTTTGAAAATTCTTAAAATCGAAGTTTGTCCATTTTTAGACAGATGGAAAGCCGGACCCGGAAAAAATTGCGGAATCCTTTGGTAGATGCAGATCATTTATCGAAGACGTCATTGCAGCTCACAACATGGAATAATTGAACGTATTATCTGATTTATTGATTTCTTCATTCATTCAAATAAACATGAATTGGGAAAATTATAGATCCACAGATGATTTCAACAGATTATCCATATCTAATAAAAAAAAACTAAGAGTATCGAAAGTTGGGAAGGAAATAATAGAGAGAAAATAACGAGAGCATTATAATTATACAATGGAGGATTGGAAAATAACTAATTATATTAAAACGGTTCGAAAGTAATGAAAAAATCACAACACCGTAATTCGAACAAAAGTTAAGGATATCGCGATGTAACCACGCGGGTAGAAGAGAGCAAAATGAAAGAGGGAAGAGCAAGTTTATTGTTGTTGGCAGGAGACACCTGGTCCGTGATGTATTCTTGGACCACCGCCATCTTCGTCGGAATCTTCGTTGTAGGCATCACCGCCTCGTCCACGGCTGTATTTCTTTTCGTCATATTCCATCAACGATACTTCAATAGCAGTTGGTGGAACAGGACACGGTCTAGGAATTGGGAGAAGTGATCGGAGAAGTGCATAGCCGGATTCGTTGGCAAGGAAATGATCTTCAGGGAATTCAATTTCAAAATGAACAAAAAGATCTCCTTTTTCGTCCCTTCTCCTTTTGTTTGGCATTCCGCGAGCGAGAACTCCTTTGACAGCGTCTAAAAGAATTATTTCATGACAAGTTTAAGTAATTATACATATATTGCCGTTGTTAAACGAGATAACGAAATTTAAAAATATGGCTATTTTTTTAGCTTGATACTGATAAACTTTATAATAATTATATATATATTTAGTTATTTTTTGAAAAAAAAAATCCCTTTTTATGGTATTAAAATTTGAACATTGTATACCTGGTTCAATAATCTCTCCCGGCTGTCCACGAATAATTAATGGATGACCATCAAGATGTTTCACAATAAATTCAAATCCGCATAAAGCCTCATTCAGTGTAATTTTCCTACAAAACAATAAAATTAACGAAATAGTTCAGGAGTTCTATAAAACTTTTTCATATGAAGATCGTCTCCATCCCTTTCAAATAATGGATGATCCTTTTGCTGAATGACAATAACAACATCTCCTGGCTCTACGTCCGGCTAAATATTATAATTTGCTTAAAATTAAAAAGAACTGCTTCTTACATCTGAATGATCTCCTTCTCCGGTGAAAGTAATTTTGGCATTATTTTCTGTTCCTGGTGTTACATATACCTTTAAAAACTTTCACGTTACTTCACTAAATAAATTGGAAATCCAACCTCGATAATTATCTGATTTTCTTCGAATCTTTCGCCTTTACAAGTTTTGCATTTTTGATTATCGGGAACCTTTCCACCTGCAATAAATGTTTTTTTTTTCTTAAATAAAATATGATATTTTTTCACCCGTTCCTCGGCATGGTTCGCATGCCGTTTGCATTTGTTGAATCATGCCGGGACCGATTTGTTGAATTATCATGCGGACTCCACGACCTTTGCATGTCTCACATTTGTATTTTTGACCCTTTTGTCCTCCTGATCTAAAAGTTATTTAATTGAATACCAATTAATCTTCGGTATAATATTACCCTTCACACGTTTTGCAAAGAGATTTACGCGTAAGTTTTAGTTTCGTAGTTTTCCCGTTGTACAGATCTTCCAAAGTCATTTGAAGAACATGCACAGTATCCTTATGTTTTCTTCTATGTTGTCGGCCTCCACCCATTCCACCGAAAATATTGAATGGATGTCCACCAATTTCATCATCATCATCATCCATTCCCCCGCGACCGAAAAAGTGGGAGAAGAGATTTCCACCCGGGAAGCCTTAAATACGCTTATTCAATTTAATATATATATATATTTATTTAGAATAACCTCCGCCACTTCCTCCTTCTTTAATTCCTTCAAGTCCTCGAGCATCATACAACTGTCTCGTTTCAGGTTTCGACAAAATCTCGTAGGCAAAACTGATTTCTTTGAACTTATCTCCGTGATCAGGATTCTTATCAGGGTGATACTCCTTAGCCAGTTTGAAGTAAGACTGAAAAATATTCGATCTTCAATACGCAATATTCATACTACTCACCTTTTTTATTTCTGCTTGAGTAGCAGATGGAGAGACATTGAGTGTTTCATAGAGGGTGGTGTCAACTGGACCTCCGCCACCTCCGCCGAACATTTTTTTGCTTCTGGAAAAAAACTTATGTTGGCCCAAAAATGCAAAAACAGATCCAAGAATTTAATACGGTGGTCCTAAAATCGATAATCAATTCGGGTCTCGAAATTGAAGAGCAAAGGAAGCAGATTTTAATTGAAAATATTTAGCTTTGCGCAGTCGACAAAACGAAACACGAAACACGAGAAATATGGCAAATAACGAAAACGAATTTGAAAAATAATGCGAGAGTTTGCTGGAATATTCTAAAGACACGCAACACGCGCCAACACAGGCACCCGAAACGCGCTAGTGTCAAATTGTTGGCGCAAATCGCGCGCGTGTAATTCCCGCATTCTTCGTCATTACTTTTAAAATTCACGTAGACCACTGCCTCGGCAACTAAACTTCTTAAAGAATTTATTCGAAGAAATGTTCAAAATACAAACCTGAACATTAAAATATATACAATTTTTTAAACGTTTCACCAAAATTTATTTGTAACTAATTATCTTCGGTCTTTTATTTGTTATTTTTGATTTCCCGTTCTCTTTTATTGCGGCAATTATTGTATCCGTTGTTTTTGCCCGTATCTATTTTTTCTCATTAATATTCCATTATTTTTGCCCTTTTATTATCACATTTACAAATCTTCAGCAATAGATTAAAGTTGTTATTTCCTATTTTCCCAGACATCGATCAACAAGACATCACATTTATTTTTTACGATTAATTACATTAAAAATTTCTGAATATTTCTTTGTTTTTTTTTGTAAATTTCGAAACTTTATCTGTTTTGTTGAAAATCTAGGCAACGTAATTTCGATCTTTGACCGTTCTACGCTCCGATCCTACGAGTTAGTCATGTTTCTTGAATTAACGATTTCCATGAAATCGCAATTTCGATCCCGTTTATTAAGATGAAATTATAATTAAAAAAATATTCAGATTTCTCCACTCTCATGGTTATGACGCTATAATATACTCAACTAGACCCCTATTTCAGTTAATCGCATTTGCTACCGATTTGAATAGGTATGCGAGAAATTAAATTTAGGATAACGTTTTAAAATATTCAGGAATTATTATTTGATGAAGAATTATGAGTGAAAAACTCCCTCCAGGTTGGATTTCATCATTCTTTTAAAATATATTATATATTTCATTTTAGGAACATTATGCGCCGTTTGTGACGATGTTGCCACTGGAAAACATTACAGCGTCGCATCTTGCAATGGCTGTAAAACATTCTTCAGACGGGCACTCGTGGTTTGATCTCATTAGGAATTTTAGCATTACGTTGAAATATTTTCAGAATAAACGAGAATTTATATGCCCAGGAAACAAGGATTGTCCTGTGAATAAAGGTAATTCAACTTTTTTTCCAAAATTAGTCCTGTTAATTAATTTTTCAGGTGTTAGATGCGCGTGTCGTTATTGTCGTCTGCAAAAATGTCTTGCTGTCGGAATGGATAAAAACTGTAATATTTAATCGGGTTTTTTAAAAACATAATTCACTTCTGATTGTTCAGCTATCCAAAATGATCGTGATCGTATCGGTTATACGAAACGAAAAAGAAGACATGATGATGGAAAAACTGAAAACGATTCATCGAATGATGGGGATAATGCAGGAAGGTAGATTTTGTTATTATTTTTGGCAATCGGTTGATTATCAGATTATTATTAAAACATTTTAAAAATTAGACTAAAATAATAAGCTATTTTGTATGAATTATTCTATTTTATTTCCAACATTTGAAAAATATTTCATACCTGACAATGAGTGCGAAAGAGAGAACTTTTAATTTTTGGTTCAAATATCAATTTCTTAAGAACGTCACGGAGTTGCAGTCCTGGGGATATAAAAGAATCAAAACTCGATTTGGTAAGTGTTTAATGCCTTATCATATCATTTTCCTGTTTTTTTTTCTCAGGCCGCTCTCGATCCGATCGCTGAAAAGTTGACTACTCTTGAGAACAATTTCACTCTTCTCTTAAGTCGTTGCTCGAATTTAAAAGTTTATGATACACTCGAAGAAGCGCTGAACGCTCCTAGCAAACTAATGCAACCAATTGACTGTGATGTACGTTATTTACATTTTTGCGTGGTTTTCCAACTTAAACCATTTTCCTTTTTAGTGGGATGATCCGGTGGTTATCGCTCATAAAGCCGATGAAAAAATGCCGTTTTGGAGGCAGCGCCTAATCGCATTATACGTGGATTGGGCAAAGACATTCTCTACTTTTCGTGCTTTGCCTTATACGGATAAAGTAGGTGCGACAAGGGTGCGTGGGCACCGAAGATGTGCGCGAAAGACCCTTAATGAATTTTTTCGGGAAAAAGTGTTTTCATGTAGATTTATTTTACCTCCACCACTGGAAACCCGTGAAATATCCAAAATCTCCGACTGACAAGTATAAAACGCAATTTCAGGTTGCTATAGTAACGAATCATGCCTCGTCGTTTATGATAATGTGCGAAGCGTTTCGGACACCAGAGCACATAAAGTCCAAGTCATCAGAAGTGTCGGAAATTGTAAATACATCGGGATCGGGAAGTAGCCGCGTGCCGTCAGAAGCCTGTAGTAGCATTAGTGGTGGCATTTTTGATGAATTCGATGAGCTTAGTAACATGGTGAAGCACTAAAATTTAGTTAGTAATTTAATGAAATTGATTACAGCCTTCAATTAACGAGGGAATTATTTTCAATCAACCAAGTACATCGACAAGAACGAATTTCGGTAATTGAAACTTTTTGTATTCTTATTAAAATTTTTTTATTTTTGTGAAATCGACAATACTGGTTTAAGTATTTTTTTTAAAGTGTTTACACATTCATTTTCTGTTAACTTCGAAAAATACAAGAGCCTTTTTTTAGATGAGCGGCCAATAAAATTGGAGCCAAGCGAAAGTCCGGACCATAGAGCTGAAATGATTCGATTACCTACCGAATATGGTAGTCTTCCTGCTGACTATGCATCATGGATTCCAAAAGATTATGGTCACCCGCAAGCGGGACATGAAGGGAAACCAGATGTTCATAATTTCTTCGATCCACGCCATTTTTGCGAGGTGTTTTTTCAAACGCGATTCATATATTGAAATTCAAATTTTTAGGGGAGACCGGCGTCATGTAGTTTTAGCGAGCGTTCAATGAAAACTGCAAATCTCAATGTTCCAAAATCGAATTCTCATAAGGGGCATTCAGTAAGGTATGCGACTTATTTCCAATATTCGTAACCCATTGTTTTTGATTATTTTTTCTAAATTTATTTATCTGGATGTGCGAAACGGATATGGTAATCATTTGTTATTACTGAAAACGTGAATAATTTATTAGTTTTCCCCTTGATTTAAATTCTAAATTCTAATGCATCGTGTGGTGTTGACGCATTAAATTTTTTTTATTCGACGAATAAATAGGGGATGGAAATAGTGATGTAATTTTCAACGTCTTAGTAAATTCAATCTTTGCGCTACAGTTGTCTCTTGGCACAAAACTAAAAGTGTAGATTTATGGGCCTATACACCTATATATACCTATTGATTAATGACGCACACTGCTCCGCGAACCATACATAGTTCTCTCTCTTGAATTTCTGAATTCAAATTTTGATTTAAACTGTGAGAAGTGCTCGGAGCTTGAAGTTGAAACTAGAATTGCATTTGAGCTAATTGCTTTTGTTTAAAAAATTTTAAAAAATAACTTGATTTTTTAGTTTGTCTGGAATTACGCCGGTTCTTGCTATGATGATCGATCTAGTGATGAAACCATTTCGTCAACTCAATTTTTCAACCACAGAGTTTGCACTTTTACAAGCAATAATGTTTTTTGATCCTGGTAATTTTTTTCTAATACGAAAAAATTCCTCTAACCGTTCCTTTTAGACACTGAAGGTCTCGATTTCGCTTCACAAAGAAATGTGATTGCTGAACAGAAAAAACTTTTGGCCGTATTATATCGACACCTTTTGAAATCTTATAGCTTGGATGCAGCCAATGAACGCTATTCTTCGATTTTGTTGAGGATACCGACAATTCGCGTAAGTAATGTGACTGATTCTTTTGAATATTTAGACATTTTTATGAGTTTTTATTGTCTTTAATACTGTGAACTGATTATGATTATCCAATTTTCAGAGAGCCGCTGCAAAGAAAAATGAATCATTGCAAGTGCTTGATATGCTACAGATGCACGAAATGAACTCATTGGTCAAGGAGACATCATTAGGTCCTCGGCCAACTGCTGTACAGAAAATGATGGGAATCGCTGGAGCTGCAACAGGCCTCAACACGTTGTTCACCTCGTGATATGCTACCAATTCTCTTAAGATCTCCTCCTTATTTGACTTGCCACTAATTTAAACTATACCGCTTGGATTAGTCCTTCTCGTAGATTCCCAACTCCTGTAGAACCATTCTATATCATTCAGAATTCTCATGGAACCAGCATTCGACGTCATAATTGTGTTTTTTTTTTTCATATCAACAATTCTTCAACTTTGTTTTTCTTTTTCTCTTAAACAATTAATTCATTTTATTAGCCATTATAATAAAGTTCTCGACAAAAATTGAAAATAATAATGAAAAAAAAAACGAAAGAAATAAAGAGTTTGATTCTCAAAATATCAATTAGAAGGTGATGGTCTGAATTCGGGTACAATTCACTGTGTCCCTTTTCTTGTTGCCAACTTTTTCGAATTTTTTCCAATCCGAAAACGCGCGATCTGCTTCGCGTCGTCCACTCAAATAGCCTCCAATTGTCGTTTGGAAAAGTCTGTAAATCGATTTTTTTCAGATTCTTAAATCAAAAGTTCGCTGAACGTCGTGCATTCTAGGTATGTTCGATTAGAATTTGGGCAGATTTTTGGGAATTTCACTTTCGGGACTACTTTCAGTTCGTTGCGTAATTTGAAATATACAGTGAAATTTTAAAATCGAAAAAGGGTTTGTCGATATTCTTTTCTAAATTTAATTTTCTCATCAATGCATCTCATTGCTCTAATTTGATAGTAAAAAATAAAATACTTTTTCTTATAAAGTCACATTTTCAATTATTATTTGAATCATCGCTTCAATCTCAGAATTAATATTCACTTTCTCAAAAATTTTTAAACAAAAAGCAAGTCCCCATAAGTGAATACATACAAAGCATGATTTGATTGCTGCCGCTGATCTCATCGTCCACAGGGAATACTTATTTTCAAATAAAGCTTATTTTAATAAATGAAGCATCGAAAACTCATCAGTATTCTCAGTAAATCAAATGAGAAATCGAAAACAATTTTTTTTAAATTTTTCTAAATTTAACTTTATCAATTAATTCTGATTAATCATCTGTGTAAAATTCATCACGATTTGATAACATTAAACCCACTGATTTTAATAATTTTCTTATTCTATTTTTAATAACTTCGACGTTTGAGCTTTTACGTAGTTCGTACGTAAGCACATCATCGCGTCTGCAGCTTATTAACGCCTCGGTAATTACTGACGTCCCTTCTATTTTGAGATTTCTATTCTCGGCATCTTGGTTATAATTCCTTCGAGAATTCACAGTTGAGATTTTTGCCAATTTTGTGCGAAAAGAACTCAAATCTGATAATTGACTTCAAGGTTTCAATCGTATATACACTGAAACTGGGAAAGGGGACTCTGGTAACTCAAAACCAATCTGATCCGAAAAAATTCGGCCCCGGAATCAACCTTATCCGATTGGTAATTCTACGAATAAGATTGGAAAATTGTCGTATCCGATTGGTTTTTTGGGTTTTTTCGGATCCGATTGGTAATTTGTCGTATCCGATTAGATTTTCTTCGAATCCGATTGGTAATTATTTGAATCCGTTTTGTTTTAATATTTCAATTCGAATCGGATTCGACAAATATCCAACCTTATCCGTAGAATTACCAATCGGATCTGACAAATTACCAATCGGATCCGAAAAAACCTAAAAAACCAATCGGATACGACAATTTTCCAATCTTATCCGTAGAATTTCCAATCGGATAAGGTTGATTCCGGAGTCGAATTTTGTCGGATCCGATTGGTTTTGAGTTACCAGAGGAAAAATTGTTAAAGAGTGAATGAAAAATAGATAGTTTTATATATCTGAGCCATTTTCCATCCACTTTTAATCCACATTTTGTCCTTTTCCCAGTTGCAGTGTGGTCTGTTCATTGATATTGTGTTTTTGAAAAACAAATTATTCATCTTCCAAATATTTCACTCATGATTATGGTAACCAAGGAGTTCTTTCGAGAGCATTCTAATAAGCATAATTTCTGATTCAGTGACTCAGAAATTTTGAAGTGGTAAACAATTAGAAGATGTGATCATTCATAGAATAAAAATATATTCAATTATCCGGTAAGAAATGTTTTCTTTTAACTTCATTTTCAATTTCATCAGACCACGTCTGATGAAATTGAAAATGAAGTTTTTTTTTCATCAGACCACGTCTGATGATTTTAAAATTTGTTTTTAACAAAAAGCGTACATTGCATTATAGTGTACGCGCATTTAATATTCAATCAACGATTAATTTAAGTCTACACTGATTTCGCGAATTTGAAGGCCCCGCCCCCTTCAGTCGTTTGACGCCAACAATACAAAATTACAAATTTAAAGAAATGTGACTGCGCGCGAACCGCATCGCGCCTGACAGCATTAATTTTTGGTCAATTTAATTAGTCAATTTGATCCCCCATCCGCTTCCCCCTTCATTAGCATTGGACAAATTTCAACATAATTCATTGCATTTATATACCTGTGATGTGTTGCTTCTCCAGCAAACAAAATTTTTGGTCGACCATCGAGTTTGACGGGAATCGCCAGTTGGGAATGAGAAATTCGGGAGAGGGCTTGAACTTGAGTCATGTATGAGTATGATCCGAGCAAGAGTTCATTTTTCGTTAGTTGAGTTCTGAAGTATTTAGCCTTTATTCAAAGACGTTAATGTTGGCGTCCGGCGACTGATTTACGCTGATGGATTTACGGGTGCGCCTTTCGAAATGGTCTCACAACATGTGAACGCATATTTTGAAATTGTTTCGTGAATTGTTAATTTTTCTCAGATCATAGCGATGGCGCATGCACGTAAAATTATCCGCGTACAGCAGTCGCCGACGCTGACTATATTAATACCTAATGACTCTCGTAGGTTCTGAAATACTCGGATTGTTGTACATCTCCCTCATCAACTTTGCCATGCGAACTCGGATCTCGTCTTCGCTCATGTTGTCGATGACCTCGTGCCCTTTTCCAGCATACCAGGCACTCAGTACATTCGGAGCCCAATCAACAACCTAAAACGTGATTTCTGAATCGCTAAATGTTAATTGTAGTTACTTGTAAAGTCGTAGTTTCTTCCTCAAACGGATCCAGATGATCCCTTCCAAGCCCTTTTATTGGTAGCGGAGCAATTGAGTAAGTGTCGTTGGACCAGAATGGTTTGTCCCATTCGAGGAAAATTTTGCAACTTCCACCGAATCCGATTTTTTCGATGGCTTCAATTTTTTGACGGGGTAGCGATGGAGTGAACATCGTTTGATGATACTTCTTGAGTACACCCAACGACGATGTCACTACCACATAGTCGTATTTCCGTTCTACAATTCCCTTGTTGGTTGTTATTGTAAGCTTTCCAGTGTCGCTGTTCAGAGCGATGTTTTCAACTCGAGTATTGAACTTGATGGCATTTGGTGGAATGACGCTTGCGATGTCGTCGATGATTCCTTTGAAGCCAATGCGATTAGTTCCGAATGATTCGCATTCCCGGCCATAATCGTTCCATTCCTTCAATACTTGAACACTCAGCTGAAACAACTCGATGTTTAACTAGGATGCACTTAGTTTTGACGGGCTAACTTTGGACCAGTCAGCAGCCCATTCGAATTCCCAGTATGACCGGAATGATCGTACAAGAGAATCAAATACATTCTTCCGTTCTCCAGTGATATTATTCTTCTAAATTTTAATATACATTGCGGATTATTTTGGTAGTGGGTACTTTTAAGAAGTCCATGTAATCGACAGTGAATAGTTCCTTGAAGGTATATCGTCGAGAAGCTCTTTCATCATACTTTGCAATTCGACGATATTTTGGGTCTAGCGGTTGAATGAATTCAAGAAATAGCTTGATGTCATCCCTGAGCATGAATGAGGGGGTCTTCCTTGCATCAATGTAGAAAACTTACTCGTTCACACTGTAATTACCATAAACGAATTTGGCATTATCGATATGAGCCGTATCCGAAACCACATATGATATCAATCCAAGTCGATCAGCAATCTTGTAAAGTGGGTTATCCGCTCCATTAATGAATTGCGCTCCCATTTGAAGGTATCCGTCCTTGTATGGTATTGCATGAATTCTTCCTCCGATGCGGTCAAGACCCTCGAAAATGTCAAAGTCATCAATTCCAAGCTCAATCAGTCGACGCGCGGTTGATAGTCCCGAGATACCGGCGCCGACGATAGCTATAGACGGTTTTATCGATGAGTCCCCGTTTTCTGATTCCTTCTGAATGATGATTTGATAATATTGACAAAATGACGGTGGCTAGCTTGGATTTACCTGAACCGTTATTCCACATCCAATAATTACAAAGAGAACGAGGCGCATGCTGACCGACATGATTTTGGTCCGAAGCACGCGTAGATTTAATGAAATTCAATCGAACGCTGCAATATCCTGCCAGCTTTTGTCAAGGGGTTGGTGCTTTTGATTTGTGAGCACCACGCCAAACACAAAATCTGCAATTAATTGATGAATAAATGCAAGAAAAAAATTAGAACTGTATCACAAAGAATAGAGAATGAATGATGCGCTCTTATCGCAAATTATCGGTTTATATGCACCCGAGCGCATCGTGCTATCTCGTCATGTAGTAAATATCGCTATCGGTTGATTGATTGTGTGTTATATGAAGATCAGGAGGTGACGTTGACAGTTCGGCGGAAACAATGACTTAGAATCACAAAATTGATAATTGAGTAAAAAAAATACGAAAGGTGTGATGTTTTTTAAACGTTTCTTTTGGTAAATCGAGATTGGTATTTGATTTATCAATGTACTAGTGTTTTATTTGTGGAAAATGATAATTTACTTCGAGTTGGACTACTTCACTTCCTTGATCGTGTTTGGAAAATATGATAAATTAATGTTATAGACTACACTTTGATCTATTAATCCCTAGAAGACTTATCGGTATTGCAAGATAGAAATTTGTTTGATATTCAACCTTTGTTCATTCACACCCTTCAATTTCTCAATAAAATCTCAGTGTATTGAGTTTTTTTTTCTAATTTATCACACGTAAAATGTGTAATTTGTTTGATATGGGCATTTGTTTGTCTTGTTGAAGCACGTGATGAATTAGACTTCCGTAAAACATTATTTGGAAACTTCGATTTGGGATAAACAAAACAAAGAGTTGATTTTACAAAATTGGCTCATTTATCAGCAATTTTCGGCGGTAGGCCATATGCTATCGATTTAACTGCAAACTGATTATCAAACATTTTTAAAGCGATTAGGTTTAGTGGTCTGATTGAATATCAAAGTGAAAAAAGTGAAATTTACGCGCGAAAGAAAGGGATTTTGTTTAAGAAATAAACTACATTGAAAGGGCCGAATGTATTTTAGTTCAAAGATGATAACGAAACTCGCAGTGTTTTCTCAGCAAAATGGTGCAGATTTGACTTTCAGCAAAATCTTATTAGAAACTGTTTAAAGTCTAATGAAAGTCTGCGTAAGTTCTGTTAAAACATTCAACTTGAAGGTAAACTGTGCTGAAGGTCTCTGCAAAGGCTCTTTGCAGAATCTAATGAATCTATTCATTGAAAAATTGTCGAATTTGTCATTTTCTTATACACTACAAAAATATATCTACACTTGTCTATTTTTTGATACTCTCACGAATTTTTCATCGTTGATATCTCGTAATGAAGTCAAAGTATCTTTTAATGGCATTTGCAACCAAGCAAAATGTGCCCCTCCTTATCTTATCATATCAATTCAACCGGAGTTACCTCATTTATTGTGTCATATTTGGTCTTATGTGCTCCAATGATATAATCAGGCACTAAACACGATTAAATATTACAGATGGGAGAAGAAGCTGAAAGAAGTGTTGCCGATTGGCATAAAATGATTGTCATCGATAGATTGATGACATTCTCGCAATATTTGAGAGCAAGACGGTAGAATGACCGGTAATAGAAAATTACGAATAAATTAAATTCAGGGATGATGCCGTTTCGGAATCTTTGGAGGTTCGGGATAAGGCGTTGAATGAAATTGTAGATGTCCTGAAATCTCTTCCACCCAGCTTTTTGACCGGTGAAGAAGGTGTGTTTTGTTTTATCGAAAGTCGTTTACATACATTGTTCAGTGGGACTTCTCTTGACGTTTTTCGTCTCGCAAATGGATTCAAATATCTTGAGTGGGGAAACATTGATTGATGGGATTTACCACTTGGTAAGTAATTAAATCATTAGGCAATCTGGAAAGATTAAACCTGTGTCTAGAAAATTCTCTGAGTTACATATACAGTACTCCACTTCATGGTTTCCGCAGGGGCGAAAATTTGTCGACTGGCGGGCGGTTTGTCATCCGCCAGGAATACAAATGCATTTTTTTTTTTCAATTTTTTTTATCATTTTTCATTTTTTACTGTTTCACATTACGCCTTCAATTTTTTTCTTTTAAATCTATGTCATTCTATTTATTTTTTCTTTTTACGTCAACAGCTTTAAAAAATCTGACGATTATTTGTTTATGTTTAAGGTTCGTTAGATGATTACACAAAAGTTTGGCGACATGGTGCGGTTTGATTTTTGTGCATCAATACAATTTGTGCTCATTATTGTACATTTTATTTGTTTGCCAAATTTCTGCTTTCAAGATGTCTTTTGGGGTAATTTCAAAGGCTAAGGTCAATCGCGCTTTCACAAGCCGAATGTGAGCGCGAGTTTCCATTATCCAACACGTCGGTGTACCCCGTAAAACATCTAACGATGCTATCAAACGAGCAGCTTCATACGACAAATCACGTGGAAGAACCGTATCGCTAACCACTCCTTTGAAGTTCAAAAATGCCAAATCGAAGATCAGACGAAATTTTCACAGAAACATGAGACATTCGGCGCCGGACATGGGAATGAGCACCTTTGAGACAAATCGTTAAATCAAAGCCCGCAGGTCTGGAAGTCGCTGTATTCTCTTGCTTTCACCGTATAGACGGAATTCAACTCCAAAGACCATCTAGTTCTTGTCTAGACGTCAGACTTCAACCCACTTAATTTCTCCGTGCAGGGAGCCTTGTAAGTGAAGGTAAACGAAACCCTCGCTCAAGCATGTTCTGAAGAAGGCATTAGTTGTGGAATGGGACCATCTTTCTTTGGTTGGTTGAATTGAACAAATGTAGATGGGTAATTAAAACCCACCCTGTGGCATAACTTTCTATTTTTAAAAACTAAGCGTTCAGAATGCGTTCATTCGAGGATCGTCAAACCTCGACACACTTCCAATGTAATCGAAATGATAGTGACTTCTCCAAATGAGCCAGTACCACCAGAAGCCGTTTGTAGCAAAATAGACTTCACGGACGTCGCCCAGTCAAGAAATCATTGATTATTGAAAAGAATTGGAAAGCGATAATGGAATGGTGCTTATTGACACTGGATACCTCGAGAATGGTCGAAAGTCAGAAATGAATCGAGGTTTAATTTGGGTGGGCTTACGCTGTGTTTAGTTGCATATCTGAGGCCTCCATGTGACCGCTAAGAAAAAGTTTGGGAATTATGGATCGCTATGTGTATGAGGATATTCTGTAAACAAGTATGAAATCCTAGCCCTTGTCTACTGTGGGACGGGCATACGTTTTTCAAAAGGACAATGACCCGAAGCACACGTGTCCCCACATTAAGAATTGTTTTAACGTCGTCCTCTTGATGTTTTTTTATTGGCCATGTCAACCTTCTGATTTTAATCCAGCATCTCTGATGCTTGGGGAGACTTGCTGGTATGCGAGCCTCTAATGTTGAACATAAACTCGCCCAACTTCATCTGCGTGTGACCGTCTATTCCACTCGTGGTGGTTTACAGCCTCTTGAATTTGATGTCACCCATATATTTCGATGAATAACATGGTTAAATATATTTCAATAATTGTGCTGAACACTCTCAAAAAGTATTATGAAAATTAGAACACATTTCGTAAAATTATGCTTAAAACGCTGAAACTATATATTTTTGCCACGAGTGTAGATTTAATATTTTTTAGGTTATGAATTCAAAGGAAGTTCCACCGGATTCTTATAACGCGCTGTTCGTCAAAATGTTTCAGTATGAATAGTTTCAAGTAGAATTCATCAATTCCATGAATTTAGGGATAGCAATGTATCTGAATGGTCGACCGATTATCGCATGAAACATTATGAAATTTTTCGTTGGTTCGTACAGAACCAAAAAGAATGTGATAATTATTTATTCGCAGTTGTTGATTCAATCGTTAGAGTTTTCAGATATGATATCACTTGGCGGAAGTTTCTACACCGCGTTTCAAAACATATTTTTGGGAGAATCATCTGCGAATGGAATCATGTTCATGCTGAACTTGTTTCTCTTCATCGTCAAAAACTACGAAATTCGTTAGAATTCATATAAACTTATTTATGTATTTAATTTTTGTTCAGAAGCTGTAGCTGATAATTTGTTCGATATGGTTCTCGTCTATTATCCAGTAACATACAATTCAGTGAGCGTCTAAATATCTTATATTAATTTAAGGAAAAGAATCCTGTTCAGAATAGGAATCCAGAAGTATCACGTAAACTTATAGTTGCGAAATGCATCTCTTGTTTTGTTTCTTCGCCATATTTCGACAAAATGTGCTTCGCTGTAGTTGCGGATTCGATCATAAATGATGAATTCAATGACGAGGAAATCGATGATATTTGCCAGCTTCTAGTTTATATTCTCCTTTAAGCATAAATCTAACTGTCTCTTTTTCAGGTTGTGGCTTGTCAAAAGTTCGCTGCAAATGCAATCGTTGAATATATCGAGCCGATAATGCGCGGAATTAGAATGGCTGCAGTGAAACCAACAACAAGTATTAAATTGTGCCATTAAAAAAAAAGAACTCGAATTTTCAGATGATGTGAGTGGCACATTGATTAAAGCACTGAAGGGGGTTATCGAGAAGTCTAGAGAGTTGCATGACCCAAACACCGAAGTATTTATTGGGCAATCGTTGATTGAAAGTGTGCAAATTTTTTGTTTCACATCTCATTGTATAATATACAGATATGGAGCCATTTGTTCTTCAAGCGGAAATGGGAATTACCAAAAAAGCTCTTGAGCTATTCAAATGTGCTTACTTGAACACTTCTGACCACCTTTCTTGCTCAATCCTCTCGCATGTTTTCGCATGGCTCACCACACTGGTTCAAGGTAATTCTCATGTCTTCAAAAACAAATGCGTAAAACTATAAATGATATCAGGAGATACGGTCAATGTTGCGGCGAATAAAAACGAAATAATGGAAGAATCGCTCGATTATATGATTGAATGGGTTGAATTGGTTGCTCAGCGAAAAGAAGAGACAGGTTCCTGATTGAGATTTTCGTCCAATTTTTAGTTTTTATTTTAGGACACGTTCTTCAAGATTTTTTAACTAATATATTGGATTCGATCGATGTTTCGAGAGAATATGTTCCGAGACAGGCAATGATCGCAAAATATAAGATATTAAAAGTTAATATCTACATACAAGAGAGCAAATTTTGATAGTTTTTGATATTTTCAGAAATACCTCGATGAGTTCGAGCCATCGGAGAGTCTCATTTCCAAGTGTAAAAAAACAGTAGCTGCTGAAATTTTCTCGCCTTTGGTTGAAGACGAAGAGTATGAAATCGGAATTATTGGCGACGTCGCCCGTCCACGGAAAATTGACTAAATGACAAAAAAGAACGATGACAATGGTCTTAACGCAAACATATGTAGATATGTAGATTAATAGAAACGAAACAATAAGAAGGGATTGAGCGCACACAACTCTCACTTTGTCCTCTTTTTTAGCATTTAGTTAAATTTTCCGTGGTCGCGCGAAACCGACAATGCATTTTAACAGAATTTGTGTGATTTTAGTGAAAGTTACTTCGACTTTATTACAAGTCTTGCAAAAAGAACCATCGAACCGCTTGCTGCAATTCTCGTCGAACACAAACTAACCACATGGAGTATATTTTATCAGCTGTTCTCACATCAACTCTAAACGGATTTTTGTTTAGATAAGGATAAGATGCTCGCGTACCATTTTTCAATTATTCATAATCGCCACAGTTGGGAATTCCTTAAAATTGCAATTAAAAATCTTCTCGATCTCCATTTAGGTTGGTTTGACAACGATTTTCCCTCGTATCGTTGTTTTTAGTCGAAATGCACTCGTTCACAATAAAAAGGTACGAAATGATTGCGTCGCGATGCTCAAATGATGAAATGGTTATGTGGGAAGTGCTTTCAGCATTTGATCGCGTTGTTCAAAAGGTTTGAATGGAACGCTTGACAAATAAAAAAAACTTTGATTGAGGCTCACCAACACCCCCCTGTTGCCGAAACTATGCAGACTTTGACTCTCGGATTGACAAAAGAGAAACGCGCCGAATTCATGACGATTCTTTATGAGCGATACTATGCTTCGGAACTATCTTTCAGATCAATCGATGAACTTGACAGGAAATATACGTTGTCTCTTCTTCAAAGCGAGGTTGACAAAAAGCGAGGTTTCTAAAAAAAATTAATCTAATATTAAAGAACATCGAGGAAGTGAAATCGCTTGCCGAGCTTCCGTTTCCGCCAAAAGTTCATAGAAAATTCTTATTCGCTGCAATTAATCGGAGATTTATCGAAGTAAATGATCTTGCCGATGAAGATTTTGAAGATCTTTGGTAGTTTTAAGATTTTTATGTTCGGAACTTTAATAAATTCTGTTTAGGACTGCATTCATAAAAGTTAAAGCGAAGCTCATTACACAAACCCCGACTGGTTTATATTTGTTCGGAAAGCTGATGGATTATATCATCGAAACTCCAATCACTGACGAAATTGATGAACAATACAAATTTTTGTTGGACTTTGTTCAACCGGAGAATAATCCGTACAAGTGCAACTATGAAGTATCGACAGTTTTCTGGAAGCAAAAGTTGTCTTTTTTCCAAAAGTACTTTCTAAATTTTTATATCTAGGCTTCTCTACTTGCTCGTTCCACCTTATAAAGAAATATTCGAAAGCGCAAGTGATATGGATCTTAAAAAGATTGTCGGACTTCTTCCGGCTTTGATTGATTTTGCCAACACAATCGAGAACGCTGAACTGAAAGATCAGTTTGACGCGGTAAGAATGATTTGTTCTCAATCAATAGTTTACCAGGTTACAGCTTCTCCCACTTTTATTACGAATTCTGGATGTGTCGGACCCGTCAACCATCAATAAAAATATTCTTCACGCGATTCCGATTTTTGTGAAAAACGCGCAACAATTCGATGCTCATTCCAAAAGAATAATGGTGAATGCGCTGTGTGAAGTCGCAACGGTTCCAGAAGTCAGCATGGTATAAAACTATTTCAGAATTTTTGTAATAAACTATGTGTGTTTTTAGGCCACTACACTTGATGCTCTCAGCAGCTTGATTAATATCTATAATGCAGATCGCGAAAATGTTCCACTAGAGCTCGTTCCAAAAGTGATTCGAATTTCGACGGCTCTCCTCAGTCACCACAAACGACTTGTTCGTCTGAAATCGGCTGAAGTCGTCAATCTTTGGTCACTTTCTAAGAGTGATTAAAACAATTTGCAGTAATGACCATTTTACATTTTTTTCCATGAGTTGACATATTTTGGCATATTCATTCTTCTTTAATTTGATAATTTTCATCGTTTTTCAATTCTCTCATTCTTTCTATTATTTATTTTTTGAACCTCTGTATGTGTAATAATACCCTCTTTTTTATTTTCAAATGTATTTCCACCATTTATTTATTGCATTCGTTTAATATGAAATCATTCCTAGATTTCGATTGATTTTGATTTTGGCATAAAAAATTTTCTGAAGAGTCGTCCAAAATAATGCATATTTTTGTATTGATGGTTTTGTTTCATTTTATAAATTGTTTCAAATTATAAAACAATCAGACAACTGTCCTTTGGAAAATGAATAGTCGAGCGGCATTGTTTATTGGACCTACTCATGCACTTAAAAAATGTTCAAAACATATAAATTATTAATAAATATAATACAAATGTTTTCCATGCATGAGTGCAAGAATGCATCCTGTTATCGAAACTACGGTATTGTTTGTTGATTAGACTTTTTCTTTTTTCCTATTTACAACATTATTTAGAAATGAAAAAAATATATCACAAAATTTAATAAGAAATATTCCATCATTTTCCAAAAAATACGTGGAAAATTTCGAAAAACGATAAAATAAATAAAAAATTACACGGTAACTTTGAAAACACTGCAACTGTGCTACAGACGAAAAATGGTGAAAAGGTGGATGAAAAATAGATTACTCGGAAAAGTAGATAAAAACTAGGAGAAAAATGGGCGAAAAATAGATTATCTCAAAAATTGGTGAAAAATATACGATAAATGGATGACAAATAGATGAAAAATTGGGAAAAAATAGATAGAAGATAATGATAAGAAATAGACACTGAAAGGGTGAAAAATAGATGGAATTGTGCAGTTGATCGTAATGTGAATGCAGATGGCGCCATGTTAATCACAATTTTTTTAAAAATCAATTTTGGAAATGCCTAAAACTCTTCGCCATCGATTACCCAAAGAAGGTCTCAAATTGAGGAAAGGTAGGTTTGTTTCGTATATTAATATTGCTGATTGTTTATTATTTTAAGATCAAATTGCTGGTTCGCGATGCATGCCGACCAAACGTGTGGTCTTTGCTCGAAAAAACGCCCGGCTTTCACTTCGAAACAAATCGTCGAACAACGAAAATAATGAAAATGATGCATCAACAACATCCTTTCTCATGAGAGAACGATCTGAAAGCGAAATTGAAGAATTCTCCGAAGTAGTCGGGCCGTCATGCGTACCGAATTACCCCGCACATGATCGTGTATCGGAATTGGCCGATGAACTATTATTGTGCATGTATAGTTCGGTACTCGGAAAAGATACAGAAAATGGTAAAACTAATACTTTTCCAAAGACAAAAAATGGTTGCAGGCTTTTTGAGACGACTGGCAACAATTAAAAACTTCATCCCGATTGAAAGAGCCCGCTCATTGTGGTATGATTTCAAGAAGAATATTATGAAGCGTTCAATATGCGAAAAGTGTGGATGTCGAAGAGAGAAAGAATGGTAAACACATATACCACATTTCAAACATTATTATGATCAATTTCAGTTGCGGCGATTTGGCGACTTTTCTTATGCTGCCTCTCACCGAACAAATTCGCGGGATTGTGGAGTCGTCCTTTGACGATATAATGGAAATTCGAAAGAAATTGAAGGAAAAAGCACCAAACTTCACACACAATCTTCAAGGAAGTTCTTTTTCCAGTTCATGGAAATACGAGGATGAAAATCATTGTGATCTGAGCATGGTGCTAAGTCTGGACGGCGTCAATCCCCGAGGACATTTCAGGTATTATTATTATTTGTTTATTAAAGATGTGCCATTTAGAGGAAGTTTGTGGCCAATTACTTTACAGTTAGTGGATTTGCCTACAATGAAGTCGCAACTTTCAATTAATCTTGTAGTCTGTGGAATGCTGCAATTAAAAGCTAATAATCCAACAACCCTTGTTTTGAATACCGTCACGGAAATTATAATGAATCGATTGGAAGGCGAAGGGTCAACATTTGTTGTAAACAATATTTTATTTTCTCCATACCTCGTGTCACTCGTTTCTGACCAACCAGTAAGGATTAAGTGATAAAAATTTCTATAGATTTCAGTTAAAGGCAAAAAGAAAAATTCTTGGAATGAGCGGTTTTTCAAGTCCACAAGCTTGTTTTTATTGCGACTCTCACGGAACTCTGCACAAACCACTACTTGGAAACGGTAATAATCAATAATAATTTTAAACCCTCTTATTCATCGCTTATATTGATTTAAGATCGACGATTGGACAGATTTGGGGATAAGACTCTAGAAGATAGTATTCGCGGTGTTAATGGATTTGGTCCTGTTGCGGCGAAAATGGTGCAATATGTCAAGCCGTACAATACAATCTTGGATGTTCTTCACACTTGTTCAGATGGAATTGTAATGTTGATACTAAAAGGTATCAAAATTAAGTGTGACCAAAAAAACGGCAGAAATTCCAGAGCTCATGCCTAAAAAGTTTAGATGTTCAAAGAAAAAATCTGCAATGTTCGAATGCGATGAAACCATGCTCGAAAACTTCGACAAACATCTACAATTGCCAATTGAAGGAGCCGATTTGACTCGATTGCTCACTAACGGAAGGCAAAAACTAGATGTATGTTTCAGATATAATGTTTTAGATTTTTCTTATAGTTATTCAGACTTCAAATTTTCTTGTTTGCTATCTGCAATTCAAGTTTAATACATACATATGTGAACAATGTTAAAAAAAAAATTAAGAAGCATTGTTCATTGGATTAGATATTGCTCCAACGACGGATCAAGCTACTTCAGTTGCTGTGCAAATCAAAGAGTCTGCGATTACTTTCATGTAGTTATGCGAATGTTTCACTAAATAACACCATGTACTTTTAGCGATCGCCTTCGTTCAAATTATAACGATCAGAAAGGATCTCACCACGCTAGCAAAGTTATGGCGCATAGTTTGGCTATCAAAATTGGAAAAGAGCACCAACTCAAAAAACTGAAGCCCGATGCCGCTGAATATTTCAATCAGCATTTTTCTATTTAATTGAAATTTGATATTTCTAATGTTAAACAATTTATTGTATTTTTCTTTTTTTTTATTTTGTTGTTTTCCGTTTACTGTTGTTTTTTCATAAAAACCATCCAGAAGAAAAATAGACGCAAAATAGATGAATAAGAGACAAGAAGTAGACAAAAATGGGTTAAAAAAAGGATGAATCATGGATGAGAAATAGATAGAAAACTGATGAAAAATGCAAGAACGAGGGACAGAGACAACGACATAAAATGGATGAAAAATAGATGAATCCAAGATGCTAAATAGATAGAGAATGGCTGAGAAATAGATGAAGCGCTGATGAAAAATAGACTTGAAAATAGATCTGTTACAGATCCCTCTTTCATCCAAAGTCTGCACTATTTTTCAACTATTTTTTAACTATTTTTCGTCTGTTAGCGCAGTTGCAGTGAAAAGCAAAATTTAACCAATTGTTTCGCGGATTTTTCGTAATTTAATTACTGTACACATGGCATTTTTTTCATTCATGCATTTTTTTGAGAAAAGAAAACAATTTTGTGCGAGAATAGGTCCATATTTGAAACAAAACTGGTATGAGCGAAGACCTCCTCAATACACAAGTGTATCAGCGATTGGACCGCCCGCGAGTGCGGCATTGCGTGTTGGCGCAGTGCTATAAACAATTTGCGGGTCGGCGGAAGGTCGATTAATCGATCCCCGCCGATCCAACGGTCGATGATGTGTTTCAAGACGGGACCGACTTGTGAATGATGCATAACCAATTCGTATCTGAGACTCTCATTTTTTGCTTCTACATATTATTTATAAAGAGTTGTCTTGTGTGCTTCCAACAACATCAAAGTTCGAAAGTATTGTTGACATTTTACGAGCCGTGTATCCAACAAATCTATTTGACATTCCGACAGTACGTAAAGATAATATCATTTCGCCGGGTTTCCCTCTAACGTAATCTGAAACCGTCAACTTCGTCACATGAATTTCGTTTGACTCTTTTTGACCGAAAAAAAACAAGATGGTAAAAAGTAATAGCAAATTCGTCTATTGTCATTTTTCCTCGTAATGTAAATTTATTTCTTCCGAAATATTTGCCTAACTCGATTGGTTTAATGACATCGCGTTGAATAATATTTTGTGCATAAAAAACCATCCACCTCGTTTCATCTGATCATGTAAAAAAATGCGATTCCCGAATGACATCGGTGATCCAAAAAGGAATACAATCAACAAAGTAATAATGCGACTTTTCAATGATCAACGATACTTGAAAATTTCGACACTTATATTAATAACCCAACCTCTTATTCGCAAAATTCCGTAAAATTATGCGGTCTGACATAGACAAAACGGTAAACCAATCATTATAAGTAGATCAAATGGATATCCGTTGTGTTCAATTTTTGATGTCGATTTTTAGACATGAAAGAGCCGATAAAATGGGATTTGTCAATATTAGGCCATTAGCGACAGTCCGATTTTTTGTAGAACAAGAGGAAATGTTGTTGCATGATATTTCGTTGAAAGGCCAACTTGAATCAATAAATGCTCGCCGACACCGGTTAGTTTCTTCGTTCTTCTGTTTATTTTCCATAGACTCTTTTCCATTGCATTTTCGTTTCGTTTAGTTCTCTCATTTTCGAATACGTTTATACGTAGTTCGTCGGTTAAAATAACTGTGCCTTTCATCAAAATCCATGTTGTCGAATTTGTGTTGTTTGACTTCAGTTCTTTTTTTCTAGTGCCTTCCCCTCGCCGATAACTTCTTCTTGACAATGAGTGTGTTTGAAGGTATTCCGAAATTACCGACACAAATTCGGAATCAGAGGTCAATCGTTGAAGTTCAGCGAATTTTTTTCGTTGACAAATTGAAGGCAATAAGCGGCCGCAGTTTTGAGAATCGTCGGGAAAAACCTGCGCATGCATGAATGCAGAAACGACCGGTTTTTAGCTTCTTTGGCATTCTGCGATCTCCGCGATTCCTAGCTTTTCCTCCTTATATCACAACGTCATTGATTATGAGTCATCGCGCTTCCATCACAGTCTGATTAATAATTAACCAGTTGTCTCTGGTATTAAGTATTCATTCAAGTATGTCTATTGAGTTGGGAAAACTCACGTCTTAATTGTTTGCTCTCCTTTGAGATTTTTCGCACTTTTCCGTTTATCTCTAATTTTCATTGATCCCAAGGAGAAATCGAAATTTTCGCCCTTAAAATTAACTTTTTCCTGAAATATTTTAACAGATTCCTTTATTATAAATCCATAATGATATATTCTTTGTTTCAACTATTGGTGAGTGTAGAACATATGATTTTACAACAGGAAATCGATCAGATTTTTAACTGAAAGACAAACAAAAAATAAGGTGGAAAACAAATAGGATAAAACTCTTACCGATGAACAATTTAGAGTGGAAAAATTCCGTTGAATTGGGCAGACAATCGATAACAAGCACATCTGATTAAAACTGGTTCTGAAAAAAAAACTTTGATCAAGTTCGAGACCTTTTTTCCATTCTCTCTCTCTCATTCTCTCTCGCACTCCATTAATTCATATTTTAATCCGGCCTCCATACATAGTTTTTCTATGATCTTCTTGTTCGGTATGCCATCATCAAACTTACCTATGGTTTATTGATTTACCACTCCGGACATTTGACATGTTCCATACACAATGCCATTCTATTGTGATGGCCATTTAGGCGTTCAATATATATATATATATTTGCATTAAAGGCCAATTCTTCTTCTTCTTCTTCTTCTTTTTCTTCTTTTTCACCTTCTTCTACTTCTGCCATGTTCCTTCCTGTTTGTTTTGGGTTCTCAAAGTTAATGCCATCAACTAATTGTAAAAGAATCTAGAACAGTTGTGACATTGTCTTTACTTTAATCCATATTGAAAAACTTGTAGAGGATTTCGAGACGTTGTTATAATTTTAAGTTTTACTGTTGAAATCTGGCATTGAATTTATTGTGCACTTTCATTGATTTAATCCTTGGCCAATGATTTCAAATTTTCTATTTTTTCTTTTTTCTTTTTTTTTAACATTATTTATTTTTAGATGTCATTCTGAAATTCCTTATAATTTTCCCTCATATTATTAAATCTCCTACACTCACTTCTATTTTTGTTTTAATGAAATGATACGAAACGTGTGATTTTGCAAAACCTAAAAGCATTACCATAAATTGTCACATTTGCGAAATATTTCACATGACAATACCAAATGATTCAATGAATATTCAATTAAAAACTCGTATTGAACTCATTCACAGAGCAATCGATTATTTTCTGTTTGCCATTTCGTCAATCTTGATAGCATACCGTACTTTTCTTTTTTCTTCCTACCGAATAGTTCGACATTGGTGTTGATTTGTGCGATTAACTTCGTGTTTAAAGGTAGACAATTTTTGATCAAGACAACGAGGCGAATAGATGAGTGCAAAGATATTGCGCGAGAAATGCTAATTCCTGTTGTTATTCCGACTGTTTTATTATTGATTTTTGGCGTCGGGGCTGAACAATTCATCACCAACTCACAGAAATGCCAAATAAGGTGCCTCGCCAGCTGTTTGGCCTTTGTACCCCAGGTACTGAATTCAGCGCTTGCATTTGATTCGAGTCATTTTTTTTTCAGAATTCGAATCAATCAATATCGACGAGAAGCGAAGAAACTTGCGATTTGAAATGTCGATCATACGGAAATCCCACGTTATGTGTAATCCAATCATTTTTTGAACAAATTGTTTCAAATTTTTGAATTTGATTACAGAACGATGCAGATTGTTGGTTGAGGTGCAAAGATATGGAGGTTGAGAAGGCTCTCCCGGCCGTCACAAATTTGACAGTTAATGAACAAGGGGGTCTTGAGTGGAATATGGTTCCCGGTGCGGTGTTGTACATTGTGAAATACAAGACATCCTCAGCCCCTGACTTCTCGAATGGTAATACTATGGTATGTCAAAGGTTTTCTTTATTGAAATTGATTATAAATGGGAATTCCATATATTTTTTCTTTATATGAATTTCATTCCAATCTTTTGTACATTTGCTATTTATGTAATTCATCTTACAGTATACGTTTTTGATTAATAACAATATGTCATTTCCGACGCTGCTACCGTATACTTGATATTGATGTGTACTGCAGTAAATTTTTCCATGTACATATCAATTTCAAACCATATGTATAGTTAATAAATAGGAAAAATGGCGTAATAGTAAGCAGTCGAATGTTATTTGGAACATGGTCTTCGAAACCCCATCTGTGATCAATCAGATTTTGCAGATAGCAAATTCGAATCAAATTGGACAACTGACCCCGTTATCTGGAGATATCTGCGCCACGAAAAATGCCATCGTCGTTCCAGTATCGGAAGATGGCATCGGACTTCCAAGCGACGTTGTCAACCTTCCCGCTCCGAAACCAACAGCTGACCCGAAACTTGAAATTGTTAGCATCAAATATCGAAACGAGCCATTTGTCAGTGATTTGTATGAAGCAAATGGAACGATTGATGTGACATTCAGATACCACGCCTATGGTAATTATTCGATTGAAAAATTATTCGAATTGCTTTTTTTCTTGATTTAAGACTGGCCGCTCGGATTGGAAGATCTCGAAGTCACTCCATTATTTCATTTGATTTCTTGTGTTGAGCCGGATCTCAGCCAGGGAATTCCTCTTCCGGAATTCATTCCCGGAAGTTCGCCGTCAACTTTAATCGGCTCCCTCGGATCTGACATGATGTACCGAAAATGCAAATTCGTTTATTATCTTCAGGTCGACTCAGATCTGACGAAGTTTTTTAAAATATAATTTTAGAGCATTGCTAGTAAGACATGTGCGACTTCCACTGAAATGCACTCTCCGCCATCCGATGCACTACAAACTGTTCAGATCCGTATGTCCGCTATTAAATGGCATGATCTCAATAAATCCGTTTATAGAATGCGATACAGTTTCCGGGGCTCCATGTATTTCAGAACCAAACTATGCAAGTCCAATTTGCGGTCAAATTGATTTCATCAAATATGAGGTAAAACCATATGATTATGAACTCGAATGGATGTTGTATTTCTGCCGAAATCACGAGAACATGGTGATCATTATAAAAAGAGAGAAAGCGATTTCCAAGAGATTATTTGATACTAGGCTATAAGTTATTTTATAATATAATAATTATCATAATTCTGATCTCAATTTATTCATAACAAAGAGCAGAAGAATATTATCAGTCAGGCTCAGTTCGGGTTTGTCCATTTTCGGTCCGGGCAGAAATTCGGATTTAGGTGTTTTAATTCCCGGCGCACTTCCAGTCAATTATAAATTAACTGCTGTTTTTTTTTAATCGTTTCCTTAACAATTATCTTCAAAGAATATGTACATACGTTAATATAAGTAATTCATGGAATATATTTTGTTTCAGCCTATCGAGCCCGACTTTGATATCAATGACCCAACCGCGAATGTCACTCTCAATGTCACATTTACTCCACTCCACCGGACAAATGAAGCTCCAACAATTTACTATGTGGGAATATATGGAACCGCAGTCAATTATCCATCGAAAGAGGAGGAAACATTTCTTGGTGTTAACATTACCAAATTGATTGGAACTGCTTCAAGTTGTCAGCGTTTGAGCCAAAATGGAGAGTGCATGGTAAGAAAAAGTTTAGTTGAAATTTTGAGTTGATTAGTGATGTTCAAGGAGGCGAATTTCAACAATTCGTTGATTATTCCGAACATTCATCCCCAGACAATGTATGGTATCACGATCTGTGCAATAAAGGATCCGCGGAATCTCATACTTCCCGACGTCACCTCAGTTTCGCGATCAATCAAACCAAAAGCGAACAGAATAATTCTAGAGGAGACTTGTAAGATTTCGTGTTCTCGTCTCACCACGCTCTGCACCGTTTAACCAATTTAAGGGGATACTAACCCATTGGACGAGCATGATATTCAAATAATACGTATTCTTTCAAGCATTGATAAACCACCTGAAACCACTGTGACCCCAATGGATGAGACCATTGAATCACCGAAAAGAGACAAAAGACAAATTTCAGAGGAAAATGATTTTGGTGAAAACTCAACATTATTTGAGCGATTTCCATTAGTGGATGATAATAATTGCACACTCAATGATAATAATGACACAATTTCTACTAATTGCACTGAAACTAACACTTACTATTATTATTATGACACGACAAATCACATGAGCAGCACGACAACTGAAGGGAAACCATCACGTGGGTTTGTCGCAAAACTCCTTCCCATTTTGATGCTATTATTTGGTTATCCAATCAATCTTATCGAATTTCATTGTGAAGTAAGCATGCAATTAAAAGAAATTATTGAAATTGAGTTTTTAAATGTCAAAATTACTTGAGCACTTTCCTTATTTGTTTGCATGTCGTTTTGCTTTTTTTCCACGAATTATGTCTGTCGATTACGCAAGAATCAACCAATTTCTACCTTCTTCTTTCTAACAATGTTATTTTTTTTTCAAAAATTAATTTCAGCGCACAAAAATTCGGCTGGACTCATTGTCGGCGTCGTTCTTGGCGGCGTTGCAATTGGAATCATTCTTGTCGGAATTGTCATTTATTATCTGCGCACGAAGCATCGCAAACAAGAAAAACTGTACAAGCTGAAAATCGCGCAAATTGAGCGAGAGACCCAGAATCGCTACACCGATTTCCCCGTCATGCACAAGTAAGCTCGCAATTTGCTCTGTGTGTTAACTGATCTCAAACACAAACAAAACTTTAAAAATACATTGATTTCTATTTGATTTTTTTAAAATTTCTAGACACGATATTTGGGAAATCGAGCGACGAAATCTCATTATTCACAATGACAAAAAATTGGGGTCGGGCGCGTTCGGCGCGGTGTACCTCGGAAAATTGATCGGCAAATCATTGGCGCACAAAGATGCGAATTCGCCGTTGGCTGTGAATTTGATGCGAGCCGAAAACTGTGAGGTTGCTGTCAAAATGCTACCGGAATATGCTGACGATATGTCGAAGAGAGAATTTCTGCGAGAAATTGGACTCATGAAAACATTGGGTTATCATGAAAGGTTCTAATATTATCTAATAATACTTATTTATTTTTATGGTTGTAGACTTGTCAATATGTTGGCATGCATCACTGATTCCGAACCATTGTGTCTCGTCGTTGAGTATTGCTCTGATGGAGATTTACATCAATATTTGCGAGCAAGATGCAAGTATATGATGAAGGTTTGCATTTTTTTAACACGTTTTCTTTTATACAATTCATTTTAGCTTGATGAACTTGGAATAAACTATCATGATCCGCCAATAAACGATAATTACGATCCAAATATGGTTATTACAATCAAGCAACTTCTTCAATTTGCAGTACAGATTAGTTATGGATTAGTGTGTTTCTTATCTGTCAACACACTAAACGAATTCATAATTTTCAGGAATATTTATCCCAAAAAGGATTTGTGCATCGCGATGTCGCTGCTCGAAATGTTCTTGTTCATAACGGAACTGCTTGCAAAATCGGGGACTTTGGATTGTGCCGATACATTTATGCGGATCAGGCGCAATATAAGAGTAAAGGAGGAAGATTGCCGTTGAAATGGATGTCGCCAGAAGCTATTCGGCATTATGAGTTTTCCATAAAAAGCGATGTGTAAGTTGTGCTCATATACATATTTTTCATTTTTCACAAACTCCCAATTATTATTATAGGTGGTCATTTGGAATCTTATTATTCGAAGTAATCACTCTTGGAGGTTCACCGTATCCAGGAATGCCACCAGAAGATGTTTTACCGTTTTTAGAAAATGGTGGAAGAATAGAGCAACCTGATAATTGTCCTGACGACTTGTAAGCTCCTATTCTAGATTCTATGATGAAATTCTATATTTTCAGTTATGAGGTCATGAAGGAATGCTGGCATACTGATCCAGACGAACGTGCCGAATTCTCAGAAATTCGGCAAAAACTTGCTGCTCAGTTGGAGGAAATAACTGAAGATTACAGTTATCTGAAATTAGATGCAGCTAAGGATTATTATAATGTACAATATGATGATAAAAAGGTAAATTTTCTTTTTAAACTTTTTCAATTGATATTTTGATTTTGTTTTTTTTTTAGAAAGAATTGGTGATAATACCCGAAGGTGCTTCAAAAACTGTTGATCGGAAACAATCGTTAATCGATCCGATCATTCTAAAGGAAAATTTCAATGAAGAAGTTCAAATCTAAAGTTTTAGCCGATTCTTTAAATAGTCTCTCAAGACAAGCAATTCCTGGCTCACTGTGATACTCAGCTATGTTATTTATTGCTTTTAGATTATTTCATAATATACACTGTACATACGTGTGTTAGATTCGAACGTTTTAAGCTGGTTTACTTTGCTCTAGATGATGTATATCGTTTGTTTGTTTTTTTTTAATGATTTCCTTCATTTTACTGTGATACGTGTAAATTTTCAAATTCGTGAATATTGTTTCATTTTTTGATTAATACAAAATTCGAGAATTCATCATTTATATTTATTAAAATAAAATCGAATTGTTGCTCTGATTATCAATTATTGCCTAAATGACGGCTATTTACAAATAATGAGGTATTTAAATTAGAAAAATACATATTTCTAAGATTTGATCATTTGTGCTTGAATGCGTAGCAAAGAATGTCGTTCTTTTGATGCTGACAGAATGTTTCTGATCGAGCCACATAGCTGAAATCATCGGTGGAGCAGATTACCGAGAAATACCCTATAAATTTAAAAAATGATGAGGATATTAAGAAAAAAAAACAGAACCTCCGAATTCACTTTCAGCATTCTTTTGAATAAGTCTTTTCGATAAGGAAACAGTTCTGGTTATATACTGAAATTGAAATGTTAGTTTTTTTTAAACTAAAATATTGTCTATTACTTTATCCATGAGATCTTTGAGTTTCTCGCTATTGCACTTTGGATCCTTGGGCTCATCCTCTTCATCTTTTTCTCTTCTTGGCACAAATTCAGCGGTGAATAATTTAGAAGCTAAAGCGATCACCTTAAAACAACAATAGTCAATATCAATGCTTTCAAGTAATTCGGCTGCTTACACTTTTCCTAGATCTGAACTTGCACGGGGCTCCACACCTTCCACAGCAATCATTAATCGGCGGCGGCAGAATTGGTGCCGGTCTTGGTGGTTGAACGACTGGAGGTGTGACGTACGCTCCCGGGTAGATTTGCGGTTGAACTACCGCTGGCTGCACGTATCCACGTGGATAATATGGAGCTGGTCTGATATATTGGGGTGGAATAACAGGACAGCCCTTGGGAATATATGGCATCGGTCGATATGGAAGTGGACGAAGGTAGGCATCAGGAGCATATGGTGAATATTCTCGAATGTAGGTAATAGCTTGCGAAGGACCCGATGTCGCATTCCCAATTGCAATCGTCGCTTTCAATTCTCCACTGCTTCCATTTATAGTTGCCATATTGTCTTCGTCTTCTGTTTTGATGATCGTCGCAGCTGGTTTCAGTTTCTCGAGCTCTTTCTCGAAATCATCGTAAGCCTATGAACAGAAATTTGTGCCGTTTTGATTAGACTCGGTATACCGATTTAGTTGAAGAGCTTGTTGATGTTTCTTTATCAACCTGAGACATTACCTGAGGTGCGACTGCATACGAATTGGTTGGATAATAGTATTGGAATGTTGGTGGATGCACCGCAATTTGTTGTTGTTGAGATGGAGGCTGCTGGTAGGCTTGCTGCTGCTGCTGCTGCTGATATGGCTGATAGGTTTGAACTGGTGGGAAGTACGAGGTTTGCAAATTTCCAGCTGGATTGCAAATTGGTTGCCCGCACACAGAAAAGCACGACGGAATTAGAGTTGAAATGACAAATAAAATTCTCATCTGAAATATTTTCAAAATTACAAAAGTGGTTAAGAAAAAATAGAAATAATTATTCCATATCCAAAATTTTTTATTGAAATAAAAATTTGCAAAAATAATTTTTTGAAGAAAACAGAAAACGATCAATGGAAAAAGTGGCAAAATGGTTATGCAAGTGAACTGGTGTCGATTTTATAGTTGGCACTTCGAAAACCAGTAAGATTTGCCATTCGGGTGCAACTAATCCAAAAATGAAAAAAGCTTTTGCGATGAAGCAACTTTATGATCCGAGTAAGCCTGTAATTACTATTCACTTTTATGCCTTCCGCTGCCATTTCGCTTATTCACACGATTACGTTTACGAAAACGAATATCATTGAAAAGTCAATAGAGAAATTTTCCAATTTTTTTTTCGCAATAAATGAAAAATTTTACAGTTTTCGATTCATAAAACTATTCCGCTTAAATGATTTTTGAAGTTTTTGTTTTTACTTTGAAAATTTAAAAAAAATAGAAATTTTATTCTGGAGAGACTTATTAAATTATTAATGTGTGCATTCCAAACACTTTAAAATCGAACAGACGAAATCAAAGAAGAATTTGATTATGCATAAATAAAAAGCTAGAATTTTTCAAGGATTTATCGAAATTATCAGCTATTGCCTATCGATTTCGCCTTTTTTTACTCATTCTTTCAGTCATATTCGCTTTTTTCAGGTCGTTTATCTTCATTCGCCAGTATATCAATCAATATGTTTTACACCACGACCTTTCGATTACCAATCGGATGTCATAAAAACTTTGGAGCCGCCGACGACGACTGCGTCTCATGGCTCTCAACAATATTTCCCGAGACGTCTGGTTTTTGAAGAGATGCATTCGATTCAATCACATTCCTCCCATCCGTTTCTTTTCGTTATTTTGTTGTGGTTTGCGACATGCGGTTGGCCCATTCTACCGTAATCGTCGCATTTCTCTTTCTCGCGATTCACGCGACCACCGACATTCAACCGGCCGGCATCTATGTGAGGCTGAATCAACGAGCTGTGGATTACATGGCAGGTACAAAACCAAAATCACTTCATTCGCCTATTTTGACGAAAATAAAAGTGAGAGTTAACGACGGATTACGCAATATTCGGTCTGTACAATGAAGCTTTTGAAGGCACTGGTTTTGATTTTTGAAATAGAGGAATTGAAAGAAATAAACCCACCTACGGTAATCTGTGATCACAGTCATTTGGACAAAATTCAACCGATTTGCGAAAAATTTCAAACAATTATTAAATACAGTATAATTAATTATATATGTAGACTCATGGTTTTTTGTACGAAGCTTTCTTTAAAGTGTTTCAGTCATCGCAATAATATAATTCATAATCAAAAACATAAAATCATTATTATTCTAAATAATGAGGATCAATATTTCAACCTGGGTAATTTTTAGCCACCATATAATTATTATATTATCAACAATGACTGTAATACATATTTGCAGATGTGGCCTCTGAGGCTTTTCCAGCGATTCTTAATAAGCTCCATCCTCCAAATATCACCACGGGAGTAGCGACTATTGCGAATTTAGTGCTCTCAAATATTGCTCGACCATCAATCAAGGCCAAATTTTTGAATGAGAAAGGCAATTATTCTCAATTTCTGATTATCGAAAACATTTTTGTTTAGGAATTGAATATAATATTTCTTTGGCCTCATTTCGAGCTGACGCTTATGCTGAAATTTCGATATTCATTTTCTCATATTCCGGAACGTTCACAGCTCAACTGGACCATTTGAATATCCATTCAGAGCTTCATTTCAACCACAATGGCACAACAGTTGTTACCGTAATTATTATTTTTGAGTTGTTTTTGATCGAAACGAATATTTGAGGCGCCGGTTTGTAATGTCACTCAATCAGATTTATCATTGGTGTTCCCAAAAAATTCAGCTTTGATCACTCTTCAATCGGATATCAAATCAACGGTATAATAGTTTGTCGTGATTTTTTCTTCCTTGCTCATCATATTTTTAGATTGTTGAATCTCTTCGTGATGCGGTTTGCACCACAGCTGTCGATGCCCTTACTTTCGTCATGTCTCAAAAAGTTTCAGCTGCTTTTCATTAGATAACTTAAAAATGCAAATGTTGCAGCCGGTGCAACCTGAACATCCCGATTTCATCAAGCCCGAGCCCAATGACGCGAATGGATTCAATATTGTTGAATTCGGATCCTCATTGTGCGTTCCGGAGAAGTTGAATGAGATCGATGACGCTGTCACAACTCCGACGCCTGACAACGAAACAAACCAAAATAACACCGATTCTTCGTATTGGGGAATTGATTTGTCTGTTAATCATCCGCCTACATTCTCCGACGATGATATGATTATTGGCTTGGATGGTGGATTGATGTACAATGGTTGGAAAGCAGAATCTGCTCCACAGCCAAATGTTCTAAATAGGACACTTCTCGATAAAAAGGTACGAACGTCTAATCTGAATAAATAATAAAAATGAAATAATTCAGATGATTGGCATTCTTGTTTCCGAATATATTCCGAATACACTCTTTCATCATGTTTATATGAATGATCTTGGATCTTTCAAACACAAGTTTGAATTTTTCTTCAATTTGCTTTTGCACATTAATTTTGTTTCAGATACACGCCAGCTAGTCTTCCGAAAATTTTGCAAAAATTATCCAAGGCGGTATGTTCGAATTGCTTCTTGGAGATTTCGGCGAATCTTACTGAGTGAGCATGTTTTGTTTGTTTTTTTTCGTAGTTACATAATTTTTGATTTGTGAAATGCTTCAATCGGCCTATATTTCGATATAATTAACATTTGAAGTTGGTTCAGACAACCGCGTCTTGAAATTGACGAGCATCTCGGAGCAAGAATCGAGGTGTCGGCGAATATTTCGGTGACGTTCCAAGGAAGAGAGAAAATGCATGATATGCTTCATGCAAATACCAAATTGCATATTACGGTATTTCATTTTTATTCGATTGAAATGAATTTCTAGCATTTTCAGCTGAAACCAACAATTCGCCATTCGAGACTTTTCGGTGATGTTTCGTTGACAAATGTCGATGTGAACATATTTGATGTAATTGATTGAATTCATCAATCCAATCTCATCCATTTGATTTGTTTAGTTGGGACTTGGAGGACCACTGGCTGCACCAATCGAGAAACTCTTCTCTTTCGTCGTTCCTCGCATTCTTTGGCCGCAAGTCAAAAAGCGTCTCCGATTTGCAATGAATCATCGCGGTGTCAAACTGCCAACCATGTGTGGAATTGAGTTCGAGCACACTGAGCTCGACTTTGTCGATCATGCTGTCGTCATCAACACGGATTTCACATTTGACGTTCAATTATTTATTAGAAAATTCAAGAATTATCTGATTGAAAAATCCAAATATAATCCCAATATGCCGAATTATGTAGAACTGTGATAATCGCTCATTTATTCAATTTTGTAGACTAATAAATATTAAATTTATTTGGGGATTTTTAATTGAATCTTTTCATTTGATTTCAGCAAAAGAAGGGAATAAACATGTGAAAAAAAGTAAACAAAAGAATATATAAAAAGACAAAATGTTCAAAAACTTGTATACAGGGTGCGGAAAAATTACGTGTACACGAATATAATATAATGCAAGCTGATACGCCACATATTAATTTTTTAAAAATTTTATTTTCTGTGATCTTTCAATATTTTTCTGAAAGCTTCATGGAAATTCGTTCGACAGAAATGACAGCCGATTCAATCAATCGCGATGTATAAAAATTATAAAGTTTATGAAAAAAGGAAATGTTGCAAATGATGAAAAAAGGAAATGTTGCTCGCATCGACCAGATTTTCTAGCATTTCCGTGGCTTCTTGAGGTGTGTGGCTGATGAGTACGATGTCGTCGGCAAATCGTAGATGATTTAACTTCTTGCCATCAATCGAGACTCCAAAATTCGACCAGTCTAGCTGCCGAAATATTCCTTCCAGGCAAGCGGAGAATAGATTCGGAGAGATGGGATCTCCTTGTCTAACACCTCGTGTGATCGGAACGTCTATGTTGTTGTAGAAGGGTCGGAAGGTTGTGGAGCAATCGGTGTAGCAAGCTTCGAGGATTTTGACGTAGCTTTCATCAGTTCCTTGTTGGCGCAGACTTTCCCATACTGCTCTAGGTTCGACGCTGTCGAACGCTTTGTGGAAATCTATGAAGACAAGAGCAATAGGCATGTTATGTTCACGAGCAATTTCGAGTACTTTTTGAACTGTGCCAATGTGGTCCATTGTAGAGAAGGAACGGCGGAAACCTGCTTGTTCGACGGGTTGGGCTTCTTCAAGTTGGTTTCGCATTCTCGCCAGGAGGCATTTTGTGAAGAGCTTGTATAGAACTGATAACAATGTTATGGGGCGATAGTTTCCAAGACCTTCTTTATCTCCTTTTTTGTTAATCAGGCTGGTTTTTGATGTTTTCCAAGCATTAGGGATGGATGTTGATTTGAGGTACCAGATGGTGTTCAAAAAGTCGGCCGAGATCTTGTCGCTTCCGGCTGCTTTTCCGTTTGCAAAAGATTTGAGCGAGTGCTTTACTTCGGCAAGGAGAAAAGATGGTGTTTGAGACGTGTCGGGTGGAGCGGTAGGATGTGGCGGGAGCATGTGGCTAGCGAACAAACTGCTGTAGAAGGCTCCAATTTCTTCTTCGATACCTGTTCTTGATGTTATCCTTGCTCCAGTGGTGCTGCTCTTGAGGCATGGAATTGTTGATTTGAACTGATTTATGTCGCGAGCGACTTTTTTCAAACTCATTCTTTTTTCGGCCGCGAAAAGGAGTCGGGTTTTGGCGTATTCATCGTGGTCCTTCCTCAAGACTAAGTGACTAAGTAAGTAAGTGAAGTGATCTTTCAATATTTTTCTGAAAGCTTCATGGAAATTCGTTCGACAGAAATGACAGCCGATTCAATCAATCGCGATGTATAAAAATTATAAAGTTTATGAAAAAAGGAAATGTTGCAAAGCGATTGCGAAAAGACGTGAGTTAAATAGGATTTTTATTTTTTTTTAAGCCAGGAGAATCGAGTTCTAAAAATATGAAGTTTGGGTGAACATTTAGACGTTTCATCAAATCATTTGAGCTAACAAAAATTGGAACAAATGAACTTGGATTGCACGCAAATATTGTTTTCTTCCGTAAAATAAAGGAAACGGAAACAGAAAAAAAAAGAATTTCTCTGGTTTGAACTATCAAAAATTTTTTGCCACCTACATATTTTGCCATAAATTTATATGAATCTCGGTGATAATTTAAACAATGCGAATCGGCGTGCAATTTTTTAAAATAAACATCGTCACAGTATCAAATATCAATATGCACAATAATAGTTTATAAAATCGTTTATCGAATGTTTATATGAATTCACTCTTTGCCAATTCCATCGGGCTAAATGACCGTCTTCCAACATTCAGGTGATCCAGAATAGAATTCATGAATTATTCTCAAAAAAAAATAATTTTACAGATATTATTATATTATTTTTATTAGTAATATCGTCGAATCTGGCATATTCTCAAAATGTCGAAAATTTTCTGCTGGAAAAGAAGCTTATGAGCGGATACAATTCGAAAGCGAGACCAGTAAAAAATGAGGATACGGTAACAAAAGTTTCAGTGTTCCTCAATATCGCCCATATCGAGAAAATCGTAAGAAATCGTCATCGTTTACGCATTCAGTATGGTTAGTTCAGAATGAAAGAGAGCAAACGATGTTGGTTCATGGACATTTATGGGCATCATGGTACGACGAATATCTCACATGGAGACCGGAGGATTATAATGGAACGAGCAAAGTGTTGATTCCAGCTTGGAAGATTTGGCAGCCAGCGTTTGCATTGTACAACAGTGCGAAAGGAAATGCGTGGCATTTGTATATGAACGGCTTGCCAGCGACAGTTTACAGCACAGGAAAAGTAAGTCATTGGACTTATTTATGAAGAGTAATTTTTAAAATTAATTCCAGGTTTGGGCTAGTGGAACATATTCATTCTATGTCACATGCTACTTCGACTTTTCAAATTGGCCGTTCGATGTTCAGGTAATCTCACAGAATAGTACCCTTCGAAATAATCGAAACCCTAGGAATGCCCTATTGTAATTGCTGATTGGGTTTACGATCTTTCCCGTGTAAATCTCAGCGATCCAGAAGGTCTTAGTGAATACTTGAAGCCGACAATCCGCCTAAGCTATGATCCTGTGGCGAAAAAAGAAAAGAAACATCTTGGGGGGTGGGAAGTTCTCAAGACGTGGAAAAAACATTGCTATTGGGGTCCGAATGGCTGTAAAGAAGATGTTCCTGAAGGAAAAGTAAGTCGATTAGAATCAAACGATGATCTCGTTAATCTCATTCAGCCTGAATGGTATTGGTCGCTTCTCGAATTTGGTGTCGTCATTCAACGTCATGTGCCATATTTTGGAGCAACAATGCTCATTCCAGCGGTTGAAAAAAAACGCAGTGTCGAATTGCAAATAATTTTTCGAAAATTTTAGGGGCTTACTGTTCTTCTTATTCTAATTTCATTCTGGATTAACACATTTTCAGTAATGATTAGTGTGTTGGTATTCAATATAATGTTACAAGGGCTTTATGGTTGGGAAATGATTGAAAAGATGCCTCCCGGAAGTGGAAGCACACCGAAAATTGGTAAAACCAATAGGAAATATTTCAGTCAAATTTCATGATTTTAGTCAAGTTTTATTCGATGAACCTTTCGTTGTGTGCCGTCGCATTTGTCTATGCCGTTATTGCAAAGTTCATAGAAGACGAAATGCCGGAAAATTATAAGATCAATTTTGGAATTGATGTAAATTTGGAATTTTAAAAAGCTGAAAATATGAAACAAATGGGTTCAGATCACTCAGTTGTTAGCAAAATTTGGACTTGGCAAAGTATTCACACCTACTGGAATCTCATTTGATCCACAAGAGTAAGAAACGAAATATTCAATTCGAATAACAACAGTTCATTTTTAAAGTTTGATGAATGGAATTGCAAGTAAAGAAGAGGAAATTGAGAGTGGCGGAACATCGAACACTTTGATTGGAATGTCGGATGCGTTAATTGAATCTGGAGAGGTGGAAATGGGCAGCTCGCAACCATCTGGTGAGCCATCAATTTAACACAAATGGCCATTATTTATAAATTGCAGCAAGCCAGAGCGGATCTGAAATGCTGATCGCAATCAATCTTCCGACGAATTCGAGCACCTCCGAAGAGCATCCGCAATTCCAACAGAAAACTCCATCGAAATCCGCATCGATCAAGCCAATCCAACTACAATTGCACACGATTCGTCGCATTCTCTTCCTCGTCTACGTTGTAATTTATGTGATTGTTGTTGCGGTTTTTCTCATTTTCTAATCAATTCTACTGTTTAACGTGTTATATTTTACGACGAGCTCAAACGACAACCGATCAAACACAGCGAATATATGAAAAGCAAAACGTTAGAATCGCAACAGATCATGATGGTCAATGTCGAGCCGCTTTTGCTGGATGGCCGGCGGAACGTCCTGCCAGTCGTACCTTAAAATAGACACACGTATCTACTCACATTAATTCAAATAATGGAGGTTCGACAACACCCTCACATATTCAATTATTCATTACCAAAAAAGGGAGAGGCACCAAAGAACTCACCACTTCTTCGCGACTTCGATGTCCGTGTTCCAATTGTACCACTTTTTCAGCCTCAATGGAGACCTGAAATCCGGAAATATTGTCTGCACATGAAGCAGGCTTACGGTGAGCTCAAGCATCCGTTGAACAGTAAACTGCAAACGCATAATACCAGAATGACCAAGTTGAGCAAGCGAGACATTTTGGAAATGCTCCTTGAGAACTATAACGATTTTAAACAATTTAAATCATCGTATATATATGTATATGTATATAGTTGGCCTCCGGCGAGTGCTCTATGCGGGTAGATTTACGAGAATGCGTCGGCGCTATGATCTCGGGTGGAATTACTGGATCTTTTGCATTTTAAGGGTCGGTTCGATAATTTTTAATTTTAATGACGTTGGAAATTCAAGAAAACACCAAAATTATCATTTCACGTGAAAACAGCAAAATAAGAAATCACACAATCTACCCGCCTACATACAGCAGTCACCGGATGCCTATAATTTTTTTCAAATCTGTGAAATGATAGACAGATGTAAAAGATCTATTTTAGCTATTTCCTATATTTAAACGCTCATTTACGCACATGGATACAAATTTATACAAATGGGAACATGTACAAATTGGAGTCGTCTGAATATACATATGCTCATATATATTTAATACTTTTCGACCAATTATTTAGTAGATATCAGACATAATAAAAACACAAATAGTACATCGAAAAAGTCTGGAGAAAATTTTTGATTGTAATTATTTGGATGAAACGTGTTTAAAAATTTGAATTTTTTTATTACCATAAAACAATGAAACTCCATACAAATTAAAATAGAAACAAAAATTGCGAACGACTGAGAGTCAATTTCTGAATTTGTATGTTTACAACGAAACTGGGAACTATACTGTCAGTTATGAAAGATTCAAAAATTTGGAAAATTTTTTTCATTTTTGAATAACGTCATACGTCGGGCCATTTTTGTATTTAGGAAGGAAAATGAGATTAATGGTGATTGAAATTAAAGAAATCATTGGACCAGAATGAGATTTACACGCTAAACTAATAAGGAATCCCAGTTCGACGTGAAAACAGAAGATGTTTAATTCCGTAAAACCAAATTCTAAAGATTGATCCTACAATGATGTTCTGCTCTAATAATACATAATTTCAGAAGTTTGAATACTCATTAAAATGGAAGAGATGTCTAATCGTCAATGGAAACTCTTCATTTGATTTTAAATAGAATCCGAAAAGTTTTTCGAAAAAAAAAACTAAATTCGTGATTCCAGATGAACTTTGTTATTATTGTAATTTAGGAGTTCAAAATGAGAAACTAATTGAGAATCTCGACAGAACATCATCTATTTATTGAAGAAAACAGGAATTTGAATATTCGAAACAAGAAAATATGGGGGCAGATAATGACAAAATGGATTTGTTAGAGGCGGGCGCAGGATTCGAAAACCCTCCTATTCCATTCGTCTCATTAATGAATTCTTGTAGTTAGCATTCAGAAATACTGCACACGAAATAACATACGCACATCCCCGTTGAAAGCAACAAAAAAATCGGATAACATAATGGAATGCGTCGGTGTGGTGTGCTGGTTTGACACACCCGCAAATGGAGGCGACACGAATTCTATAATAGGCAACCAAACGGCTCAATTTTTGATGACACTGTTTCACTCTAATTGATGACTCACCGATAAATCTAATTGTATGATGAATGTGGGATCCGACTCAATTTGAACAAAAAAATATCGCCTAAAATTATTTGTTTATTCATTTAATCGATATTTAATTGTAGAAAAAACGCGTATACATGAAATTCATGTTGATATAAGTTTACTCAAAAGATTGTGAATTTTTCGCCTGATTTCTGATGAATCCGATTGAAATGTTGGTCGGATCAGATTGATAAGAGCTGTTTAGATTATTCGTATCCAATTCGAAATTACCGATTGTAAACTTTGTCCTGCGATTGCGATTGGTGTTGAATTACCAGAGTATTTGCAATCAACGTATGCTTTTGAAAAGAGATCAATGTAAATTGGAATTTGAAGCCCATGTTCCTTGACTCTTACTTTTTGACTATAATTTTTTGTGGTGTCAAAGAACATGGCTCGAAAATTCAATATTTTTGAAACCAATGGAATTTGTTTTACCGTATAGAAGGTAACTTGGAAAACAAAAAACAATCTTACAACTGAATAATTTATACTTTATTCAAGAAGGATTAAAATGTGAAAAAAGTCGTGATTCTACTCAGGTAAATCGAATAAGATATTTTGAGATTCACTAACGTGCCTCTATAATATTTTAGATTTTTCTCAATGAATTTTAGAAATTATTTGAAGATTTTAGGTATTGAGATAGTTTCGAATTTGCTCAATAAATTTTCGAAAATGTTATAAGACTTTAAAAAGTATTTTTAAGTTTAAAGTTTTTTCGATTCTCAATAAGTTTTAGAAAGTATCAATAAAATTTAAAATTTCTCATAATCTTTTTTAGAATTTATTATTGAACATTTGATTCTCAAAATATTTTTTTTTGATTTGCATGAGTACAAATCTGTTTCAGAAGACAACTTTTAATTGTTCCGATCCCCTTTCTAATTACCTGATTGATAAATTCAAAATCCTAAACATTATCTTACCATTATAATTATTAACTTTTCACAGTATGATATTGTTGCTCACATACGTATGTATATAGTATTTACCAATACTCCGTAATGTCGACGCTATTGTTGTTTAATCCGACTCCATTTTAAATAATACCAATTTAGAGTATCGCACACTATTATTAGGATCATCAATCACAAATTAGATACCATGTTATATTTGTGAGAATGGCCATGTTTGCACCATCTTCATCTTCAGTCGGCTTGCAATGACTCGTGTCTTTATGGATATTTCGGCTGACGCGAAGCCAATCGGTCGATTAGTTTTTAAGGTATGCCATTTTTCATAGTAAATAATTCCATTTTCTTCGCCATTCGCAATTCCAGCTTAACACCGATATTTGTCCTCGAACATGTGAAAACTTTCGTCGATTGTGCACTGGCGAAATGGGGTTTGGATACAAGAAGTGCATCTTCTACCGAGTTGTTCCAACATTTTGTGCCTGTGTAATGTATTTCCACAAATTCTGAAATAATAGAGCAAATTTAGTCGGGCGATTTCGAAACTCAGAACGAGACGCGAGAGGGCGGAAAATCAACGTTCGGCACAAAATATTTCGACGATGAAAACTTTGTGATTCGCCATACAAAACGGTAAGTTGGGTAATCATTTTTGTAAAAAAAAGAGAATTAATGAATTTCGTAGAGGAATTCTTGGAATGGATAATTATGGATGGGAAAATACGAATAGCAGCCGATTCTACATTACATTTGCACCGGCTTCGTGGTAATCGTCCAATTTCAGTCTTTTTCGAAGAAAATAAATATTTAGGATGGACAACTTTCATGTAGCATTTGGAGAACTCGTTGAGGGATTTGACGTTCTTGACAAAATTGAAAGCCTTGGCGTTCTTGAAGGTACGAAATAATATCGTTCCAAAAAACCACTGACTAAACTATGAAAAACTCTGAAAAGGGTCAAGTCAATATAGTAATATGTAGTAATATGATAATAGGTTTGAGAAATCTAATTCAAATTTATTTCAATCGTTACAATTTCATCGTAGAATCATGCGTAAAGTTACAGAGAAACAAAATCAACAAAATACCTATTACACAAGTCTAACGCCAATTTTTTAAGGGAACGGCCCACAACGTGGAAGAACAACACAGAAAATAACAATCGAAAACTGCGGACAACTATAAAAAAAAACACTCGAAAATTTAAGATAAACAATATTAATCTTAAATTAGTATTATTAAAGATGCTGGCAACGAAAGCAAAAAATCACAAAGCGAAAACCACTAAGTAGCGATTTACTTGTTTCTAAATAAGAAAGCAACAATTTAAATATGAAAGATCACAATTCTATTCGACAATGTATGCTAAAAAAAATATATATATATATATTACATTCATAAAAAAACGAGCACCCTATGCCGATTTATGGTGGTTAAATTTTAATTTGAAATACCGCCTCAGAAAATGTGCCATGGTTCACAATTATGCACGGCGCTCATTTTTTTTGCGATAGTAATTTATATATGAAACACTTACTGCAATTTTCTGCTATTAAAAATTTTCGTACTAAATATTCGTTGTGACTTTTCACATTTACATCATGGATTTCTCTTGAACTTCAACATGTTCCGCACGACGATACAATGCGATGTATGCTTGAGAAACATCCCGAATATTGACGTTTGACGTCACCTTTAATAATACATTCCTTATATGGGCAACAATTATTTGAAAAACATACACTTGAATCGTTCAAAACCACATAAACGGATTCGCGACGCCGATGTCGAGCAACGCAATAATAATGGCCATAGTCAAGTGATTTACCATTATGAACAACGGCTCCACAGAATTTGTAACTGGTTGATGTCTGTTCTGTTGCCATTTCGCTAACATCGATTGTCTCCTGAAATTCTCCAAAAATTAATTGAAAATAATTCCAATTTCATCTTAAAATTCAAAAATGTAGCAGACTTATTTTAGGATCTGTATGAAAACCTACATTTAAAATAATTGGCCGCGAAATTTTTTGTCCATAACCATCAAATGAAAAGCGTGATATGTGCAACGCTAAAATTTGCGGAGCCCGTAATAATGTGGGTTTAACAGGAGCATCAGACTTCTTTTTGCAACTGAAAATCGATATATTCGAATTATTATATTCAATCAAAATTTAATTACGTTTCGCAATTGTATCCATAAATAGTTGAATTGGTAAACAATTGCTGCATGAGGTCTTTAATGGTTGCATTTCGGCCTGTTGGATCCTTTTTCACCATTCGAACCGTCATTACGGTATTGTTTTCGTAATACACATGCTTTTGTTTGCAGTGCTTACAGGTGACTTCATTTCGTATCGAATATCCGAATAAATCGTCGGAAATCTTGCGGCCCTTATACCGAAGACTTAAATAAACGTAAATATTTTGAATAAAAACGTATAATTACCCAGGAGTTTCTGGTATAATTTTATCTATTTTTTCAAGAATAGCTAGAAGAGCATCGTGCGCATCTTCTTGGCGTCCTTGATTGAACTTTCGGTTCTTTTTGAAAGCTTCTCGGAACCAAGAAATTGATCCAATACCATTGCTTTGCAATACAGATCGTTTCCAATTGCAGCACAAACATACTGAAAACTTCATATAAAATTTAAACTTAATTATGAAACAATATACCAGAATCGTTACATCGATGTTCTTGTAATAGTCGAACTACAGCAGGAACATGTGATAAAAGCTGAACGCATGAAATTGCGTAGCAATAAATTGAAGGGTTATGGATTCCTTTCTCATCATAATTCTGTAGAAGAAATTAATAAAATATATAGATATTTAATAAATACAAACTTCTTTCAAATCAGACCATTTCCAGGCATACAACAGAAGCGCAGCTTCGTGTTTGTCTAGAATTGCATTTCCTCTTTCAGATAATGTTCGCGGACGATGACTTCGATTTGCTAAACAAAAAACAATATAAACTTGAACCATTTTCTTGACCCACAACTGTTTTCATGGTTCTCGGTTTCCTCGCGTTTCGGATCGCGATTTGCCAATGCTTTTGATTTTTTGAAAGACGATGTGGACTGAAATAGCCATTTATTCGTCTTGATATTTTCCCAAGAATCAAGTGCCACCGTCATATCCACCTGTAATTAAATATAAAAAGAAAAGTAAATCATACCACGGACAACGATTAAAAAAATAATCGAGATGTAAAAGATGATGATTTATAATTTTAATATATTATAATTTTAATTCGCCGGCATATTTTTTTAATGTGCAAAAATTAAAGAAGAAAAAATAAGTTGACGAAAGAACGATACGTTTTTGCAGAAATTGATTCTTGCCGCGAATTCATACAGTATGCCCTAATAGCCCCTAAAATTATGCTATTTTCAAAAATGTTATAATTTTGTCGGGTTTTTAGGATTTCTTCGCTTACATTTACTTTTTGTCAAAAATGTTGTGTTTTCTTGCTTTTTCTTATGGATCTATTCATCGTAATGCAAAATAGTAGAAAATAGTCATTTTTAGTGTGTTTGTGATTACATTGGGTAAAAATGTCATTCGACGATTTGCAAGCACTGAATAGGTCCATTAGTTTCATGCCAAATTTATATCACTTAGAATAGAATTTAAGAAGCTACTGTTATAATTTTTCTTTGTATTAATTCTTATAGGTAAAAAAAAACATGGCTGATATCGAGAAGCAAACCGAGATTCGCGAGAAAAAACTTCGCAATGTTATGCGAGAGCTTAAGATCCAGAAGCTGTGCCTTAACATTTGCGTTGGAGAATCTGGAGATCGACTCACCAGAGCGGCTAAGGTAAAACAGAAACAATTTAGCTTGAAAAATAAAAAATTTTAGGTTCTTGAACAACTTACTGGACAAACTCCAGTTTTTTCAAAAGCCAGATATACTGTCAGAACTTTCGGTATCCGTAGAAACGAAAAAATTGCGGTTCACTGTACTGTTCGTGGACCAAAAGCCGAAGAGATCTTAGAAAAAGGACTCAAGGTCAAGGAATACGAGTTGTATAAAGAGAACTTTTCCGACACGGGAAACTTTGGATTCGGAATTCAGGTAAAAATAAGTAACTTTAAAATAATATACCGGAAAACATGTTCAGGAACATATTGATCTTGGAATCAAATATGATCCATCAATCGGAATTTACGGAATGGATTTCTACGTCGTGCTTGATCGCTCAGGAGGCCGTGTTTCCAAACGCAGACGTGCTCCAGGACGTATTGGACCATCGCACAGAGTGGGACGTGATGAATCAATTAAATGGTTCCAACAGAAGGTAAAACAAAATATATAATGAGAACTCGACAAAACTAAATTTTTTTTAAGTACGATGGTATCATCCTTCCACCAAAGCCAAAGGTTAAGAGGAACGTCTACCGTCGCCGTTAAATAATGCGTTGATCGTAAAAAAATAAATGTTGTTACAAAATTTTTCGGAGTAAGAGCAGAATAAGCGGAATATTTAGCCAAAAATGTGGGAACATGTGATTTACGCTAAAGTGAGGGCGCGTATGAGAGACACCGACGCAAAGACGCGTGCCTCCGCTCTATGTCACTGAGTTGGTGCGTTTTTTGTTTTTTTTTCTCCGTTGTGGTTGAATGAAAAATGTTTTCCATTGGTTTTTTAGAAATCGTCAAACTCGTGAATTTTGACGAGCATTTCGTTTTATCCTTCAAATAAACGGTTTTCAGGAAAAGATTTTCAAACATTTAAACTTCAAACTTTATTGATATAGTAATTAATTTGAAGACAACTGAACTACGAAATATGGCTGGGTCAAGAGAAGAATATTTGGGAGGAATAACTTATATTCATGCTTTAAACAAGACCTACTAATATAAAGAAATTTCGGGTAAATTTGGAAACGAGATGCAAATAATTATTAGTCATTCTTTGTCTCATTTTCGTATGGAGCTGGCAAGCTCGTCTCGAATTGCTCGATACCCCAGATTTCGCGCGCATATTCGGCAATGGTGCGGTCAGTGGAGAACTTTCCAGTCGATGCGATGTTGTGCAACGCCATACGCGACCAAGTCTGTTGATCGCGGAAAGTAGCAGAGACCTGTAATTGATGCGTTGAAAGCTGCACATTAATTATTGATAATCACCTTGTCTTGCATGGCGACGTAGGCGTCGAAGTCAGCGCACACCATGAAGCGATCATGGAAGCGAAGCATGTTCGAGAGATCGCGGAGCTGTCCTGGATCCTCAGGGGTGAACATTCCACTCTCAATTTGGTCGACAATTTGCTGAAGAACTGGGCTCTTGGCGATGAACTCCTGGCTGGAGTATCCGCGCTTCTGGAGCGCTTCAACCTCATTGACGTTCATTCCTGAAAGTTGAATTTTTTAAATAAGAATTATGACATGTATAACAAACCGAAGATGAAGATGTTGTCATTTCCCATTTCTTCCGCCATCTCAACATTGGCTCCGTCGAGAGTTCCAATGGTCAAAGCTCCGTTCAGCATGAACTTCATGTTTCCGGTTCCAGATGCTTCAGTTCCAGCGGTAGAGATCTGTTCAGACAAGTCAGCAGCTGGGATGATCTTCTCTGCCATCGAGACACGATAGTTCTCGAGGAAGATGACCTTCAGAAAGGAGTATTATTTGAAAAAATTCCCAGTTTCAATCGAACCTTAAGGCGATCTCCAACAATAGCGTCGTTGTTAACAACCTCAGCAACAGCAGTGATCAAACGAATGATCTGCTTGGCCATGTGGTATCCTGGAGCAGCCTTTCCTCCGTAGAGAACGGTACGTGGGACCATGTCGATGTTTGGATCAGCTTTTATGCGATTGTAAAGAGCGATGACGTGAAGAATGTTGAGAAGTTGACGTTTGTACTCATGGATACGTTTGACGTGGACATCGAACAACGATGCTGGGTTGATCGTAACATTGTATTCTTCGGACAAGTATTGAGCAACATGTTGCTTGTTTTCCTGAAAACGATTAATTAACACCACCATTATTTCATCTGAATCATTACAAGCTTGACACGTCTAATCGAGTCAAGGAATCCAGAGTCGTTGGTGAACTCCTTGAGTTTCTGAAGTTCATCAAGATTCGTGATCCATGACTCTCCAATCTTCTCGACGATAAGGTCGGCGAGTGACGGATTGGACAAAAGAAGCCATCTTCTTGGGGTAATTCCGTTGGTCTTGTTCTGGAATCTTCCCGGGAAGAACTCATCGAAGTCTTTGAACCTAAAATCGTAAAAATTCACAAAAACTTATGATTTGAGAGGTACGTGGTGGTCTTCAAAAGCTCAGAGTGGAGAGCAGCGACACCATTGATGGCATGCGATGAAACAATGCACAAATGAGCCATGTTGATGCGCTTCTCGCCGAATTGATCAGCCTCTTCGACAATTGACATGCGACGCATACGGTCAAAGTCTCCGGGATATTTGGCAGAAAGTGACTCCATGAACTTCTGATTGATCTCATAGATGATTTCGAGATGTCTTGGGAGAAGATTCTAAAAAAAAGGAGGGCTTGTTTATTTCGATACATTCCTTCTATTTGATAGCGTAAACCAATTTAAAACTATACTGAAATTTCTCTTCTCACTTCAATTTGATCAACACGTGTTCAAAAACACACCTGCATGAGCGAGACTGGCCATCTCTCAAGCGCCTCTGGCAAGAGTGTGTGGTTGGTGTATGCGTAGGTCTTAACGCAGATGTCCCATGCCTGATCCCACGATAATCCCTCGACATCGACGAGCAGACGAATGAGCTCCGGAATTCCGATCGATGGATGGGTGTCGTTGAGTTGAATGGCGACCTAATAATTAATGGTTGTCGCTCAATGTTCGCTTTCTCATGATTTGCGTTCAAAACCTTGTCCGGGAATGTGTCGAAGTTGACACGGGTCACCTCGCGGTTTCCGTAGATTGACGACTTGAAACGGCGGATGATATCTTGAAGAGTAGCAGCGACCAAGAAGTATTGCTGCTTCAAACGAAGCTCCTTTCCGAGGAACATCTAAAAGTTTTGCAGTAAAATCAATATGTGAAAATGAATTCGTACATTGTCATTCGGGTAAAGAACACGAGTAATGTTCTCCGAAAGATTACGGTCCATGACAGCTTGAACGTAGTCTCCATCGTTAAAGAATTTCAAACGGAAATGGTTCTCAGCCTTAGCCGACCACAAACGAAGTGTGTTCACAATGTTGTTCTTGTATCCTGGGACCGGAGTGTCGTAAGGCATAGCAAAAACGACATTGGTATCAACCCATATCGATTTTCCCTTTTCGTCCTTGACAACTTTTCCATAGAAGTTGACCGGGAGCATATACTCCGGACGCGCCTTCTCCCATGGGTTTCCGAAACGAAGCCAGTCATCAGGCTCCTCAACTTGCCATCCGTCGCGGATGAGTTGCTTGAAGATTCCGTACTCGTAACGGAGTCCATATCCGTACGCTGGAATTCCAAGAGTGGCCATTGAATCGAGGAAGCACGCCGCCAATCTTCCGAGTCCTCCGTTTCCAAGTCCGGCATCTTCCTCAATCTCTTGAAGCTCTTCGATGTCAAGACCAAGCTGAAATTGCGACAGTTCATTCCAATATTGGATATGCCAATCGCGATACCTGATAAAGAGCCTCATCAACGGTAGCTTGTAAACCGAGATTCATCATCGTGTTCGAGAGGGTTCTTCCCATGTAGAACTCAAGCGACAAGTAGTAAACACGCTTTGGATCCTTGTCATAGTAATGCTGTTGGGTGCGGATCCAGCGGCTCACCAAATGATCACGAACGGTGTTCGCAAGCGCAAAATAGTAATCGCGCTCGGTAGCAACATTACGATCCTTTAAAGTTCATCATTTTGCATCTTGCAATAACAAACACAAACGCGTACCTTGATGATCGAAAAGTGCAAGTGGCGATTAAACGCCTTCTTGATGTTGCTGACGTTCTCGACTTGTGCGATTCCGCGGACACTGATTTGCTTGCGACGATCGTGGTCGTTGGTAATCATTTCGAAGTCTCTTCAAGTTCTGTAGCAAAGAAATGACAAATAATCGCTTCAAACGAGAACTGTCAATAGTAAACAGGTAAGCGCCAAACAAGCACGTGAAAATCGAATGTTCGAAGACCGAAAAACGATAACCCAATTATATACTGATATCGGTTTCATCGAAATGATATCGATAAAACAACATCACCAGTGTACTGTTTAGTTATACGATTGCGAAGATGTTTGGAAATAGGACTTGATTTTCAAATAACATTGAAATATTCTCTTCATTAGGAATGAGAATATGAAAACAAAAGTGTGAAATAGTTGGCTGAAACTGATAATCCTTAGATAGTTAGCAGTGTGAGCGCTCGATCGAGTATGATCGATCTTGGTAGCGAAAATCGATCGGGATCGATCGATCTTTCTAAAAATCGATCGATCTCGGGTTCGATCGATCTTTAAATTTTCGAGCAAGATCGATTTTTTAACGATTTTGAGATCGAGCGCGCACACGGATAGTTAGTCTAATTACTGCAATTGTACATATTTTCATTCAATTATGATCGAATGGGGTGAATTTTTGAACTTGCTTGCTTTTAATTCGACTTGTTTCTCATAAAACGGCTGCAAAATGTTTTCTTGGGATTTATTTTATCTAATCTCATGCCTCTATAAATACATTTAGACGTATTTCACAGATAGATGGAGAAGCCTACGTGCTAAAAGACACGCACACAAGTCGAAGAGAATGGACTTTCTTTCTCCCGCCGCAGTAAACACGCACACATTTCATATTTTTATATGCTTTCCATCAGAGAAAAACAATGGTCTTACACAATTTTCTTACGACGCTCCATCTAACATCTGCAAGAAAAGAGCAACTGATTCGAAATTTCGTCGATTGATCTTTTTTTTGAGAAATGAAATGATCAATAAAATAATTGAAATTTGATATTGTGAAACCAACTTATCTTTTCAAAATTTTTCTTTTTAGAAAGTCAAAAAACTAGGACAAAGATTCCAAGAATCAGAGCGATAATACAAACAATACTGAACGCGCAGTAATCGGTCGACGAGATAAAACAAAAAATGGGCGGCCTGCTTGCTGACTACTATCATTTCGTTCGCCAGCCCACTTTTCAACATGTTTATCTGTTTGAAAAGACAAACATGAGAGGTTATCAAAGGCAACAAACCAGTCGATAGATATCGGCGTCAATACAACTTCTAAAAATCTCGGCAGTGGTTGAAATTGGCCGAAAATAAATTGCTAGCGACAGATGCGAAACGAGCAGCTTGTCTCGTCGATAACTTGGTTTTTTAGGAGCCGCGGGCACAGGATTGTCCTTCTCACGCAGTTGCCCGACAGAAAAAGACCCCAGCGGGCAGCAGTGAGAAAGATGAAAACAGAGCTTGGGCCCGAGTGTAAAAAGCATCTCAACGGTCGAACGGCGGCATAAGAGACGCAGGGGAACGGCAGCACAACACACTGCATGACATTCAAAATGGAAAGAAATTGGGAGAGGCACTGGGGAAATAAAAAACGCGGAAATATTGAACAAAAACAACCTATTGTGTTTGAAAGTGGAAATCAATAAGAAATAATTCTCGAAGGGACAAAGTCCAAACCACCACAAAGCTCTTCATTGCGTTGGGTTGGATGAGAAGCCGGACAAAGCGTACGTGTAGATTGGCATTTTCCTGTTTTCGCAGAGAAGCTTAACTTCATAAAACACGGAAAAACACAGAGGCTCGGCCACTAAGAACGGAAAAATAAAAGTGAAGAAGTATAATGACGCGCCGCTAATCGATTCTAACCGAAGAAAAAAAAAACAGAAACTTTAACGAAAAGCGAATGAATTAATTATTTTTTGATAATATAACAGTGAGAGCAGTACAATGGGTGAAATGAAGTTATTTGGCGCCGTTTTATCAGTAGTAGATCAATTAAATATTTTCGATAAAAAGCGTACCTGTTTTAGTTTTCTGTTGCCCATAAATATGCTACATCTGAAAAATATTTCTTTTCTATTGAATATCTCGACAATCCGTGCAGAAGAAACGGTGCGATTTTTTGGGGTTTTTAATGGTTTAAAAAATCTCCACCATTTCTCTCGCATCGATTTCCGATATGGTTTTTTAAATCCAAAAACATTAATAGGCAATTAAAAATAAAATAAAAATATTGTGTATTGCAATGCGTAGGTTTTTGCAGATTTTATCAACTACAGTAATTTTAATAAAATTATTAAGACGGTCACAAAAAGCGAGCATCTGCCTTGATTTAATGAAAAATTTGATTGAATTTGATTCTCGGGTTGTCCAAAGTGCTTTACACGAATTCTTTAAATTCAAATTTGAATTAGCGCCCCACAAAATGCAGGAAATGATCAGCAAATATTCATTGGAGGAATACTAATTTTTGAATTTTTTTCGCTTTTGTTTCACCCGATAATATTGACAAGATGACGATATATCTTCATTTCAAATCTCGAATTAATAAGAAATATACAATTTATTCAAAAGATAAAATTAAGCTAGTCGCATTCTCACAACATCCGAAAGTTGTTTGAAAACGAAACAAGTAACATCTGCGACAGTATGTTGACAGTATAGCTCCGTACTGACCAGGTATGAAAAATCTCCACGTGTACAAATTACATTGAATCTAAAAAATGTTTACTTTTTCAGAAAATCCCATTCGTTTTCACCAACCGCCCGTTCAATTTTAATTCTGCTTCGTCCTGAATTCGACGTTTTGCAATTGCCGTAATGCGATCGATTTTCTAAATTTGCAAGAATTTTAATGGCCCTCTCGCTCTCAAGCAATAAACAGGTCGTAAAATTTATCTATTCAAATATATAATATATTTATGAGTTTTTCTCTTCATTTTTCATTTTTAGCGAAAGTTTCGAATAAATAATTAGATTTCAATATATACGTCTGTCTAATTCTATGACGGTGCAAGATTTTATTTACTTGTTCAATGATGGTCCTCAATTCTTCGCTGTTGCAAAGATTCGCTTCTGTAGAAGTTTTTCGTTTTTCTCTTCCTCTCGTAGCTATTTTATCAAACTCAGCAACAAACGTGGCATTGCTCAGAATTTCTCGTTTTGCTCGTTTCGACTTGCAAGAATTACATGAATTGCAACATGTCTAAAACAGTAAAAATAGTTATAATACTTCTGAATATGTCGATAACCTGTGTTGGACATGCAACAATTGGTTGACATGGTTGAGGAGCTGGACATATTGGAGCTGGAGGACATGCGCATGAGCCGCACGATGATGAGGAAGATGATGGGAATAGAAATTGATAATAAAGAGGTGAAAGATTGAGAAAAATTAGAACGAAACGGAACATCATTTTGTGTAAAGCCAAGAAATGCGGAGAGAGATCGTAAACGGATTCAGCGCTTAATCCGTGCGTCTACGGCCACCGGAACGGTTCTAATCCGGCCGAAACGGGTTTGCTTAAAATCGAAGTGAAACTTTAGCAACAATTCTTGTCTCCGATATTGAAATTAAATATTTTTTTATTGTTTTTTTGCAGAAAGACACAATTGTTCGCAAAATTACATTATTTGATGCCAATTGCTAGCGGAATAGTTTACTTCTTATTCCAATCTATTCTTTCAGACAATATCCTGAAGTCCCGAAGAAATCACATTAATTTGAAAATGAGACTTCCTGAATATATATTTGCTCGCAGGTGATTTGCCGAAACTCTTCTATAATTGGAATTCATAATCTCAAATTATATGAATAAATGCATAAATTAAAACGTATTCTCACTTTTAATTACTTTTATGCATTCTGATAATCGAAATAGTAAAACTGATGATATTAGTCTATTAATCTTCAAGCATTTTGTTGAGAGGTTTTATGAAAAACCGATCGAATTTTCGATTGCAATCATATTTCGTCTATACTTATTAGCTGGTTTCTTCATTTATATGTATTTTGTGAAAACAAAAAGCTCAAAGAAGGTAAACGTTTGAAAACGATCTCAAAAAAACTTTTTTAAAGACAGTTGATGCAGAATCGAGCTTTTTATCAAATTTTCGATTTATATTTCTAGTTGTGATATTCATATGCTCAATCAGCTGTTGCATTCATCCTGATTATCTTAGCCAAACTCGGATTCGATTCGCTGCTCATTATTGCCGCGACAATCAGTGTTGTTCTTTTACACTTGCTATGGCTAATTATTCCAATTATCAATCCAATTATTAGTTTTTTATTGTTTTTCAATATTCTTGCGCTTTCCTTATCTTATACGAATACGTCGTTCTTCATTCGCCTTCAAAAACATACGTGGTGAGACTTTTGGAATGAATTTGCTGAATTGAATGGGTTAAAATTTCGAAAAAATCCAATCTATTGTAAAAATTACTGGAGAGTATTGCAATTTTGGGCGTCGTTTTGTTAGAAATGCTAATTGTTTGATTATGCCAAAAATTCATAAAATAAATAGAAAACATTCCTATTATGCGAAAAAAATTCCCCAAACTATATTCAAAAACACAGAGACATTTTTTTACAGGAATTCTCTACTTTTCATTTTTCTAATAATACACACTTATTTTTCTCATCCTGCAAACAAATATAACTGTAAGTTTTTGTATTTATTCATGAAAATAAATATTCAAAAACTAATTTCCAGCTCGTTTCGTTTTCTGCTTCTATTTAGACCAAAATTATTTCTTCGAAACACGATATTTGGTATTTTTAAAATAGTTCTAATTACAATAGTTCTAATAAATGACTCTTAAGGTTGTAAATTTGTCGGAATTCGTTTCCATAGCGATTTCGTCGATATATCATTTATTTATTCTATAAAATATGCTCAAAAAAACTATCGATAGAACGTGACAAATTGGTTGTGTTGCTGCAAATCACCTTCATTGTTTTGATTCATTTAGTAAGTGATCTCTGATAGCTCATTGATTTAAAAATTGCCATATTTGTTTTTGACCGAAGTCTGTTCAAATTGAAAAACCGATTCGTCATTCATGCCGCCAAACGATTTTTCGTCTGTCGTGTTTGGTTTTTGACTGTTTCTATTTATGTGAAACAAATACATGAGGACATGAGGACAGGTTGAATTTGCTAGACAGCATAGTTGTTGATTGAAATGCCAAACAAAAGATGAGATCAGCCGCAAATTTAGAAACGAGTGGAAAACATCTGGGGGGAATGATTGGGTCTAGAGATATTCATGACGAATACAATTAGGTTTGGTCACGATGAATATTATATGAGATTGATTTGAAAGTATGATTTGGACAAACTTAAGCTCTTAAAGATTTTGCTGATCTACACAAATCATTAAAGACTCAGACATGCAAAATTAAGGTAACTGTCGGCTTCACCCTCATTGCTTTGGTGGTCTTCGAATTTCACCAAATCGCTTCATCCGAGTTCAACATTGATGCACATTTACCAATAATATTCATATTAGTCCCAATATCATATCCTTATTCATATGTATTTGTTCGATGTTATCTTGTGAAAAATATTCTCAATTTTGCGGCCAGTGATAAGAATTGAAAAAAAAGAGAAAAACAATGATAAAGATATGCTCATAAACGGTAATGATACTCGCAAATTACATATTTAAACACGTGCAGAATTTGTATTTCGAATTGTCAATATTTATTTCATGATAAAAGCTGAAATGCAGTTGCTTCTTTTTTCTATTCTTGTCGTTTCTTATTGTGAGGCAACGTTGGGAATTGGTCGACTTCAATCGATTGCTGTGAGAGGAAGATTAACATGTAACGGAGTCCCAGCGAGCAATGTTAAGATCAAATTATATGAAAAAGAGAACAGTGAGTTTGTTATAATCGAAAAAAAAGAGAATGGTGGACTTGAAACAGACAGACAGTAACCCGAAGACCTTGATAGTGGGATGATAATTACCAAAATATCATTAGAAAAGTGATTTATCAATATATTAAATGTATATTACCTCTGTGGTGAGTTTTAGTAATCGATGTGCTAATGGATGAAGTGCGTACGGATTCAAATGGAATGTTTCTCGCTTCCGGATCAAAAACGGAACTAACGAATATCGACCCAAAAGTCAATGTCTATCATCGCTGCAATTATGTTGGTGTAAGAATTTTTCGAAATTCTATTTCATTTCTAGTACATTTCTTTACATTCTTCAGATCTGCTATCGAAAGTTCGGAATCACAATTCCCGATAGCTTCATTAGTCTTGGCGCGATTCCGAAGAAAGTGTACGACATTGGCGAAATCAATTTGGCTAATAAATTCACCGGAGAAACTACTGATTGCATCAATTGAGTTCAACAATTTGTGTATTAATAAACTGATTTGTCTAACAGGTGAAATAATTTGAGGCGAAGAAAAATGAACACGATATTCTATGATTTCAGCAATGAATTCAACATTTTCTGATTATCTTCCTACCGAACAAATAAATAGTTTATATTTCGCATGCTATATTATATCAATATCTATCACATTCCCATTATATTACTCTTTATATAAACGAAACATATCCAAAAATAAAAATGTATGTCGACATGATCGTTATAATACTTCAAACCTTCAAAACACGTTGATTCATTTAAGATTTGACCTTTCCATTGAACGTCACGCTTTCTGATTTTTACTTTTTTGCAGAAATATATAAATTTTCCAGATTCCAATATTTCCGGTCATCGAACATTTCTTCATAACAGCCATAATATTTCAATTCACTTTTTCTCTATTAATATCTGTTATGATAGTCGAGTATTTAATTGAGTTCTTTGGGTAAAACACCGCTTTTGTTTTTTTTTCGAACCTGAAATTTTTAGATTATATTGCGACTGGATAGTCCTAATCTTTGTACCAACACTTTTATTTTTCTTGATTCAATCAATCACAATCCCTTTTGTATTTTCGATTCTCGTTTTCTTTCTTGCTCTTCAGCGATTTTCGCTCTTCTATCTACCCAGACATTCGCGATATTTAGTATTAAACAGGTATTGTATATATTTTATGCAATAAACTTCCATGTAGGTTGCTTGTATTTCATTCATCCCATTGAGCATTTTTAAACTCAATATTATATTTCTCAGGAAACAATTGACGCAATTTGCTGCATTACTATATCTTATAGCGTTTTTTATAAACTTTGTGTGGGAAGGTAATCAAAAACAGTTGTCTCAAATTCATAAAATACATTTTTGTTCAACCCATTTTATTCGATTTCAGCTGTGTGCAAATTAATGCAAATGAGGTATAGTCAATATATTCTTTGCAATAAGATGTTATGTGGAATGATGGTATTTTAAGAGTTTGCCCGGAAATTGTAGGTCTTGGAGAGATTGATAAAATTTTACAAAAAGAAAGAAAAAGAATGTATGATTCCTCAAAAAAAAGGTGGTTTCGAAATCAATCTGCATTCGTTATTTTCACATTCCGTTTTTATTTCAGCCAAGTCCTTCAGTCTGCGGGCACACAACTTGACTTTTCTTATGTCTTGCAAAGCTAATTTCAGTTTTCATTTTACGTTTCGTTCGGTGTGACGTTTATTGCCTGTCTACTTTATTTAGTAATGTTTCGAAGTGTGCGAAAACTCGAAAATGTCTCGAGCCAGCAGAACACTTACTCCAATCATTTGGCCTATCAGACTATTGTTTTGTTTTTCTGCAAATTGGTGAGAAATCATTGCAGCTGAATATGTATTCTGAAGAACACATCTTCGAGAAGTATCGTCGGGAAAAAATCTTTAGGATTGTAGGAAATCTAATTATATTTATGAGAAAGAGCAGGAATTAAAAATAATGAAATTTATTTAAAAAAAATAGCTCGCTTTTTTGAAAATCGCAATTGTATGCAGAATAAAGAAAAAACAAATAAACAGTAATATCTCTGGTAACTCAAAACCAATCGGATTCGACAAAATTCGGCTCTAGAATTAACCCTATCCGATTGGAAGTTCTACGGATAAGATTGGAAAATTGTCGTATCTGATTGGTTTTTTGGGTATTTTCGTATCCGATTGGCAATTCTACGGATAAGATTGGTTTTTTGTCGAATCCGATTCGAATTGAAATATTAAAACAAAACGGATACGACAAATTATCAATCGGGTACGAAAATACCCAAAAAATCAATCGGAGATTGAATAGTTTCGAATTGAAAGACCCCGGGTAACGTAAAATTTTAATCAGAATGCTATTTTCAAAAAGAAAAGCCATCTGTCAGATTTACATTTCAAGCCCAGGTTCCGTTTGGTTAAAAGGGATCACATTTTTTTTTTAGAACTTGATCCTCTCTTGGTATCTCTTGGCATTTATCGTGAGCCTTTGATTAATTTTGTTGTTTTTACAGATAATATTTCTAGTAATCGTTTGCAATCATTATACGAAGAGTAAAATGCGAATTGATTTTGGAAATCTTCATTCACAATCAATGGAATGCTGTGTGATTCCTCTTCTCATTCATATCAGCTTCATTCTATCAAACCGAGCCAATTTTCAAATGTTTCGCCTCTTTTTCTCGTGTTTTTCATCGTTTTTGGTTTTCGACAATCAGCGAATTTCTCCATATGTCTCGTCGAGCAGCTGAATTGAATTGATAATTTCGTATAATTTCATTAAAATCACGAATTCATGTTTTTCAACGCTACTGATACTGAGTTAATTAATCGCTTCATTTCGTCGGTTTGGATCGTTTCATCTTTTGCTACATATGTGATTTATTTTGTTATTTATAAAATTAATACGTCCAATAAAAGAAAAGTAAGCAGTTCTAAAAATTGTCAAGCAGAAGTTCGCAATAATGATTAACAAAGGGGAATATTTGTATGAAGTCAATGGAAAATTTAGAGAAATATAGTTGATAAACTTGATAGTCCAGATCAGAAACGTTCAAGCTAATTATTTCCAGACGCCTGCTTCATCAATTGAAGCCTATTTTTTCAAATTAGCCACAATCATTCAAGTATCGTTTGTTTACCATTTTCTCAGTGCTGGTGTGAATTTTTGTTTCTGGTATTATGGATATTACATTTCGAAATATTTGATTTTGAACTTTTCAATGTCATTTTTTATTTTATTGCTCGAGAGCCGAATATTTCCTAGTATATTCACCGTTGTCACATTTTTCCTGACAGTACAACGATTCGTATTATTTTATTATCCAAGATTCGAAAAACAATTCAGTGAAATTCGGTTAGAAAATATTTTTTAGGCACATAAAAATGTCTGTTTTTGAGGGAAACACTTCAAAAAAGAAGTCGTTGGGTTTATGTAATATTGGTCATTTTCAGTTTTGTGCTGCCATGTCTCTAATTTAAAATGTCTATAATCTGATCCAATAAGAATATTTTTAGTGTCATGTTCCGTTCCTACAAAAATGATGAGAAATGATGTAATCTGCAAAATTGTCCACTACGATGTAAGTTTCAAAGCAAATAAAAAGCAAACGGATGCGAATTTTCAGTAGTTTGAAAAAAACTGAAATTGCGACTGAAAATATTCTTTCGACATTTCAGATACTGTTCTATATAATTTATGCATTAAATTTTATATCAATTTGCTTATATTTATGGATTGCTTATGTTATCAAAAAATTTGCGCGTCATGGCAGTATAATATCAAACAATTCAAACCGTCTAATCACCCTTCATTTCTTCGTCATATTTACTTTAAAAACGGTATTCTAGGAAACCCAATATTCTTTTTTCATATTGCAATTATTAATTTCAGCCAATAATTCTAATAAGGATATATGAAGTCTATAAAAACGAAACATTTGGTGAAAGAATGATAGGCAGCATGCAAGAGTTCTTAATGCTTCCATTTGTCGTCCATGTTAAATATTTGTTTTCAAATGACACTTGTATTAAATTTATGCAACGTTTATACAAAGCCATGCGGTATAGAGAGCAGCAACAAGGCCAAATCAGGCCAGACCGGTGATGCTCAATGGTCTTCTGCAGCGGTTCCGGGCAACTCATCGTCATCTTCTTTATCACCATCTGGAACATCCGGAACCTCTTCTTCCACTAAATTCAACACTTTTAATTTTTGGCTAATTATCGAAAAACTTACAAACTTCACCATCGTCATTGAGTATAATGACCTCATTAACAAAATGTCGTTTACAATCTCGATGTTCCGAAAAAGTCGAATCAAAAACGCATGCCAAATATAGAATATTTTTCACTGGCTTGTCGCCATATTCTTTCCAAATCTTAAATATAAGCAGCAATTTATTTTGTTGTTTTATTCAACTAGGTTGAGATTTTAAATCGTGGGCTTCAAATTAATAAATGGCAAAAGGTACTTTCATCTCGCATAATCAGTGTATGCGTTGATTGAATATGGAATGATCTAGAAAATGAAAACCGACAAACTGGCTCATTTCTTTTGACTAATATTGCCAATATGTTTCATGATATTCAAACGCGTTTTTGAATAAAATTGAATAACTGACTGATCTTAGACGAGTTGTCGAAAATTCTTCCTCATTCACCCATTCCAATCTTTGCCGTGGTATTTCAATATGATAAATCGAATAGAACCTGTATGTTGGTTTTTTTTTCTTTTCCGAATAAAAATTGCATAATTACCAGCAATAATCATTAGGAATTCGTTGAATTCTCCCTTTAAATGTAAAAAATATTTTGCATTTTTCACCTGGATTCACTCGGCCCACCTGAAATTCAACAGGAATTGATCTTCTAGAAATTCGTTTGTTCGAACCGTTGGTTTGACAAAGAAACATCTGGGAGTTGGTCGTCTGACATTGAATGTCAAAATCTGAAAGCGAATTGAAGATAATTTCAAGAATAGCAAGCGAAAATTGAAAAATAGAGAACTTTATCGGATTTGTTCGCGAGTTCCGCATGAACACAACATTGTCCTTTTTCCTCAACCAATCCCGAAAAGGTAATAACGCTTGTCCCGATTGACAATAAAGATTTTCCTTTTTCATGAAGTTTCCTGAATGCTCTTTTTCGAATTAAATTTCAATTCGAACTAACTGGAAATCCTTTTTCAAGTCCGAATCAATAATCAATATATCTCTTGGTTTTGGCACTTCTATCAATGAAAAAATTCAAGTTTGCTGCTCTTCTAAACAATTTTACCTTTTTTGGCAACATTTGGCAACATTTCACACTTTATTAATAACGCTGATTGAAAAATGAATCAATTGGCAATTTCGCACCAGAAATGACGTGACGGCCCATCAATTTTGTTGAAAATTGTTGAAATATTTGATTAGTTTAACATTGACATCGTTTTTTTTAAACAACTTTCTAATTACCTTCAAGATGACAAAATTTCTTTAATTTCCACCTAAAATAAGTTCTAAAAATATTATCTGTGACTAATTGGTTTTTTTTTTTTCAAATATATGTACATGTATTGTCAAATGAACACAGAGAAATAGAATTCGACAAACAGACTCAAGTTAACTCGTTTTTCAGGCAAAATTTGTTGTTCTTAATTGTATATACTACATAAATAATGTTGAAAATTGGTTAGACAGTGTCAAATGTGCTCAATAGGAATTCCAACTTCTAAAAGCATTATGCTCCCATTTTAGGAAATGGGGTCTAGGCACGCAATGTGAAGCTGACAAAAGGTTTTTTAAGGCTAATGTAAGTCTGATTTTTATTTTTTATTTTTTTGAAAATTCTTAATGCATTCAGAATATGATAAAATTACCCTATAATTCGGAATAATTTGGCATTTTTTTTGACTCGCGAGAACATTTAAGATTTGAGCTAAAAAATGGCCTTCGACCTTATTTGGAAAATCTCATTTGCCATTAAAGAAAAAAAGAATTAATTCAGTCATCTCGAATATTTATAAATATGTTTTCCCGTCTTTTAAGAAGTTGGTCACATCTTGTACGAAAGTTAAGCAATGTTTTTTTTTTAGAAACAAAAATTCGAACCATTATATTAGGTCGATGCAAGTGGCCTATAGCTGTAATTCCGACGTTCCGCCCCTCGCTTGCTTCTCTCATTTCAACGTGCCGTGGCCATCAGAATTTGCTTCGGTCGCGGTGCATTCGGTTTCAATTCACTCCGAACATTATCAATTTCGCTATTCATGGAATTCATAAGAGCACACACAAAAAAAAAAAACAATTATCGTTTCTGAAACAAAAAAGTTGTTGCTTCTCAACAAAAAATACAAACCAAGATATAAGGGAACGCGGAAAATGATCGAAAATGCATACAAATGTGAGAATGAGCCTCGCTTGGTTCTTTCTTTTTCGTTTTCTTCCTCGACACAAAATTAGAAAAAAAAAGCTGCGGTGAGGGAAAAAAGACAAAAAAAAATGGACGACGGCTGAAAAGCCTCGTTTTTTATGCCATCTCGATTAACTTGTAATCCATCCCATCGGTTTCATCGCCTAATTTGAGGCGACGTTTTGTCTTGCAGTTAATGTCAATGAATATTGCATGCCTCTGGCCATTTTATACATTTTCCACTCCTCTCCTTCCTCTCGATTCTAGTGTGTTGCATAAATAAAGCGATTTAAATTCGAACGCGACAAAACGGAGCCGAGTCGCCAACGACACAAAGTAGAGCGCAAAAAAAAACAAAAGCGGACAACAATCGTCCTCAACGTACTTCCGTCGCGGCTTTTTTTTTTTCAATTCTTACCGCAATTTTATTATTTTTGTCATTTTTTGCAGAAATGAGAGGTGTCGTATTACAGTGAAAATTTCAAAAGAAAAAAACTTTGAGATTTTGGAAGAATACTCCAAAAAAGCTGGTTGCTACGAGTTTTTGACCATTCTGTTTATTTTTAGGGTTTTTAGATTTTCTTTATGATTATTTTTAGTGTTCAGACGGTTTGATGATTTTTTTCAACATTTTTTTGTGAAATCTTAACTATTCTCTGTTAACAAACCAATCGGATCCTAATTGGAAACATTTTACAAATTGATGCTAAAAATTACCAATAGGACGTGAGAAATTTCGAATTCGATCCGAAAATTTTGCAATCTTGTCTGTAGGACTACGAGTTGATTCTGGAGCGAAATATTGCCGGATATGATTGGTTTTGAGTTACCAGAGTTATAGGTTCCGTTCGCTTACGATTGCTGTTTCGAAATTCTGACAGACTTCGGAATTTTTTGACAATTGATTTTAATTACTCAGAATTGTGAAAAAAGAAAATCAGTGGAATGACTAGCATGGAAGAAGCTCAATTTCGTGGCCAAACATTTTTTAAACACTTTTCAATATAGCCATGAAATTCTGCAAGGAAGATTTTTTTGCAGTCCGTCTTAAATTTTTTATTTTTTAAAGAATCAGTATGAAAAAAATGAAAAATGCTAAGACAGACCTCCCTTGTGAGACAAATCAAAAAACATATTGTGCATTTTAAAAGAATAGTCGAAATCCTGTCAATTATAGCACTATGCAGATTTCGCCAAAAAAAGAAACTCAAAAAAATACTTTTAAAAAGTTATGCAAGTGCAGGAAAAAATAGTTGAAATAATTTTTTAAAATTTTTCTTTGAAATCTGCTGGAAAACATTATTTTTATGAAATCATTCTATGACAGATTAATCGGCGTTCAGGGAAACGAGGCGCCTTGTGGTCTTCCACGTTTCAGCAAATGGCCGATTTTTTTTTGGAAAAAATATTCAAAGACCATCCAATTTGAAAGGGTAAAAAACGCGATTTTTGTCCATTGTTCTTCTGTCGTAGAAAATGTTTGATTAATGGGTGTGTGGTGTCAAAACAATTCGAGAAATGGGGGTTTGAATTGTAAGCGAAACCCAATTTGTGACTCATCCTCTTCAAATTTTTGTCGTTCAATTTTCATTCATCTGAAAATTGTCAAATTATCTCAACAAGCCATTTGTTTTGTGTTGAACGAATAAAAAATTGAAAAAAAAAATTATCAGCGGGGGTCTTTTGTGTTTTTCTTCTTCTCCTTCCTCGTCCATCCCCTTCTTCTTCGTCCATTCTGTCCAAAATAATAATTGCATTATTCGTGTAGCTTTTCCATTATTATTTTTCCTTCGACACTCTCAAACCCGATAGATAGTGCACACAACTGAGCTGAATCCTATTCAATATGAATGAAAATTAAATAAAGTTTGTGCGTGTCGTTTTATTGTTTTACGACTCTATTGAGCCCGAGTTCATGAGATCATCAAATTTCTTATTTTTCTACAGTAGACCTTATTTAAGTATGCACACATTTTTCATTAGTTTTTATGATCTTCCCGACCGCATCCATAGGCTAATCGAGAATACTTCGCTACCCAATAATTTTTATCTTCGTCGTTGTTTTGAAATATTTTTCCATCAAATTTGAGTATACCTCATTATTGTTTTATTGAAAAGATCTCAAATTTGGTTCCCCATAGAGTTGTTCTCTTCCTACAAAATCTCTCAATTCGCCTACCTTCGACACAATACTGATTGAAGAGATATTCGAATCTGTGACCAATTCAACCCAAATCATTTTTTTAAGTCAACAACTATTGTTCCGATGGATTCTTGGTTTCTGAAATGCTGTCATAACAGTCGTTTCTCCAAGATTTGGCGTGTTCATGGCAACATTTCAAATTAGCAATTAACAGATCAATCATATTCTAAAAAATAATAATTTCTTTTTTTTGGAAAACATTCTCTTTTTTTAATCCTAGTTTGAAATTCGATATTATTCTTCTTTATTATCAAACAATCATTCATTAACCTTCACAGACCAAAATAATCGAAATAATTGCATAAATTTGAAATGCAGTTAATTTATGCATTAAAAACGGCTAACTGACTTTTGCCAAATATTAAAAACTTGCGGAAAACAGTTGATTTCATTTGATTGTTATTTCCGTTTCGGTATGTGTCTTCGTCGTTTTTTTCATGAGCAAATGAGCAGCAAATGTGAAACGCGAAAAGACAGGACCCTTGTCTCTCGCTTAACCAATTACTATAGTTTTTTCCGCCGCCTCGTCCTCTTTTTTAAGGCACAAAATTGTTGTAGGTGCGAGCCGTCGGAACAAGCACTTTCCTTCCTTTCGTCTTCTCCTACTTCTTCTTCTTCGTCTTCTTCTTCTTGTTCCTCGTTGGTGTTGTTGCTCCGACAGCGATTATAGTTCAATTGGGCCGCCTGTGGCAATATCGTGGTCACGCTTGTAGGATATGCGACGAGTATGCATGCATATCCACTTGTCAAACTTGTCAAATGTTGTCAAGTGTTCCCGAAACGAATAGTCGTCGCTCGTCGTTTCCACACTCCTCAATCTCCACAATTTGTGTTGTTTTTATGTATTTGATGTGGAATAAAACTTCCTTCTTTTTTTTAATCTTAACAATCTTCTTTACCCGTAATTGGAAATTGTTTGGGGAGTGTTTAACAAGGTGAGAGATTTAAAAATACTTTTTAGAAATGGGACAATTTGACATGTGAATATTGCGAGAAAACGATCAGATAAAAGCATGGCACTCTTATCGTAGAATCCAAAAAGAAACTTCTTTTTGCCCCCTCCATAATATGGAATTCGAGTCGCCCCGTGTATTCGATTTCATTTTCTAATTTCGTCCAACCAATTTCTTCAATTGCCTAGCTTTTTAAACACATTTGCTGGTTTTTGTCCACAAATGAATAATTGAAGAGTTTGTTGCTAGGAAGCCTTCTTATTAGAAGCTAAGAAAACGAGGCGCCAATATTTTGCTCGTCTCAACTTTTCTTGTGCACCCAATTTTTTGCCGCCTTCGATTCTCTTTGTTTTCCAGCTTTTCCAGTTTATTTTTTCTCGTCTCTCTAACCAATTCATTTGACCGACAATGCCTATTAGTATACATATCGCATTTTTCAGGTTGAAATATGGAGATGTTCCCAATTTCAAGGCCCCGTCTCAACAACATTCCTCAACAGGTTCGTTCCAATTTTGCCACATTTTTTCATTGATTTTATTTCGAATTGAACAAATGTAAAACTATAAGTGTATAATGGGGGAAAACATGCAGTAACGTACCCTTTTCGTATGATTTATTGTTAATTGTAGTAAATAAAAATGGCGTGTATCAAAGGGAAAAAAATCCACACAAATCTGTTCTAGAAGTACAATGTGCAATTGTGGTCCAAAAAAAGATGAGGGGTTTTTATCCAAACTGAAGGATCCAGTGAATTCTTTTTAAAGTCCTTACCATTGATCTTTTTAATATCCTGGGTGATCACAATTGTTAAATGAAGATTCAATTAATTTCAAAGAAATTGCTAAAAAGGGTAGTCGTATCAAATCCAGAGAAGAATTTCAAAATGTGTTGTATCATGTAAGTTTCTAAAAATGTCTATCTATAATTGATTCTATGTGACGATTTTTGCGGGTTTTTATTTCATTAGCCAGCTTTTCACATGTTTCCTTCGAAAATAAAAATTCGACGCTGGATTTCCTGCAAATAATTGGGAGCATCATTTTGCACATTTCATTGGGAGCATCATTTTGCACATTCGGAGCATCATTTTGCACAATTGGGAGCATCATTTTGCACATTCGTGCTCTGCCCGATATTAAAAACCATAAAACGCGAAATGCAAACGATTTCATTTCCTTTCATTTTTTTCCTCATTTATATCAGCCATTTCACCGAAACTGCCCATTCAAGGCTTGATGGATCGCCAGGCTCGAAAAGAATAAACAGATGTGAATTGAGGCCCACCACAATTCATTATTAAAAAAATATATATATTTGTGTTGTCATCGTCTCAGTTTTCATGATGCGACTAAAAGGCGATCATTTGATTATTTAAGAGAACCTTTCTTTGTTGTTCTCCTTCTCGAAAAAATGAACTCATTCCCAACTTCTTAACTTTTCAATGTGTGTGTGGGTGGGGTTCTCAAACTTTTGGCGCATAATTAATCGTGTGTGACGTTTCCATCATCTCTTTTTTTTCTGCAAAAAAAACGAACCGATGTTTTTGGCTATTTAAAATATCCCAAATGACCCTAGTACAATTCATTTTTTGATACATTTTCAAGAAGCCTGCATTCTTTTGTCTTCATTTTTTTGCGAACTCGTACATATTGCAAATGTAGTGTGATAAAATTTTCAAATTATTTTCTTTTGATCCAAATTCAAGACTTCTAAAATCTCGAACATAAATCTTTGACTTATTTATTTTCAGCGGCTTTTGCTACTTAAAAATTCTTTTATTTTTCATGTCTAATTTTTGTGTTCTACAAATTTGCTGTTTGATCTCAATGATCCAATTTTTTGCTCGCATCACATGCTTCGGAGCTACTACTGATCGGACTGAAACAATCTCGAGCTATCATGTTTCTTGAGACGAAAACGCGCGGCGGTTTTTGAGCAGAAACTCATCATAGTAATAATAACACAATTTGTCAATTTCAACCAGTGATAGGCTCATCAGCGTCGTCGCAGGCTTATTGGTTTGTCGACGACCTCGTCTCGGTCAAAATTTTGGCAGAAAAATAGCATGTGGAAAACAGGAGACGCAGCGGCTGGAAGGGCGTGGAAATTCGGTGCCAAATTTGGTAGCGCGCGCGCACATTTCGTTTCAATTTGTACCTTGTTTCCGAGTCGTTTTTTTTTTGTCTTTTTTTTGTTTGAGAAGAACGCCCACCATCTCTTGCCGGGCTTTTAATTGCAGTAGGGCGAATCTTTCAAAATGATTGATGATCCGATGTAAAGATGAGGAATTTGTGAAGCAAACAACAAACTTTTAGTAATCATGTTGTTGTGGTTGTGATTGAAAGTGCAAACAAATCTTGTCCGCTGATTCTCTTTTTTTCTTGACATTTCTTATCGCTTTACTATTTGATTTCGATTAAGTTTATTAAGATTTTGACAAGAAAACTCGAAAAACTTGTTTTTTTGCAATCAGCATAGGGTTTTTAGAATTTTCAGATAGCTTTTTACCCATTTTTCTGATCTTTTTTTTTGGGAAATCGATAGAATACCATTAGAAAATTTACCGATCTCCTCAATATTTGAAATATCTGTTGGTCGAAAAATAAAAATCTTAGCTTTTTATGATTTTGGGTTTTAAGTTATTGAGAAACTAGGAAAAATTGGAAAAAAGTTGATTTTGTTGAATTGTTTGAACCTAACGAAATTCATACAAGAAAGAATATTTCCGGAATCCCCCGTTTTTAATTAAAATTTCTTCGTTGTTCGGTAAACACAAGACGGACACTTTGAATTGAATGAAATTAAGACGGCCGAATCCATTTGGCGATTCTCAGTTTTTTTTCTGTTCTCGCATTTGGAAATGTTCAATTATTTTGTGGGTCGCTTCTTTAAGTAGTCATCGAGTTGCCCGGTTCTTTTTTCTCGTTCGACCAACGAAATCCGAATGGCCACTCTTCGTTTGGTCCTTCTTTCGACGTCGTCTTCTTCTGTTTTTTTTTGCTTGCTTCTGCTGCTAAAAAAAGGCGTCTGAAGTAAAGGAGGAGTGCCACAAAAGAAGAGGAGGAATCCATTCGGCTTACAATTCCCAAAAGCGTATTGAAGTTGTGGTTAAGCTTTTTCGCTCTTTTCTCGTCTTTTGTCACTTTGATATTTTGCTTCGTATCATGTTCCATGTGATCAGAAATCGTCGCAAAAGCTATCTGAAACGTTTTTTTGTAATTTTTGAGTGATTTTTAATCAAGGCAATTTCCAGGTTACTTTGGCTTCTTTTTTTTTGCAATCCATTCAAAATTGTCAAAATCAGTTTCTTTTTGAGATTTTTTTTCACAATTTACATATTGATCGACGAATCCATGAATAAAATTAAAATTTCGACAAGAAACAAAGAATCTTGTCATTTGAAGAACATAAGAAAATACATATGTATTACTGTAGATCAATTCGGTTTCATCAAATTCCCCAGCTCACGGAAATTTCAAAAAATGAAATAAAATGTATTAAATTGTTTGGTTTCGAATTAGCGTCACATCGAATAAATTTCAAATTCGATTTTTGATTTTAAAATAAACAAAAAATATTGGAGCACATTTTTGACAGCGACATTGCAAAATTTTTGCAAAATTTTTCACATTCGCCTTCCGCGGTTATTTTTTTTATAAATCTTGTGCTTTTTTGATTAAAATAAGAATATGTGGTGTATTTTTTCACATCGACGTATCGTGATTCCGATTCAGAAAGATTCCATGTCATTCCATTTTTCGTCATTTTCCTTCACTTGAATTTTCTTCATATTTGCGATATTGTATGAATTGTGCAATTCAGTCAAAAAAATGGATGTTTTGCGACGCATCATTCCGCGAAAAATGAAACGCGATCAGTACTCGTTCGAGTTGCTCAAAAGCACGTCGGCGATGGAATTATCGCGGCGAGACTCGTCGACGACGCCGCTTCCGCGACATTTCTCGCAGTACGACAGTATTCAGACGGCGCCGTCGTCGCAAACGGCCATTTCCAAGGTTTGAATGAAATGATTCACTTCGATGGTCCCTAAAATCGAACAAAGAGTCATGAGGCCCCAATTGAGCTGATCCTCACGTGATCTTTTCACATCGGCGAAAACGATAAATTCAAAAATTTCAATTATCGATAATTTAAAGCATATGTGATTCATCTGGAATTGACCACAAGAAGCTACTACCGTTCTTCAGTGTGTTTAATAAATAGCTGAGCCATAAAATCAATCAATTAATTTTTTTAAATTAATTGATTAATTAGGTTGTCATTTCACAATTTATTTCCCTTCTTTTAATGTGTATTTCTATTCAGTGCTAGTTTATGGAATTTGTCATTTTTTACCCAATGCAATCAAAAGCTAAAATTGACAATTTCGAATTTGGCTGAAGAGGTCCACATTGTTTTATTATCACTTTTATTTTTAAAAAAAACTTGAAACTTAAAAACCATTCGTCGAATCACATTTTTTTGGTTGCGTTTTGCAATGTTTCAAATATTGCCTCCCACGCTTTACGGCTGTAATTGGATACTACATACTTCCGTTTAAACGACACACATGAATTCTTGGGCTTCGAATGAATGAAAAGAAACTTTTCCGCTCATTCATTATTGATATCCTTGAACGAGGAACAAGAACGAAAACCGAAGAAATTATTATTCAGAAATTAAAAGGCAATGTGTCGGTTGTCTGAATATGCGAAAAAGAAACGCAAAAGCGTTTTTCGAAATGTTCATATAAATTTGGATTACAATGATTCAAGATTTGTATTTTTTTTGTTGCATTTCCTTTAAAAAACAATTGTAAAAGTTTAATATAATTTGACAATGTCAATTATCTTTTTAATGGAGAACTTCTAGAAAATTACAACATTGACGCTAATATAATTCTCGACAGATATCTTAATATATTTCCGTTTTCAACGATGAGTGCTGCGGACATCGTACGGGCATAAAAATGTGGTTTATAGCCATATAACCATAAAACGTAGTATATAACTTTTAAAATGAGCACCGTTGTTACTGTTATACGTAGGTTATCGCGGCTACAGTAATTCTCATTATTAGAGTCGACAATTGAATAAAAAAAATATTGAGTGGTCCAGAAACACCCAGGATGCTCATTTTCTGCGATACACAATCAAATTAACTATGATTTGTTGAGATTATACGGCCGATTATGGCGGATACAGTAATAAAAGTTCGATTTTATTGATCATTGAATGCCCACTAATAATTCTATGAGAGATGTATTAGGGGGTCCTTCAATTCTATTATATCTCGAATAACACACATGCAAACCTTTGTGAAATTCAGTTGCCGGAATCTGATTATTTTATGAATAAATCGTACAGTGAATTGCCGACTTTTCAGCATTTTGATTCAAGATATTTCAAATTTATTTGTTGGTTTAGTTGTTCTTCATAGGTTTATCTTGAAAATAAACACAAATTTAAGATGGTTTCTGAAAAAGAGAAGGGCTTAAAATTTGAAATGTATCTTCGTTTAGTTGTCTTTTCACTTAATCAATAAGCGCTTGTTTTTTTTTGTTCTTTGTTCAGTGTTTCCTAGTTGCAAATGCATAACATTTTGGCAAGTGCAATCATTTCTGTTTCGCACGTTCTTTTTTTGTTTTGCTCGCCGTCATGTTCCAACTAACTAGCAGATATAAATGAGCATTTGAATAATCAAATTGTTGACTGAACCGAAAGCGCGGGTTGTTCAACTATTCTGATTGGTTTCGCCGCTAGCAGAATGATCGAATTTTAGCTCAATTCTTGGGTTTCAAGAAATAAAAAATGATGCAATTTCCCTCATGTTTCATGCTGTCAAGTATTTATAAGGCAAACAACAGAATTTCGATTCTCCTTCAAAGCGATATCATATATCGCCGTTTTGTTCCTTCCTTTTTTGTTTCATTCATAAATAAATTTCAAAGAAAAAAAAATATATATATGAAATTGAGAATTGTAACGAGACCATTTAAGCAGCATTGAAAATTGAGGGAATGCCAAATAAGTACACAGCGAGCTCTTGACTCAAAACTAATTGTGTAGATTTATGGGCTAACTAAAGGATAAGCTTAAAGGCTGGCATTTTAGTGCCAAGAGATCTTTCATTAATATAGCGAGATTTTGACAATAGAAGTGCTCAGCTAATAAAGATAATATTTTAATTCAAGTTTGAGAAAATTTTGAAAACAAAATATTGGTTATCGGTGATAATTATTTGCAATTTTTTAACTTGTTTTGAGTTTTCGCAAGCCTTGTTCATATAATTTTCATCTGTTTATGATGAGAGTACTTTATTGTTCATTTTGGCAATCATTTCTATAATAGGTGCAAATAATTGGTAGGTGAATGCAGACAGTTATCATCGAATATTTCTGCTTTCCGGTAATTTCGAGCCTCTCTAATTAGGCAGTTGGTCACCTATGCAAGTCACTCTTTTTTTTTTAACATTCCATATATTTGTCCATTTTTGTTAGGTATTTTTGCTTTGTAGTTCAGAATTATAGAAGAACGCAAAATAATCAGAACCAAGTATGACCATTGAACACGATTCATTCATTATTGGTTTTTGGCGCAATACTCTTTAATGTTTCATTCATCTATTTACCTAAGAATGTGTATAGTAGAAAACTTGCACAAAAATAGAATGAATGCAACGTCCGGATATGAACTAATAATATGTAAATAGAATGAGGAAAAGAATATGATGCAAAAGTATTATTTTTATAAAATTTTGCAATTATATGCTGAAGAAGCTTACGACATTTGTTTTGTCAAAATTGGCTATAGCGTTAATTTCTTGATTTGGGTGTAAACACGTGCACACAAAATTGCACACAATTCATTTCGTGGGAACGAGTTCGTAAAAACTGGATATTCAATCATCATGTGTGGGTTGGATATAGGTTTTGTCACGCATTATTGCTCTAATAAAATATGTTCGCTGCCCGATTCGTCATTCGATAAAGATTTCTGCAATACAAATACATTCGCACTGTCATTTATTTCAAACAAAAAAAAACAGATATATTGCAGCTGCATTTTATCAGGTGAAATTGAGTTTCTATTTCAAGTCTCGAAAATCCAACGAACACCTGATTGCCACTCGTTCTCGGCTCGTCTCGCTTAAACAAAATAATTGTTGCTCCGCCCACTTTCTTGCCGTCTTCTCCTCTCGGTTCGAGTGCTGAAGCTCTTGCTCAAAGCCTCTTTTTAGCTGAGAAAGTAAAAGTGAGGCGAAATCTCCGCTGATTCATCGCCATCGTCTTGCTTGTCCGTCGCAATTATTTAAATGAGCTTCTGCTATCCAATGATGGTGTTGCCGCTGCAAAAAAATACCGATAATATTTCTAATCTGATTAATAATTATTATTTGGTTGGAAATTCGACGCAATTCTCGCCAAATATACATTATTCGAATTTCAGAAGAGCGAAGAAGTGATCGATGTTTCCGATGGCGAAATGACGGAAGTCTCATCGCTAATTGGTTTCGTTGCGGGACCCCGTGAGCCGAGCTGCAGTTCAAGGTTCGATTTTTGTTTTCACAATTCGCCTTATTTATTCACATCATTTTTGAGGAAATGAATATGCAAACGATTATAATTTATTCTTGCAAGAAATTTGAATATACTACCATGGTAAAAAAGAGAAAGATGATGGTAGAGCAAAAAAAAACGGAAGAAATGTGCTTCAAAAAAGGAAAAAAAATATTTTCACAGCATTTACTTAAATTCAAAAAACAGATAGTGATGAAGCTTTAAAAAAGAAGATGAGGTTAAATTCCCAAAATGTTGAAAATTTGTTTTGTAGTCATGGAGAAGTTGGCAAAAAATGAAACATGTCCTTTTCAACACGTCACTATTAATATTTTTGAATTATTTGAAATCAATTCTAATTCTGAGCAGAGTCATTTGCCCGGGTTTAGAGTATTTCGCACTCATGGGTCTCTATTGCAAAAATTCAAATTTCATGAGCAGAAATGAAAGTATTATTTGAAGAGCTGAACTCAAAATCACCAAAATGTGAAATTACTTGGTAGATTTGAGATTCCTCTTGTTTCTTCTCTCTAAAAGTTATTTCGTATTGCCCGAATTTGAAATCCGATCATGTCCGGCCAAAAAAAATCCCAGCGTGTTGGCGATGGCTCGCGTGATCATATTGTTTCGTGAGAAATGACGCAATTATGTTGTCGTCTTTTTTTTAGATTCGCTCAAGAAGATCCGCTTCATGAGAAGGCCATCAACGAGTGTCATGCGATACAAGAAAAGTCCGATTTCGCCGAGGGGGTGCTGCTTAAGTGCATTGATAAGAAGCGTGAGTTCATCTGTTTCTTGAAAATTGTATTCATCAGGTTTTCAACCATTTCAAACAGAGAAAATAAATTATTAAGATTTGTGCAGGTGATAAAATGTGATGAAATTCTCACCCACATATATTTCATAATTATGCGCATATCATTGCAGCTCTATTCCCATACCTCCACTTTGCACAATTTCGAAATCCCGACCATTTGCATCGAATGCGACAAATCGCCGAGTGCGTTCGCGAATGTTCACCCACGCAGGGCAGCCTTTACGGTTCGTTTCGAAAATTGCAAGACCCACCATCGAAAAATCGAGTCCGGAAGTATCGAATGCATTAATCAAATTGGATTTGAGAAAGAAAAAAAAGGCTTTTCAAAATAATTTATGCTTTTCCTTATTTTTTTTCGAACCAGGAATTGCTCAGAAAATGAACGTCTTTCAAAACGGAAAGAAATTTAAAAAGTAAGAGCAAGTATTTAGTGATTCATGTGAGTTTTGGTGCTCCCGAAATTGACGTGAGATTTACTCGTCATTGTTCATACATAAAATGCCATTTTACGCTATTTCAATTTTGATGGATGATTCGTGAATTGACATCCAACTCGGTCATTTGTTTCAAAATATTCGAAATAAAATCTGTGAATTTTACTGAATCTCTGAGATTTGTCATAGAAAGACGAAACAACTTGAAATTGCGTGTTGAGAACACTTCGCATTCTAGATGGGCTATGAATCAAAAAATCAATTTCAAATTGTTTTTGTTCGTTCAACCGAAGATCCCAACTAATTCCAGGCTCCTACGACGAAGTGTACAGTATCCAGAAGACGGCGACCGCTGGCGAATGCCGTCTGCCTGCTCATCGTCATGCCGGCTATATTGTTATCGGATTCAAATTGCTCGACGATGCAACAAAGGTGAGACACACCGGAAACCTATAAAAACTATTGGTCCACCGGAACTATATACATATATGCGTATGCACAAACACATAAAAATGGACACAAGCGGAACACAAAAGGAACATGTATATATTCCGGTTCAATAGCATTATTCGAAAGAGTCACCCGATTGTAGTAAGCATTGGAAGACAATAAAATGGGTTTAGAAAGCGAAAAAACGTGCAAATTCAAGTTTCGATGAGAGCAAATTTTCAGCAGCAAACTCTTGAGAAGACATGGCTCTCGTGGTCGGGAGCACGAGAAATCTACAAACATTCACCGAGAAGCTGGAATTTGCGGCGGATTTCTCTCATGAAATGCCCATCAAAGTGAGACATTTTTCATTGAGTTAAACTAGTTCAAATTTTGCTAGTTTCAGTCCCCGAAATGGTGGAGCATCAAGACCATTCGCCTATATTCTGATGTGCGAGTATGGATCGATTCTGCACCCTTCGAATACTATTCAAGCATTGGATATTTGCGAAAGACTGAGAGTTCGAAATTGTGGGCATATCGCCTTATACCAGGTTAGAATTTGGAGTCAATCAACGGTCTCTGGTCAACTTGCATTCTTTAGGTTCACACTGCGTATTCGAATCCGATTCCTCGTCAGTCAACTAGCAATTCACCATCGCGTTCATCGCCCTTCGCGAGTCAATCAACAACTTCAAAACGTGCTCAGATGATGCGCGGATTTTCCCAAGACGTCGATGTTCAACAACAAATCGAGATGAGCTCAATGGCTCGTCGGAATCGAATGCTCCGTACTCGTGAGCGCAGTTTCCAGTATCCCGATGAATACTATCATTCATCATATCATCATTCCGACATGCAGGAACCACTCTAGGCATTAAATACACCCATCACATCAATATATCCACCCAAATGTCGGGTTGCACACATAAACAAAGCATTATATTTTGTTATAGAACTAAATATGACCACAATTTACAAATGTTATGTATTTTGATTTTTCTTCTTCGATGTTTATTCGGTTTTCTTTCCTGTGAAATGCAATAAATTTATCTGCAAAATTGATTTTTTGGTTTCTTCTCAAATGCAATTGAAGACAATAGTGAGAAGTGCAATGTGAAGAGTTCTTCCAACTTCATTCATTTTTCAAAATATCGTTACAGAACACAGATAACTACTTCAATCCTGGTGTAATTTACCATGTGTTTAATTTCCAAAAATGTTCATTGATTTGTATAATGAATACATCTAGAATAACGGTCACAATCATACGTAATATACGTGACTTTTCTCATTTGATAAAGACCGAGATGGTGCATATAATTGGCGATGAAACAGTGCGAACACGTGTTTCCTAAACACGCCATAGATCAATTGACACAAAACCATCGCATATCACAGTATACGTATAAAAGAAATTGAGCGACTGCTAATTGTCGCATTATTTCCTATCTCTAAAGTTTCTTTTGTCTTTCTTTTGGTTCTCATTATCTAAAAAACGCCATGTCTGTCGAGAAAAAGCCGATGAAGGAGAGACTTTTTGTGAGTGATGATCGTGCATTCACATTTGTCGATTTCATTTTCTTTTTTTTCAGGATCTCGCTGTATCGAATCTGGTGTCGAACGCAATCGTAATTGGTGATCGATTGGATCTTTTCAAGACAATCGCAAATATTTCGAGCCCTGAAAATCCGGTGAAGCCGGCTGAAATTGCGAAAGAAGCAAACTGCAAAGAAAGATATGTTCGAGAATGGTGCAATTGTTTAGGATGTGCGGGAATTCTCGAAATGAATTCCGATGAGAAATTTTGGATTGATCCCCAAAATTTGGAGGTACCTTTATTTGAGTATTCAATTATTAGAAGACAATAATTCAGGTGCTCACCACCAAAAGTTTCGAATTAATCTTAAACACTTTTGTTCCACCATTAGTCCAGCCAATTGATAAACTTATTGAATGTTTTAAGAAAGAAGGCCCTTATGGTTTGAAAAATATGATGAATAGCTAAATATGCACATTTTTGATTAAACAGGGCTTGACTACAATCTCTTCGACACATTCCAAGATAGAATGACCGATTTGAGCGAATGTTTGCACGTCGATCATGTATTCACCAGCATGCTTCCTCTCATCGGCAATAATATTGAGGTAATTCCATTTTTATAGCTCTGTTAAAGCAAATTTTCATATATAGGAACGACTGGAAGCTGGAAAAATTTGTATGTTGGATGTTGGATGCGGAAAAGGATTCCACAGTCGATTATTCGGTATATCAAAATAACTTCATTAGGTCTAAATAGAATTTTAAAGCTGAGAAATATCCAAAATCGAAATTTGTTGGACTGGATATTAGCAAGCATGCAATTGAAATGGCTCGAAACATCAATAAGCAGGATGGATCGAAGTTTGAGAACCTCGAGTTCATCGAATGCGATGCTAGCAAAATGCCCGCTTCTTGGACAAATCAGTTCGATTTCGTGTTCATTTTCGATGCTTGCCACGATCAAATGAGACCAGATTTGGTTTGATGCTTGTAGTTTTTCCAACAAAAACAGTCATCTGTTTCAGTGCATCAAAGAGATTCATCGTGTTTTGAAGCCAGGTGGTGTTTTTACATTGATTGAAATCGAAGGAACCAGCAATGCTTTCGAGGTACGAATTTATACGATTCATTGAGAACAAATTGAGCAAAGAATTCCAGGATAAGAACAAATTTGGTCTACGCGCAACATATTTGTACGGAGTTTCGATGTTCCACTGTCTTCCAGTTGGCAGTAATTGCAAAGGTAATATTTAAAATCGGTTAAATTTCAATGTCCTCTTGATTTTAGATGCTCTTTGTTACGGTACAATGTGGGGAGAGAAGCGAGCAACGGATCTATTGAAAAAATGCGGATTCGCGAATCCCCAAGTCATTCCGACACCATTCTTCCCAATTAATATTATGTACCTTTGTAAAAAAGATTAAATAACTGTATGATTATAAATGTTTTCAATTTCTCTGAATGTTTCATCCGATTTACAAGATTAATGCCGTAAACAGATCAAACAATGAATGCATTTTGACAAATCCTATTTTAATTAAATATTTAAACAATGATGAATGTATAAAGGGGCGGTGATATTGTTGGGCGGAGCTTTCTGTTAGTGCCTCTACAATTTCTTCTCTTCTTTTCACTTTATTATCGCCGTATAAAGACAATATTATTTCTCACCATTCAAACACGTGGTATGTTCGAAAAATCTATTATTTCGATCGATTTTTTTCTTTATTTGATTTTTGAATCGGCAGTTTTGTTTTCAGAAAAACCATGTCTGTCGAGAAAAAGCCGATGAAGGAGAGACTTTTTGTGAGTGATCATCGTGCATTCACATTTGTCGATTTCATTTTCTTTTTTTTCAGGATCTCGCTGTATCGAATCTGGTGTCGAACGCAATCGTAATTGGTGATCGATTGGATCTTTTCAAGACAATCGCAAATATTTCAAGCCCTGAAAATCCAGTGAAGCCGGCTGAAATTGCGAAAGAAGCAAACTGCAAAGAAAGATATGTTCGAGAATGGTGCAATTGTTTAGGATGTGCGGGAATTCTCGAAATGAATTCCGATGAGAAATTTTGGATTGATCCCCAAAATTTGGAGGTAATTAAAAAATAATACATTGTTAAAATTGTTTGATTAAAGGATTTAACAAAAACGAGCTTCGAAATTGTCGTGAATTCGTTCATGCCATCAATTGTGAAACCAATCGACGATCTCATCAAATGTTTCATACTTGATGGACCATATGGTTTTTTTTTTAATAAATTACAATTAAAAAGAAACTTTTAAAGGTCTCGATTATTCGTGCTACGAATCCTTCCAGGATCGAATGGCAAAAATGAGCGAAGTGTGGCATAAGGAGCATCTAATTTCGAGCTTACTTCCATTAATTGGAAATGGAATTATAGTACATAGTACTAATCATAAATAATTACCAAAAAATTGAAATTCAGGAAAAACTGGAGAATGGTATTCAGTTTTTAGATGTTGGCTGTGGACAAGGGTTTCATAGTCGTTTGTTGGGTAAACGGCAGAAAATAATTCTTAACATCCTAAATATAATTTTAGCCAAAAAGTACCCAAAATCGAAATTTATTGGATTGGATATTAGTGAGCATGCAATTGAAATTGCCAGAAAAACCAATGAACAAGACGGATCGAAATTCGAAAATCTCGAATTTATTGTGTGCGATGCCAGCAAAATGCCTGATTCTTGGACAAATCAATGTGATGTTGTGTTCATATTTGATGCATGCCATGATCAAATGAGACCAGATTTGGTGACAGTAGTACAGAAAGTATCAAGACCAATTCGAATGTTTTTCAGTGTATTCAAGAGATCCATCGAGTACTTAAACCAGAAGGAATTTTCGCTTTAATAGAAATTGAAGGAACTAGCAATGCTTATCAAGTAAGATTGCGAAAGAAATAAAAATAAAAATAAAAATCTAGGATAAGAGCAAGTACGGGCAACGCGCCACTTATGCTTACGGAGTTTCGATGTTCCATTGCCTTCCAGTTGGTAGTAATTGCAAAGGTATTTTTTGAAATCTGTTTTTTTTTTCAATATTCTACTTTTTATTTTTAGATGCTCTTTGTTATGGTACAATGTGGGGAGAGAAGCGAGCAACGGATCTGTTGAAGAAATGCGGATTCGCGAATCCGCAAGTCATTCCGACACCATTCTTCCCTTCGAATGTTTTATATTTAGCAATCAAAAATTAGAAAGTCTTTGAGAATGCCAAGTGTTTTTATACCATTGAATAACAGTGTTTATTTTGTTCAAGTTCATAGGAAAGCTTTTAGCATTACTCCAGTAAATGCCATGAACAGCTGAATTTCATTGGCCATGTTTCGTTGGCCGATTGTTACATTTCGCTTTTCGGACGCACTATCAATATTGAGATTGCAATAATCCCAATCACAGATGTAATAATCGATTTCTGCAAGTCGAAAATAACCAGAATGAAGACGAAAATCGCCTTGTTCGTTGGCTGATATGCATCCTTTGTAGTACAGTATCTCTTTAATATCTCCGTTTTCGGTATAGGAAATTCGAGAAATTAGAGAAATGAAGCAGAAATGACCCGAGCAGACACATGAAATACAAAATGTTTTGATAATTGAAATTATATTTGTTTGAATACCATCTGATCCAGTTTCATTTCTCAAGGTTATCTCTTCAAGTGTGAAATTCGATGTGTATGCCCTAATTTCAACTCCATTCGTATAGCATTTGACAGTCGGATTACTAATTGGAAATGGCAGATCAGCAGCGATAGGATTATTGCAATCCGTATAAAATTATAAATATTTACAAAAAAATATTATTTCGAACAGCTTACCGTATTGCATTTGCAATGTATATGATAGTGCGTTGACTCGCTTAATGTGACATTGTAACACGCGTTTGCAAAAAATGATTCAGCAATATTTTGGTACGATGGAGTATAAAACTGCTTGAATATGATCTGAAATGTGCTTATTAAATAATTAATATCTAGCTAGAATTTAAAAGAAGTACCGGTGCATTGGTTTGACTATCAGTCGTTCCAACCTCTTCGTGTGGTGGGTAAGCGTTCATTTTTCCAGTGTCCAAATCCATATACAAATTGGTTTTTCGAATCAATACGCAATTGTTGCCGATTTTCGATCCAATGGTTTGAAACAACGCCAATTTGCATTCGACAGACGGCATTTGAACTATCTTTTGGTTCATGTACATATCGCGAACATTGCACAAATCGCTCCTAAAGTGATTGTTGAGAGCGTCACAAATGTGTCTAAATATAAGCATACTGGCAATAGCAGATGATCTGATCTTCGTAATCAAGCAAACAACCTTCGTCAATTTTTTCAACCCCAGAGACGCACGTCTTCAAAAATAGAAAACCATTGTTTTGAAATATGAATTACCTGCATGATTTCGTGGGAAGAACCAATTGAATATCTCGAAATAACGCAAATATCGCCAGTGCATGTTTGGCTAAATTCATGAAACATTTTGGCAATATCAATTATGAATTTTGATACTCCACTTCTTGCTCAAAAAGCATTTGGAAAGTAAATTTTAAATCAATCTCTTACAATCTTGTTAGATGACCGATTTCACTCACTTTTCTCCAATTTTTGAAAACATTTGCGTATCACTTTCATGGCAAGTCAACGAAAAAACAATTTGGAATAGAGAAGCGAAAATGATCAGCATAGCATATGATTAAGAAAGTGATTGAATGCGGCATTCGAGAGCTCATTTCAGCTGTTGATTGGAAAAAAAAACGCAATATACATTCATTACTTTATAAACGTTTTCGCAACAAAAAAAAGATTATGCGAGATATTTTTTAGTGATTTCGATCGAGTCTTCTAAACTGGAAATTTTCATCGCATTTGACGCTTCGAGAACATCCGAATACAATTCAGTCGAGCTGAAAACCAAAAAATATTATAATTGTCGAGCAAACATATTTGAAAAACTCATACAAGTATCTCTCGGCGAAACTATTTACAGTGGTGACAATCAATTTTCCTTTGTTCTCAGGACGTTTGGCGAGCTACAATTGAATTTAAATGAGAATTATTTGAATTTGTTCGCGTACTTCAATCGCTGCAGCCACATTTGCTCCCGAAGAGACTCCTCCTAGAATCGCTTCCTCATTTGCCAAACGTCTCGCCATTTCAATTGCATCATCCGATTTGATTCGAACCACTCCATCAACATACTGTTTATTTTTTTCGAAATTAACCGGAATAATTCCTGCCCCAATTCCTTGAATTCTATGTGGTCCGCTTGGCAATCCGCTCAAGACCGATGATTCATACGGTTCCACAGCATATACTTTTACAGCCGGATTCATTTCTTTCATGAAGCGTCCGGTTCCCGAAATGGTTCCACCTGATCCTACTCCGAAGCACACAATATCAACCTACGAAAAATTTCTGAAATTGATGAATTTAAAAATTAATTCTTACTTTTTCTCCAGTCTGCTTCCAAATTTCAGGACCTGTCGTTTGATAATGTGCTAATGGATTAGCAGGATTCGAATTCTAAATGATACGATGAAAATTTGAAAGCTAAATCATCAAAGACTGACCTGATCCAAATTATACAATTCGGGGAAAACTTCCATTAAATCTTGAATTCTTTTCAAAAGTCCTGCATACCCTTCCGAAGGCTCAGTAAGAATCACTTCAGCTCCATATGCTTTGAGCATTGCTCTCCGCTCGACGCTCATTGTGGCTGGCATCACAAGAATTGCCTTATACCCTCGAATTTTAGCAATATGTGCCAGAGCGATTCCGAGATTTCCACTGGTCATTTCGATCAAAACTGTTTTACCGGGAATTATTTTTCCTTCTTCCTCGGCTGCTAATATCATCGATTTGGCGATTCGATCTTTTACTGAACATGACGGATTCAAGTATTCCAGTTTAACTGCTGAAATTGATTTTACTATATTTGTATTATGTTGAATGAAAACGTTACCAATTTTTGCATCAAGACCTTTTGTGACTGAATTTAATAAAACAAGAGGTGTATTTCCAACGGTCTCGCCGCTATCGGCAACCATAATATCACGCGACATCTCTCTAAAAATTATTAAATAAATTCAAGATTTTAATGAAAAATAACGACTAATGTAAATGTGCAAACATGGAAAATTTGTATACGAAAAAGTATTGGAATGAGTCAGATTTTTCAGAGAATGAAGAGCGAATGAAAGTTTCCTAGCGACTTTATACCACGCTCGAATTTTAGGAATAATGACGAAATGTCAGTTCGATTGTGTCTGGGTACACATTTTGATCTTTGATGTTTTTATTCTCCGAATTTCGAGTATATAACGTTGTAGAAGTATAGTCAAACAGCTACGTGACTTTTGTCATGTTCGATTTAATGGTCTATGTATACATTTGAATTGGTGGAGAATTATATAAACCAGAAACATAATAGTACTTATACATGTATGTAGGATATATTCTTCATTACCTCGAATTCTATTTATACGTATGTACAGGGTGCGCTATAAATACGGAGCCGCTTTCAAAACGGTGTAAAAAGATTAGTTTCAAAGATTTTTTTGTGAGATTCAACCAAAATGTTTATTAAACTATAAGAAAAAAAGTAGCATTAACAGTTTTCGAATCTTCCCCCTTTCGCCTTGATCACAGCTCGGAGTCTCTTCGAGTAGTTGTTAATGACGGCACGCAGGTAATTGTCGTCTAAATCGTCCCATGCATTCTCAAGTGCAATCTTCAATGCTCCCAAATTAGGATAGTTTTTCGTGGGAACCTTATGGGTCAAATATCCCCACACCGAGAAGTCCATAGGGTTCAAGTCCGGGCTGCTTGCTGGCCATTCCGCGGCTGTGATGAAATGGCGAAAATGAGTTGCGCACCACTGTTGAGTCGCTTTGGCACGGTGGGCAGGTGCCCCGTCTTGCTGGAACGTCCAATCTCGATTAGCAAAGTGAGATTGGGCCCACGGAAGTACTGCCGATTCGAGAATCTTTTCCATGTAGTAATTGTGATTGATTTTGGCGCCCATATCCACGAAAAGCAGTGGTGTCTTCCCATCAGAGCCGGTACCTCCAAAAACCATCACTGAATCCGGGTGGGAAGTTTTATTCAAAAATTTTCCTTTCTTGACAACAGTCTCGAAGTCCTTAGCAATGATTCTGTGGTTTTGGCCGTTCTTGTTGGCTTCCACAGCGAATATCTTCTCGTCAGTGAACAAAGTTTTCAAGTGCGTGCCTTGACGCGTGCCACGAAGAAGAGCTTGTGCTTTGGTCACACGGAGAGCTTTATTTTTCTCCGTAAGGAATGCTCCGTTTTGAAAACGATAAGGAATCATACGAAGCTTGTCTCTGACCACTCTTCTCATCGAATTTTCACTCATTCCAAGCTCCAGTGCCATCTTTCTCATGCTTCTTTCCGGATTCCTCCGAATGCGCTCCCTGATAACTTTCACCACCTTCGGAGTCGTCACAGTCACTGGGCGTACAGATCTCTGCTTGTCTTTCAAAGTACCAAGCCCTTTGAACCGATTGAGAGTTTTGTTTACCACCGATTTAGCCACACCGAGCTTCTAAACGATCACTGCCGAACGCATTCCAAACTTCGATAACTCAACGATGGTAGCCCTGAACGGGGAAGCTGCTGTTATAACCTTAAAACGAATTATATCGAGCTGGAACTTAACAAACTAGTAAAACATAAAATAAACTTCAAAAAAAAAAATAATTGTGCCCAATTAAATGGGTACTGTAGGCGCCAGAGTTGACGCAAAGTTGCGGCTCCGTATTTATGGCGCACCCTGTACGTATAGTATAGAGCATGTACCCTCTTTCTCTACACACTTCGTATTTGCTGTGTGTCGAAGCGAAAGACCACAGAGAACAAGTAAGAAAAGCAAAAAAAGCACAAAAAAAGTGATTTTTGGTCAAAAGCGTATCTTCATTGAATTTATTTTTATAAAACAAGATAAAAGTCGGCATTTTTTTATTCTTGTTTTTGCAAATTTTCGAAAACACGGCTCCGCCACCTCGGATATGAAAGGACAATAGCATGTAAAAAAAATAGATTTAAAAATTTTCTGGATCAGAAAATTCCTCAAAATACCTTAAAACCCACTAATTTCGAACATTTTGGTCGAACTTACTATTATTTTATTTAGAAGAGAAAAACAAAAATTATATGATTTATGGTACAAATCAGAACTAGTATTAAAACAATTAAAAAATTACTTATTGCAAGTATTTTTTTGCGATTTCGATTGAGTCTTCCAAATTCGAAATTTGCATTGCATTCGAAGCTTTAAGAATATCAGAATATAGCTCAGTTGAACTGAAATGAGAATAATTTACGAATTAATTCGATTCAGCTTACAAATATCTTTCAGCAAAGCTATTAATCGTTGTTACAATCAATTTTCCTTTATTTTCCGGACGTTTGGCGAGCTTAATTTAATTATATTTACAGAATTTCAAAAAAATTCCTCTACTTCAATAGCAGCAACGACGTTTGCTCCAGAAGAGATTCCTCCAAGAATGGCCTCTTCTTTTCCAAGTCTTTTCGTCATTGCAATTGCATCATCCGATTTCACACGAATAACTTCGTCGACCATATTTTTATCAAAATTGCCCGGAATCACACCAGCACCAATTCCTTGAATTTTGTGTGGTCCACGTGGGAATCCGCTGATAACAGAGGACTCGAATGGTTCAACGGCGTAGACTTTAATTCCAGGTTTCTTCTCGCGAAGATAGCGACCAACTCCCATGACCGTGCCAGCAGAGCCTACTCCAAAACTAACAATATCAACTTTTCCTTCAGTTTGATTCCAAATTTCTGGTCCAGTTGTTTGATAATGAGCAAGTGGATTAGCCGGATTTGAAAACTAAAATATTTTCTGTTATGAGATTATTTAGAGTCGCATACCTGATCCAAATTATACAAATTTGGGAATACTGCCATCATTTCCTCAATTCTTTTCAAAACTCCAGGATGTCCATCCTTTGGATCAGTGAGAATCACTTCTGCTCCATATGCTTTGAGCATTGCTCTCCGCTCGACACTCATTGTGGCTGGCATTACAAGAATTGCCTTATACCCTCGAATTTTAGCAATATGTGCTAAAGCAATTCCTAGATTTCCACTGGTTCCCTCGATGAGAACTGTTTTTCCGGGCGTTATTTTCCCTTCTTTTTCCGCTGCGAGAACCATCGATTTGGCAATTCGGTCTTTTACCGAGCATGACGGATTCAAGTATTCGATTTTTACGGCTGAAATCATTATTTTCTTTTAGAGGTTTTTTTTTTAATGAATACAACTGAAAATGATTGATTCTAGAGAAATTCCATGAATTATTGTCATCAGAGAACGAAAACTTTAAAAAATTGGCAAAAATGTGATGTGTCTCTGGGTGAAGGGAAACGCGAAAGAAGGTCACACCTTCATTCGCTCTTTTTTTGGCGATAATCAAATTTGTTTAGGCATTTTTATTAGATCGTGTATATATATATATATATATATATATATATATATATATATATATATTGCGTTTAAAAAAAGTAAACTAAACGATAACATTTTGCACTAAACCTTCAACCTTTCACATATACATATATATGTTGTTATAATTTAAAACGTACCAATTTTTGCATCTAGATCTTTCGTTATCGAATTGAGCAAAACCAACGGAGTGTTTCCAACAGTATCACCGCTACTCGTTACCATTAATTCTCGCGACATTGCTGAATGACACTATTTGATGGGAAAACTGAATGATGACAAAACGAGCAAACAAATAGTGCGAGAAAATTTGTGATATCAATATTTCTTGGTTTTCTAATACCGTGTCGAGTAGTACGTGACTTTTGTCATGCTCAACTTTATACTTGTTATGGCCATTATTTGTATGGCAATTAAGAAAGCTTGAAGCTACAAACCACACGAATAAATAAGGTACAAATAACGAAAAGGGTAACATGATGAAGTGACTAAATACACAAAATAAATACATTTCAATAAATTAGAGTTTTCGCTCGATGGAATGTTGCATCGCCCATATTGAAAGCGGTCTCATGTAACCAATGGCGCGGTACATTCGATACGAAACAATGGCTTCGGGTGTCTGATATTGCAATGGATGACGGCACCAAATACCGTTAAATAACCCTTCAGATGTTTTGAAAGCTTCTTTTGTTAGGCCCTAGGTGAGTTTTGTGTTAAAAATTTCAAAAGAATTATACTACCATTTCAATCATAAACGACGATAACGCATAAGTAATGCCGGACCAAACTTCTTCACTCTGAATACTCGAAGTATCGACTTTACCAGATGATCTTAAATTAATGATTTACTTCGATAACCTTATACAAAGCTAACAAGTATCCATTGACAGCGCCCAGTTGGCAATTTTGATATTTTTCAACATTAAACTTGAAAACTGTTGAAAGTGCGGATGTGATCTTAAAAAGAACATAACGCCTATGCTCTTTATTTTCCTAACCTTCTCATCTTCCAATATTTTGTCAAGATTACACATTGAGAGTGCCCAAATTCCGGAAAGCTGATCGGCCATAATGACATCTTGGTTTTCTGGATTCTCGTCAAACGAAAAATATCTAAATAAGGCAGATTATTTAAAATCATTGCTTTCAAAAACGCAACCGCCCATTCCAAAGTTTCTTTATGTAGACTTCGCCGGCGACTTTCAGAATTTCTCTATACTTAGAAGCCTCTTCTTTCTCTTCAACGACTTCTGCCATTTGGATAAAAGAGGAAAGCGCAGCAAGCCAGAGAGATCCACAATATGCACTAAAAACAAACAAAAATGTTTAATTCCAATTATGTTCTAACCTTGTTCCTGTCATTGTCCATACATCATAAGTTTGATCGGCAAATCCTGAATTTTCGATCATTTGATCCCCATCTAAAAACAATTTCCTAATCAAAACCAAAAGATGTTGCAATAAACCAATATCCCAATCAGAAAGCGCACGTTCGATTATCAATTTGCTTTTCTCATAAAAGTTTTTTAAAATTTGAATTCCCTGAAATCAATGTTAAATTTTGATATTTATTTATTTCATATTTACCGATTGCCTATTTTTGGCAATATATGAGTGATCTCTCCAGCAACTGATAACAAACTTTAAATTCAAGTCCTTCCAATCAGAGGTATCGTGAAGAATGTAAGCATTCGTGTGAATCCAAGGATCACCCACTGAAAATCAAAATTACTAATACATTTTCGATTTATTAACAGCTTACATGGATGCCCCATATCATGTGGAACCCTTGCAAATCTCTTTACCAACATGTTCGTTCCTTCAGCCATCGATGTCTCCTCGTTATTATCTGTCCGACAAATTTGATCGCAAAAATCGAGCTGAATTGACATCTCGATTTCAGGCCAATTTTTCAAAAACGCCCAGCTAGAGTAGAAATGAACATCATAAGTGTTGAACATAAAGTATTCCCAAGCTGAAAATAAACAAGAATTTCAATTTTTCTCCTCTTACTAATATTACACTCCATATATCCAAATCTTCCAAATTCATTGAAATGTTCAATGGATTCATTTGACATTAGGGTTTCCTCCTGTTTCCAGTTGTCGTCATATTCGAACCAAACACAGCTTCCGTCAGAAACATAGTAAAGCTCATTAAACAATGCTGATTTATACCTAAATTTAAATGTATGAATTATAGAAGATTTAGTTGAATGTTTTTACCAGTCGGGAAGGTTTCCATTTTTTAGAACAGGTAGTTGCCATTGCTCGATTATATTTCTCCATTCCTCAAACTTGACTATAGCATGGTCAGCGATTCTTGCGGTAACTTGAGAATCATCTTTTCCATTGAAGAATCTTGTATAGCGTCTATACGTTTTAATATTTTTTTAAATTTTTTAAAAGTATCATTACACCTCAAATACTTTCGCTGCTTAGTTCCAAAATGAACTTCCGGCGTATACCAAGCCAAACTGAAGCGAGTTTGCGTCCTAGAATTCGATGAAACACTAAATTTTGAGCACACAGCCACTGCTAGTTCTTTCATATTTGGCAAATTTTCCTCCAGTTCTAAAATAATAGCCAGTATTTTTGAAAAGTCATTAATTAAAAACCTTTGAGAGAACCACATGATCTCAATGAATCTAAAACTTCGAGTCCTGTGCCATTTGGATCGAACGTTCCTGTCGAAATCTCATTTTCATCTTCCTGAAATGTTCGCACTTGAAAACTTAGAAATGACGTGTCTTATTAATAGAAATGGCAGATGCAACCTGCGTGGGCGAACCGTTATTCTAGTTAATTAGTGATTGGTCTGATATCGTAAATCATACATTTTTCGCCATGACTCCATATGTAACCGGCATTTGGCATACTGTATGTGACAACGTCATTCCAGTTGAATTAAATGTGTTCACCTTATTTGGTCTAAAAAGAAATTTCAGAACTGACAATAAATAAATTTTTCTCACTTGCAGACACTTTCCGCATTCCATTTTTTATTGCCAGTTCCGTTACGGAAAGTGAATGTAATTGAAACATCCACATCAACCGTGGCGTTATTAATGACCGTAAATTCAAAATTTGCCACGGGAAGTGATGAGTCCTGAAAATATTAAATGGCAGATTATAAAACTGCTAATACCTCGTAATTGTGAGGGAGAATAGGAGACAGTTGCTCTACGATAATAGTAATGTTAGTATTTCCTAATGTATGTTTCCTCCAAGCACGAGGATATAATCCACGATATCTGAAATAAATTTTGATACCGAAATTTCAGAAATCCATTTCAACTTTGTATTTTCAGCAGGCATTGTTTTCCAGCATTTCAAATGTCTTGAAGAGAATTCTGCACAACTTAGTAATGATTGATATATTAAAACTCCAGTTAGAGATCGAACGGTTACGATAAATTGATTAGCTTTGATATTATCACACATTTGTTCCTTGATTCCCGGAATAATTGAAAATCGCCCAAAGGCTCCACGATAATCGGTGCCAATCGAGCCACACCCAATTCCTCCGAGCGGAACACCTGAAGCTTGTAGTAATTCATTATATTTACAAGTTTATTAAAATTTACCAGCATATGTGAAATGCCATAATGGTTTGAATATGTTAATAAACGCTTCTCGACCTCCCCACCATTCTTTGAAGGTGTACATACAGATTCTGGACATCTTATTTAGTATAATCGAAGTATTCGAAAATTAACCTGATAACCATTGGTATTAATCTTACGGCATGTTTAATTCGCGGAAAAAATGGGCGGCAGTTAGTAATTTCGGGTTCTCGATTACCTTCGGCGGTCCAGCCGATACCATCTAATGGCGAGCATTCCATGTTGCTGAAAACATCAATAATTATATTTTCAAGGCAAAAATGTATTTATTTAAATATGTTCTGTGTTCGGTACTGTGACAATTATTAATAATTCATAAATGATAGGGTGTTAATGTGTGGTAAACTACAAACTACAATGAACCTAAATATTTATGCAAAAAAGACTATAATGAACCTAAATATTTATGAAAAAATACATTTCTTTAATTGTCGGAACTCAACAAACTCATCGGGCGAAACACCCTTCCGTCCGGTGAGCTTCCCCAGCACGAAAATAAATAGAATAGTTATTGAATGAATTTCAAAGAGCGAGACCCATGAGTCACGTTGCTGTCTCTGGTAAATGAAAATCAATGGGACTAGAAGAAAAATGAAATATAATTCCTGATTCGATCGAGAGAAATGAAAAAAAGTGTTTGGGTTCGAAAAGCTTTCAAATTACTTAATTTATTTCCCATTTTCGGTTGAAATCGGATTTTCGGTTTTTTTTTTGGCTTTATCTGAGTTCACTGTAGGGAAGTTAAATACGTACGTGATATGGCAAAATTAATTTAATAAAACTCGATGCTTTGCAACCATTCTGCAACGCAAAACTTCCACACACTTTTTCCCAACTTTCCCATTAACTCTTTCCCACAGTCCGCGAGATGTTGTCAAGTTGAATTCTACGCGGGGATGAACTCTATTTAAATTTACGATTCATATGAGGAAAACGTGCTCTATGAAGATTCGATCGCAAAATACTATTTTTCTATACGACTAAGCGATTCAGCAAAAAAAAATGAAAACTCGACTGACGATTTTGAATTTTGACACGCTTTGTGCCAACACATCCGTCGCACAAATGCAGAGTATGCGCCTGAAATTGCGGAATGATCTGCATTTGTGCGTCGGGTGTTGGCACGAAACGTGTCAAAAATCCAAAACATTAGTTGAATTTTATTTTTTGGATTAGGTTTTTTTGGTTTTTTTTCCCACTGGATCGCCCCACTAAATAATTTCCACATCCAGTTTTTTTTCTATTACATTCGTTCAAGAATGTTCTTTAAAGAGCTAATGGAAAAAAAAAGAATTTTTTCAATGCCAAAAAAGAAAAAAATATTCATTTTTTCTGCATTCTCTAATCAACTATTCTGCCCCGTTTCAAAACAATAAGCCCGGTATTTAGATGTCTAAAACCGGAAAAAACTCATATATAAAAAAATCATTTTGACTTGAAATCGATAAATTTTAGGTCGCAAAAATTGTTTATGAAATTCTTTTTTTTTTTACATTATTCCTCCAATGTGTTAGAAATGCGCCCCATTGCGCACTCGCAATAACACCTCCAACGTCCACTAGCGTCCATTTATTTAAAAACAAGCGATTCTCTTGAAACTGCTTCAAGAATTGCATTTGAGTTTTCCATGACAATTTTTGCTTTTTAGATGACGACTACTTCAGAGACTTCACAATTCGTTGAAGACACTTTATCGGAAACTAACAGCATGAAAACTGAAGAGAAAAATGATGAAGTCGAAAGTATTGACGAATCCACTAATGAAGCAGGTGATTTGAAAGAAACACCGGCGCCTGTTTCTTCAAGAAGAGAAACTGTGAATAAAAACGTGTATATTATGATGGATGTCAATCACAAATCGGTTAGATGGTGACGATTTAATTTTAATTTTTAATCTTCTCAATTCAGGTGGAACCTTGTGATGTAATTGAGTACGAGTGGCCATTCAAATCAGGCGATCGGTGGTTTCTTCAGGTAATTTTCGAGTTTTGTTCGTTTCATTCTGGTTTATAGGAACAAATTGGTGAGCTTCTCGACATAAAATCGTTTTCGCGAAAATTCCCGGAGTTCACACGACGGAAAGTGAATCATGAAGAGCGAGAATATTTAGAAACACAGTTTCGCGTGAATAATCTTCTTAACGAAACACGTAAGTAGAAAATTAACATCGAATGGTTTTTTTCAAGATTGATTCTCAGAACTCCGCGATATGACAGCGATGCGATCAACAGAAATACACGAATTAATGAGCAGTGATTATCCTACAATTTACATGGAATACAAGAAAGTTGTGAGTTCTAGGGAAAGAGAAATCGCGGTGCAAAAGGCGAAAGAAATGGAAGCGGTAAGTATTTTGATATATTAAAAAAATGGTTCTTGCAATTTAGATAAAAAACGATGCTGTCAAGCTCGCCGAGCTCCGGAAGAAGGCTCTTAACAGCGCGGTGGAGTTTAATAAGGAATTGCAGAATGCTAGGCGAACGGAGCGAGCACATTTCTGGGATATTCAGACAAATGTAAATTCAATCTTTCAACGAATTATTTTCAGCTGTAATTTGTTCTAGGTAATCCAATCACGCTGCTCTCGATGGAAAAAGTTAACAAGTGAAGCAACAAAACCACATCCATATGCTGCTGCCCTCATTCCTGGTCAATATCAGCATTATTACAAAAGGTTAAAATCTTTGTGTTTCCAATCAGTTGATTTCCTAATTAGATTTACGAAAGAGGAACTTGATCGATTGCCATTAAATACTCTCAATGATTCGCGGCATTTGTTGCCAATCAATCGCGAACCTTCACCGCCACCACTAAACGTTGCTGAGCAGGATGCTTTAAGTGAGATCATAATCATATAGGGTAGTCCCTTAACTATCAAGTTTCCAGGAGTTCAACAGCTTGAGGAATCGCGATCAGATAATACATTATCTGTGGAAATGAAACCAGTAAGTCGGATTTTATGCTGCATTTACTGTCTTTTGCTTGCCATTGTCGTTCGTCAACCTCTATTGCGTAAAATTTCATGTTCCGCAAAATTAACCTTTTGTCCTCCATTTCTGAATGTTCAGCTACAGAAGTGAACAAATACAAATAATACGAATAATCTATATATATATATATATATATATATATATATATATATATATATATATATATATATATATATATATATATATATATATATATATATATATATATATATATATATATATATATATTCTTAGAAAACCTGAGCATTTGCAATTTTCTTGATCATATCATGGATACTCTATGAATGTCGTCAGTCTATGAATAATTGCTGTTTTAAATATTCCTAACTATAATTATAGTCATACTATAGGTCTTTTAATTACTACATCCTGTTTTGGCTGAAATTTTAAAAGAAACAACCGGTTTCTGTTAGTGTCATGATTCATTCCTCTGGTTTTTTTCTATGAATGATAATAAGAACAACCTTAAATGTCTTGTCCGTTTAATTGCAAATGAAATCCACACATTGAGACATGCTCACAACAGCTATAACTTCTCTTCTTCATTCTCATTTTGTGGCTGTTTTAGATAGAATGGCAAATGCGCAAATCGGCTGGCAAAAGACGGTACGCGGAAAGTGAAAGCGGCAGCGATTTTGAAAATGATATCGGATATTAGAATTTTTTATTTATCTCGTCTCCCTTCCCTTATCTATTTTCAAATGTTTACTTACGCAAAGTTTCACATTTCATTCCAAAATGTTTATATTTATTTGATACGTAACTGTGCTTTTTTTTCGTGTACAATAACTGAAAATAACAAATTTTGTAAATAAATTTATTAAATATTTAATTACAAAAAAAATAAATAATTTAAAAAAATTATCATGTTCAGCTGACTGACGGAGATGCCAAAAAATGTGAAACTTGCGCGAAATCGGACGGGCAGCTTTTAGAGTGAGCATTATTCGATTGGCTTTATTAGTATCGAATTATTACAGATGTAAAGACTGCCATATCATTTTGCATCCGCATTGCATTGAAATGCCGGAAAAAATGGCGGCGATTGTTAGGACTTATGAATGGTCGTGTGTTGACTGTAAACTGTGCTCGGTGTGTTTAGTTGCTGAACGAGAGGTATATATTTGTGAAAATTTAAAAATTAAAACTCGAAATAACTATAGGATTGCGTCATTTTTTGTGATCGGTGTGATCGAGGATTCCACACTTATTGTGTGAATCTAGATGTACCACCTGCGGGAACATGGATTTGCTCAAATTATTGCGAAGATGTAAGTTAATTTTTTTATTGAAGTCGTCAATGTATTACCATGGCAAAAAAATGGGCGTCTCGGATAAATGTGGTCATCGCACGTTTCGAGACGGTATTTCAAATTTCAATTTGAACAGTGGGAATTCGGATACCGTGCTCTGAATAACCTGCGAAGTTAACTCATCATAAATCAGCACAGGGTGCTCGTTTTTTGCGAATGTAATTTTTCACAGTTTTTTATTGTATCATCTAATTCTTTTTCTGTAAAAGGTGGCATAATCTCCCCAAGAATGGAAATGTGAGAAGAATGGCTCTTTAGATCAAAAACTAAAATTATCATCACCGCGGGTTATCATCGCCGTTCCGCGAAAAAAAAAACATCTGTAGCCCTCAAAATTATATTTTCGAAGAGGAATAAATTGGTGAAAATCGCATTTTCAAGCGCGCTTATCAACGCTCTGACGTTTAGAATACGGTTCAATTTTTTTTGGATTGCTTGAAGTACCTTTTTAAGTCATTATCTAATGCGAATAATTTCGTTCCAAAACTGCGATTAATTATGTCAAATTGCTATACAGATTTTAATACAAAGCAATTGCTGAAAATGGAAAGCCTAATTGCGGTCATTATGGGGAAATCAAATTTTAATTAATTTTCAGACGCCTGAGATGAAACGTCTACGATTGAATCGCCAAAACTTTCCATCGTCTGTAAAAAGATGAACATATTTATTTATTTATTTATTATCTAATTTTTGCTATTATATAAGTATTTATCATATTATTAATCCCTATTGTCAAACAAAAAATCCACGTTGGTCTCAAAACTCTTAAGTTTTAATAAGATTTTTGGTATTTTTCTTAAATGAATGCTTTATTTGCTTTTTTGTCTTTTTTAAACTCACAGTTGTTTAATTCAGCATGCAATATTTTTAAGAATGAAAAAAAATAGACTGTTTAAAAAAATTACATATGCAGATTGAGCGTTGAAATCGAATGTCTGTCTCGTCAGTGTCACTGAATTCCGATGCAAACGTCAGATATCAAAGACTAGCTTCTGAATATGGAAAGGTACTAAAATTGATGGCAATTAATTATTGTTGCTGGATCTTTTCTGTGGTCCTGACACGAATTTGTTTGAATTTAAAATATATTTTAAAAAGCTCTTTTTTATAAATTCAAAGCAATTATTGATTATATTTTAATATGATTCGAGAAAAACATAAATTTCTTATTGCAAAGCTATTTTCAGTTGCGAACGCAGGCGAAAGTATTGCGAGAGGGAGTCCTATCAGAACGTGAAAAGTCTGAAAAACTTACTGTAAGTAAACCCGCTAAACTTTTTTGTAGAAATAAAATTCCAGGAGGAATTGAAGCTTAAGGAAGCCATAATTCGTAAGTTGATGACTGAAAATGAAAGTTTGCAATTTCGAAATGATCAACTTGTCAAAAGAGTGGAAAATTTGCAAAATGAAGTCGATGCTTTGGCGAAACCCAATTTCGATGTAATTTTTATTGGATTATTATTATTGAAAGATAATATTATTTTAGAATGAAAAACCAACGAAAAAGAATGCAAGTACAAAAAAAGCAGCGAATACTATTGAAGTTCTTACCACTAAAGTAGAAGTTCTTGAGGGTGAATTGCGACTGAAATTGATGCAAAATGAAAAGCTTGTCTCACAGGTTTCGATACGACTATTTTAATTATTTTTTTTAATAATGGCATTTTCTTTATATCAGATAAATGAAAATGACCAATTGCACGAGAAAGAGATGGTCCAACTCTCTGAAAAATTCGCTAAGGAATATCGAGCGTTGGAGTTAAAGCTGGAGCAATTAAAATCAAGTTCAAATGTCGTCATTCCTGATAAGAAAATTGTGAAAAGTGAGAAGGATAGTAAGCCGATGGAAGCAGTGAAACCATTTGAGAAATCTGTTGTGAGTTGCACTAATTTATGAAAACAATTTTAGAAAAATTATTTGAGAGCGAACAAATGGAAATGGAAATTGCTAGTCCGGTACCGCCGCAATCGGCTCAAGAAGCCACTCTAATGGTTGCGGAAACAGCAAAAACCGTTCTATATTGTATTTTTTTATAAATTGATTTGCAATAATTTATATTCTCTAGCGCTTCATACGTTTTTCAATTTAATGCAACAACGATCAGAAATGTATCCGTACGACGTCACTTTAGAAGTGTTACCAAAACATGTTGAAAAGGTATAATTTATCCTCAGATCATGATTATTTGAATATTTTCGTAGATTTCGTCGGAATATGCGCAATGCGCGAGACTGTTCCTCGAATCATCAGAGGTTGTTGACGAATTTTTGCAAAATTCAATTATCGAGGTATACGTTGAAAACTGGTCAATGATGGTGCAATGTGATCGTTTTTAGATCGATAATGATTTGCCTAAATTGATGTCGAAAATTGATTTAATTTCAAAGCACTGTAAACGATTGTTGCTCGACTTGGTTAAATTAATGAATATCGAAGAAAATAAGGCGAGGCAAATCCTACCATCGCAAAAACCGCGAGTCCTCGTGTAAATTATAGTTAGTATGATGTGATGACTATATGTATACGGATTCTACGCAGTACGACACACATTCATAGGGCTCCCTTATTTTGCGATGGCAATATCTATTTTATCAATTTTGGAATATTTCTTTAGGTCAATTGGTGCACAAAACCGCTAACTGAACTTAATGATGAATGGTTTAAATTAATGGATAGGTTATTTGCTTCCTTCGAAAATGTACATAGTGCCATGAGTATGTCGACGAGTTCCTTGATTGTTGAAGAACTTGGAAATTTCAGTGAGCTATGCGCAGGTTTGCGAATCCTTTTTATAGTATTCGGATTCCGGTTGTATTTTCAGAAATGTCCAGCACTTTTTCGCGGCGGTGGTTGCTAGAATCTCGACTTCCGACAACGACGAAACGACTAAGATGCATTGGATCCGCTCTGGAAAATTCTATTCGTCATTTGTCTTCTGAAGTAACAAAATTGCACGCCAGAGCATGTACTCTTCAAAAAATTACAGTATGTTTAACAACATTATCAAAAATTGTTTTTTTTGTTCATTATTTTCCTTCAGAAGCCAGCAGTTGCTGAGAACGACGAACCAAATGATTCTAATCCGTTTAACGATGACATTGAGAATGGAGTTGATGAAAAAACGATTACGGATGGAGTCGAGAGAATTGATAATGAAAATGCATTAAGCAATGATGAAAAACCACGGGAGGAGGTAGAACTAGGAAAAAAAAAGAACTTTAGTTGAACATTTAAGAATTCATCAAGGATGCGAACAAAATGTGAATTGGGTGAAGTTGTCGCTTGTACATCTTCCAATAATGATTATAATCAAACATTAGGTATCGAATATAGCGTTTTGAAATGCGAGGTTTGTTTAGATTTAGATTTCTGTTCAAATTTCCTACTATTTCAGGCTGAAATGTTACGTGAAAAAGTCAAAGAGCTTCAAGTTGAAAGAGATAAACATATTGTTGATTTTTCTCTTCTCAAAAGAAAAATTGAGCTGGCGAATGGAAATAAGACGTAAAAGTTTACCGGTTATCTCTAAATTTCTTGAAGATACAGAATTGACCTGTCCGAAATCGATAAATTCCGAGAAATTGGTAGAGAACGGACCACGGAATTGATGCAATTGGCTTTGAAGGCGGACCATGCAGCTCGATATTACAAGCAAGAGGTTTTAAATATTCGAATATTATATATAATTTTTTTTAATATTAGTGTGAAATGCTCATAACCATTCATTTGTCAATTGAAAAAGACCAAGAAAAGATTTTAAATGAAATGGAAACAATGCGACAACAAAAACGTGTGCTTGAGGTTCTATTAATAAAAAAACATGAAATTATGTTGTAATAATTTAGGAAGAAATAGAAAGCATTCGAAGAAGCTATGAAAATCAAATTCGAGAACTCAGCGATCATATTGCGAACATGGCGAAGGTCGCTGAAAATGAAAATGTTGACAATCAACAAGAAAGAAGCACAAAGGGGAGGTCAACTGTAAGTTTTGCTTTTCGAACACAAATTATTTGTGAAAATACTAAAAGAAAAAAGGGAAAGTATAAAAATGAAGGTTTAAAACGGGTAAGCTCAAAAAAAAACATCAAAATATCCTTGTTACTACATACTGGAAAGAAATCAAAAAACTTTTTTTTTCATTTCAGCTCAAATCATTCTTCAAATCATAATAATCAACACTGCTTTGTATATTGCCGAATTTCCCGATGATCACATGTTATTGCATCCGTATAATTATAATTTTTAAGTGTATTTATTAGTATATTTCGAAATTTATTGCATTATATCTACTTTCAGTTATTGGTCAGTTTGTGATTGATTGCAGTCTTCTGATTTTATTCATTGTGATATTTTGAGTCTTTGTTATCTGTGAAATGGTGCTTGTTTCAATAATTTATTTATCAATATCAATTGTATTCAATAAAGTTATGTTTCAGAAACATGCACAACTGATGATAACTCGTTGGCGGTAGGCACTCTGGTCTTCATAACCATTTGACATGTGAGAAATGATAAAAAATTACGCGCTTTTACTCTGAAATTCCGATATGTTGTGATTTTCTTTGGATTTAAACCTGAATTGGGTTATATGTAAAATACAAGATATTGGATAGAGCAAAGCAGACAAATTGAGTGGAATCATAATGTAATAACCATTTATGAGATAAGAAACGAGTAGTGTTAAAGCATTGAGAAATAAACTTTGCAAACACTGAAAAAAAATTGGTCTGCTATTTCCCATAATTTGTCTACTAATTATATACAAAATGTATAAATTAAAAACAATTTTCATAGTCAATCACCTCAATTCAATTACCTGCAATAACTGCTAATTAGTATGTAACTAACTAATTTTTTTTCAATAAATAATTAATTTTTGAATTCTCGTGGGTGTTCTTGCGAGGTTTTCTTACCAAATTAAACAGAAGTATTGAGATTTCGGCACTCTCATGGCGACATTCTGCATCTTCAGCTAATCGGAACTTCCAAGATGCTGATTTGATAGGAATTCGTGTAAGTTTTACAAATAGCAACTGAAAGGTTTCCAGGCAGATTAAAACAAATGGAATAAATTCAGTTTTCTGAAAGCAAGATTTTTTTCTAGAAAACGTTTATTTTTGCCGCGAAAAAACCTTTTGCAATGGGAAGAAACATTTTGACGCGTCATGCATATATGAAAAATTGTAAAATTTTTGCTTGACATCGTTAAAATAAATAAGAAAATTATTTTCAGGATAAAACAGTAAAATTGTAATTGATGCCGCAAGAAAACCGAAAACTACACATGGAATTATGTGTATCCACATTTTGAAGCCTTCGTAAGAATTCAATCTGAAAATGGGCTATATAAAGGCTTTGAAAACTAGCTAGTTTAGTTGTTTACAGTGGAACTATATGAGAATTTTCTAAAAATATATATATCTAGAAAAATGGTTTTCACCTTAGCAATCGATATATGGTTACAAAAGTAGGGGTAAAATGATGAATAATAGTGAGAACTATAAGGAAGTAATGCCCTGCTATTGTGGTGGTTTGCAAGAAGCAGCGTGAAGCCTCAGGGAATTCGATGATAATCTGGTTCCCGATTTTCAAATATATCTAAAAAAAACGAATTGTTTCTATAATTGGTAATTATGTTTTCAGGCGTATTTTACCGGTTTGAAGTGCATTGTGAAAATTCCAATAAATGCGTTTACGAAACTTATAAAAATGTACATTGTGTTGTACTGAAAACATTGTGCATTTATCACTATGGAAATTATGAATTGAAATTTTAATATCTAGCATTATTTTAAATTATTAATTTCCTACGTTTCTATTCATGAACTTACGTATTTTTTGTTGTCATCTTTTGTCCAATTTCCAGGACTTGCAAGAATCACAAATGTGTTGAGAATAATTGAAGTCATTGCGAATATAGAAGTCATATTTCCAGTGGGAACCATTATTTGGTTGAATGTCGATCGAGGCGAATACGAATGAAATATTCGCCGCTAATTGAAATATACTGGAGCAAAATTATTTATGAACAACAAAGCAGTCGGAAATGGTGAGAAAACAACCCGTAGAGAAAGATGATGTTGATAAACGGACAACGCGTTGAGCACAAGAAGCGGAAAGATGAAAAGGGGCGGGGCAAGAGTAAAGGGAGGGGGCGTGGCGAAATGGCGATGAACAGAATGATAGAAAACAAGCACCAAATTGAGCAAAAAATAGGAAACAAACCTAGTAAAATTCTAAAAAAACACATTTTTCTAAAATGAAATAATTGAATTAATATAGTTGATTGCGATTCGCTATCCACTAGACCTTTCTTTTGAAGGTATTGGAATCATATCAGTTTCCTTTGACTCTGAAAATCTATTAATGAGATTAATGCGATAATCACGATTGAATGGTTTTTCGAAAAACCAATTAGAATTAGCAACGAGCACCGATGAAGCGTAAATGGAAAATCATAGGTTGAATAATCAAAATGGCATGTGTCGAAATCGCGCGAGTGCGAAAAATTGGCCAAGTGCAAAAAAAAAATTATGGCGCGAAACGTTGCATATTGAATTTTGACCGCATATTTGTTTAGAATTTAGCCAATTTTCAGCGATTCCGACAATAGATATTCATTTGTTCTTGAACGTCTTGCGGTTTAATTAGCTTGAAAAATCATTCCAACTTTCTTACATTATCGTGATCGTACCCTTATCATTTTCTATGATTAGTTGTTTTTCACTACTCGTGCTGGAAAAGCTTGAATTCTGTGTGATTTCAGCGCTCTTTTCATTCGACTTCTCATCGTTTTCATCGTCTTTTTTCGTATTTCCCACCTGAATACGAAAGAGATTGAGACTGCCACTAAAAGAAAAACAGAAATTACCGTTAGGAGAAGGGCTGGAAGGAAAATGATTCCGTGAAGAATTCCGAGAACTGTCACTAAGAATATCGTCTTTACGAATACGGTAACCATGTAGCTGTCATTCAGCAGCAAAGGCGCCATACAAAGAAGAGTCGAAGAAGCTGCCTGGATCATGGGCCATCCGATACCTTTAAGCGCATCAGCCAGTCTTTCATCAGTGGTCCAAGAGACAGGATTACGGTAATAATGATAACTGATATGTGCTGAAACCAAATTTTTCGAATTTTTGAGTGATTAACCTGACGAACCAGTAAAATCCACAGAGAATCCGATACTCATCAAGGTGGTGCACATTGTGATTGGATCAAGATTGACATTCCAGACAGAAAGAAGGCCGAATACACCCAAATTGATTGAAAGCATTGCGATGGAACTGAAAAAAAAACTACGTTGTTTCGATATAGTTTCGAAAATTGATAGAAAACCTTGAAATAATCGAATTTGCACTAGGGATCATCAAGAAACAAGCAAGATCCATTGTGATGGCCGCAACAATTACCGTCGACATGGTCGTACTACCAATCGAATCAAGTTGATCAATGTAGAAGGAATATGCCTATAATAATATTCATCATGATAATTGGAAATGACAAGGATACCTGGAAGACAGTAACATTGAAATGATTGTATTCGTGCGCAACGCCTCTCCATTGCTTTTGAAGCTTCTCGCGTGTTCCCCAATTGGCGTCTTTGCCCATTGCACAGGCTGTTGCGAACATGAATTTGTCGATTCCTAGAAGAAATATTCAAAACCTCAAAAAATAGAATTAATCATGAAAGTCACTAACCAATAGTCGTTCCATTCTCATTTTTCTTCAACCTCAACATATCATTCCATCTCATTCCTCCATTCTCAGGATCTTCAAGCCATTGATCGAGAATCTCATAAAACCCTTCCTTGTTATTATATAATGAGCTTTGATAAAGGAATGATCGAAGCCAAATCGATGTGGAATTCTTTCCCATTGAATACGGAAGATTCTCAAACCGATTCACAAGTTCCAATACTTCGTGCTGATTGACTTCATTGCTCAAATCTGGCGGATCGTTGACGAAGACAAGTACCTGAAAAGAAATTCTAGTTTGAGAATTAATCTCGAAACAATTACGAGCTGTCCTTCGCTCCACAAATAGGTTTCATAAATATAAGCAATATTATGCAATGGACTGTTCTTCATTATTAAATTCGTCGTGTCCATTTTGATTTCCATGTGCTGACATCCCCAAATACTCGCTGTCCAGTAAACGCAAAGGATAACTAGAAGACCAAGGCGCGTCTTCAAAAAAGAAATAAGAAAGTAGAACGAAATTGACGAAAATTACCCTCCAATCCTTCAAAAATCGGCAATAAGTGGATACGATACCATGGGGATTCGCTGGCGGTGGATGAGTTCCTGTGGTATAACGAATTGAGTGTTGAATGGCAAGCTGAAAATCAGTTGGGAGGAGATTCGATAGAATTCGTCGTCGTCGATAAAATTGTTACCACTTGTTTTTTATTATTCTGTTGAGCTTCTTCTATCGGCCGCTTCTCGCGGTTCTTCTCTAATCGTTTTTCTTCATAAACCAAAACGGCAACAAAGAATGTTAGCTAAATTTCGAAATTGGAACTATTAATTCTGAGTTTGCTTATTTTACCTGATAAATGAAATCAACAGCAACAGCAACACACGTGTACAGACAGAAGAGGGCAATTGCAGGAGTAGGAGTGAGAATCCCAATTCCGAATGATAAAATATTAGTGGCCGAAGTAACTGTAATCGATGGTCCCGCTTCTTCCATTGTTTCGGCTAAAATCAATCACAATTTTCATTGAAAAAAAACAGGATATTTATGGAACCAATTTGATGTTCCAATGACTTCGTTTTGTCAGTTTTTCTCATCGCATGAATGATAATAAAAACATCGTCGCAACCGACTCCGATGATCAAAAATGGCATGACAAGTGTGATCGAATTGAAAGGGACGCCGAACAAAAGCATGAAGCCGAAGCTGAAAAAAAGTAGATGCGATTAAAATCGAGACGAGAATTTGATATGATATACGTTGTTCCGATCGCCATAAGTGGACCAGCAATTCCGAGAATCGACATCACTATCGAATGAGATATGACAAAGTGCTCGCGTTTGTTGGTGACGAATATGAAGACGACAACGAAAATGACGGAAAATGAGAAATATGGAATGCACGAGAGTCCATTGGAACGAACCTGAATTTCAAGAAATGTTAAAAAAAAAAGAAAAAAATTGAAATTGTGGATAAGTTTTCAAATACCAAACAATGTTTTGAAATGCGCCGAAGAGTCAAATTTCAGAAAATACTATAAATGCCTAAATGATACTTCACGATCACGTTCAGAATTTTAAGAAAACAATTCGACCACTTGTTTTTTCTTCAAACTACATTTTTATATTCATAATTGCTCACTTCTTTCGCGATCATCGCATCGCTATTAATTGTCATATTAAGTGTTGGATGTTGGAAATGTTCAGCATAATCAAAAAGACTTCTCTCCCATCTGTAAACAAATTGCGCAATTTTCGCTGATTTTCGCACGTCGTCGAAACCTGTCAATAAGTGCCGATACTTGTGGCGATTGGCGATCAGTTCGGAAGTAGAGAACGACGACTTTCACCCGTGAAATGCTGAAATCGCATTCCGATTCAATTCCGAGCAATTCACTTACACTTGTGTGTTCGGATCGATTTTGACACCAGCGAAATGTTCGCCAACATAATATTCGTCATTGTACAAATGCATTGTTGGATAAGTAAGTCGAAAATTGGGATGAAGACGAGAAGATGCGTTACGGTAGATCAAGTTGAAGAGAGGAATCACCTATAATTGAATAGTTATATGGAAGAAGATGTTCGATTCAACTCGCTTGATTGTCATTGCACTGCCCTGAGCACAAATCTTGGAATGAGCACTCTTTTTTCGATTTATATCCATCGCATTCTACAGTAAAATTGTACTGTAAATATTCGGTCAAAGAGTCGACATTGTCTAAATAATCTCTCCGTAGAAGATTATCCATATCTTTTGCAGTTATCGTCACCTGAAACATTTACATTCGGAATGAATTCTTTTTTCGAGAGAGATTCGTGAACACCTGTATGTATATCTTCAAGATTTTTTGAGAGATAGTTTTCATTAGAATAAGTGATTCTTTTTCCTCACCACTTAGGCTTTTAAGAACAATGAAAAACATATAGTGAAAGTCTTTACATATGTATATTTGTTGTGTCCCTGTGTTGAAAATAAATCATATTCACTGCTATTCAACATTACTTCATCGGCTTTCGATATGTGTTTGACGATCGTGAAACTGGATAAAGATCCCGAAGATTTTCGCTTTTTTTCTCGCTTGATTGTCTTCGACGTTAACTTGCGCAATTTCGATTCAGTCCATTGGCAGAAAAGGTGCGTGTGTTTGCGTGTTCCGCCGAAGCAGACAAAAAAAAATCCGAAAACCTGATTTTTGCGGTGATGTCAAGATTAGCGAGATTATGTCGAGCGGAACATAAGCGCGCTTTTCTTCAAAACCGCTTACAAGTTTAATTACAGTTATTCAAGAAAAGTGGTTCTTTTTGAATCGGGAACCGATATTTCCAGGGTTGTCGTGAGACACCATTCATTTTACGATGGTCAATGCAAATAAGAAACAAAAAATGACGCCAATGTACAGAACCTGACTTGGGTTTCGTTCGAAACATTGTAGTTGGATTAGTGAAAGTTTTTCGCTAAATGTGAGTTTCAGATTTGCCGAAAAAACCGCGAAATGTTTATACGCAAAGGAGTTTGTCATTGGCATTTGGATATGACCATAATAGGATTGTTCCGAATCATATGTTTCTGATACTTCATTCATCATCGCCAATAGACCAGGTTTGTGGCATATAAATTATAGCAATGAAATCAATCTATCAGGTTTCCAATTCGATACTACCTATTCTATGAATCATAATCATCACGTGAAGCTCAATCTTAGCATCTGATCACATCCTCAAAAAAAAAACTTTTATGGGCCCATTCAGTCATAAAAAATGTTTAAATTTACACTTTTTAAACGCAGGAATTAAAAAAAATGCAAATTAAATGTACGTTTTTACATTTTTAAAAAGTTTATTTCACGATAGATCCATGAAATTTAGCACTACTATTCTTTAATTCAGAAATTTAAAATAAAAATCTGAAATTTCAGCGTTGTCTATTCACCATTGTTCGAAAAAAACCACGAATTTGCTTGATTTGAATTTTCTCATTTTAGAAGAATTTTCGAGAAGTATGTCGTCGGATTCGCTCGACCCTCAATAAACTTTGCATTCAAATGGGCACGCTGACTAATCGAATTGAATTCGAAAAATTCGGCGGCACTCAAATAATGTGCGTCTGTCAGTTAACCTGTGAGGTGGGGGCTGCATTGGAGAAGCCAAAGCGACCGACAAGCAAGCCAAAAAACACGTTTGCCGATTGCGTATAGTGCGCGGATGGCGCGAACCAAAAGCAGGTATCAATGCAATTAGCCGGCGAGAGACAACGGAGACCAATGAGACGCAGTGAAAGGCCAAGTTTATTGAAGAGCGATGCCAAAAATCGCGCGATATCAAATATCAAACCAAGATGATTTTTTTCTGTTCGAATTCAAATGAGATTTACCTCAAGCCAAAACTTTCCGCCGCGATCGTTGAAAAACTCATTGGCGACAGCGTGCTCGTAATGCGAATCCGCTCCACTTGGACTGAATTTCATGGAATATCAATTCGAGTCTTAATTTCTATTGGTACCTGTACAAATACCATATTCGATTTTCTTCATAGAATCGCAAAAGACCAAAAGCAGCGAACACCGATAAAGCGACCGGAATCCAGAAAAATGGTGCCGGGTGCCTGTAATTACGAGTTGAGATGGCAATAAACAGAAGCCAGTCTCACCTGTAGACGAGAATTCCAGTTTCGCGGAAGAACTCACGAATCTTCAATGAGAGCACATGTCCGGGTGACTTCATCGGCAGTGTGTGTGTGCGTGTTTCCCTCTGTAAAGCCGATTTGTATCTTTATTATATCCGCGGCGGGAATATGCCAAATAATTGTAATCGACAGAACGCAGATTTCCATATGCTTGACTGTCTTCTGACAAATAAACCAACAAGCATTATTGTAAAGGGATTAAGGGAAAAAAACATGAAGGAGGAAGAGGAGGAGTCTCTGAAAACAGCGTGATTCTTGATGACGATTACAAAAATTGTCTAGTTGAACGTGAGGGAGGATGAATAAAAAAGATTAGTTTAAACAATTATTTTTACAGATTTCGTTTGAGATTTAAAGTGAACAGTTTGTAGGTGGGTAGGATTTAGAAGCAGTTTGTCAGCTATAGAATACAATCCTTTTTTGGAATATTGGAAAATACGAAAAAAAAAAACAAAGAAATTTTGAAAGTTTCCTTTTTGAATATTATAAAAAAAAGCGTATAGTGTTGTTTTCTGAAATCGTGTTTTAAAACTTGAGTAAGTGTAAGGTTTGTCGATTCCATTTTATGGCAATAATAGAGCAAAAAAAAACTGCATTCACTCATATTCAAATTATTTGAAAAGATTTTACAAAATCAAATCAGAAATTTATAATAAAATTCAAAAATTAAATTTTAAGGAAACGATTTGATGATGATGAAGATGATCAACGGTACACCGTCTCGGGCCGCCAAAAAATGTGGGCAGCTTTTGGCCACGGCTTCTTCCCTCCCACATTTTCGTCTTGATCCATCCAGCCTGTTACGTATTAGACTACTGCGCATACATTGTCGCCCTCTTTTCTGTGTGTGTATGTGTTTCTTGCTTGTGATGCGCCAACGACAAGTCGTTTTTTTGCATACCATTGTCTGCAAGTGAAATTTCATTTTTTTCGCAGTACATAAAGGCATTTGGGAGAAACATTGACGAAGCATACGATAATAACAAACTGAAAGCATGAATGGTAATAATGTTATTATTTTTTGTTTCAGATTGAACGAATGATGGTAAAATTAATCACAAAATTATCATAGTTTCGATAAGCATTACGGGGAAAGATAGTTGTGTGGCTGATCTGAATCATTTTGAACTTCAAATATGAGATCACCCTATTTCCAAGCAATTCGAAAGTTTTATCAGATTGTCAAGAAAGTTATTTGATTTGCGGTCTAAAGATATTTTTGGAATTTTCCCGCAAATGTTTTTTCTTTCTATTTTTGGTATTTGATCTTGATTTATTAACATTCGAGGTTTATAAAGTCATAAAAAATTGAAATAAATGGTAACGCGCGAAAATGCGCGTAAACACCGAGACCCAAAAAATCACGAAAAATCATCCTAAAAATACCCAGCTCATTTGAATTTTTTTTTATTAATTTTTTTTCGTAGCAAAGTTGAAACTAAAGAAAAAATTCTGGTCTCATACTACTATTTGACCCCTACATAATTATTAGCAGCTTCAACGGCACATCGAGTTTGGGGGGGGGGGTTTTAAAGGTCCTGGAATTTTTATGATCAGAGACGTGAATCAAAAAAAATAATAGAGTAACAGTCAAATTTGCTCGAAAAATATTCAAAAAAGAAAAGAAAAAGATGTTATGCCTTTTATTTTATTTATAGTTAGCGTCGACTGCTCTACGCGGGTAGATTTACATGAATGCGCCTTAGCTACGGTCTCGCACAGATTAATTCGTTATTTTGCATTTTAGAGATCCTTCCTTTAATTTTTAATTTCATTGATATTAATTATTCCAACAAATGATAGACTCATCAAGAAAAATTAAACAGTTTATATTTTTCATTTATTTGTTCCAACAGCATTCATCAATAAATAGATATTAACACTTAAATCTTTTTATTTTATTATTTTATTGTTTTTTTTTTCAGCCCCCAACTTATAACTTACGACTACAACTTACTTGTTAGATTTTACATTTATTTATGTAGCGGTAGCTAACGTGAGAAAAGTATAACACAAGACGAAAAACGAAAAAAAAAACGAAAATATACCAACTTTTTATTGATTGATTATCAAAAATAAAAGACGCTATGTTCTATTCGAATAAAAAAAATCAAGGACGCAAATCTAGCAAACTAGGTTTTTCTCTAAGTGAAATGCTTTTACTTATATAAAAATTTTTATTTTGGTTTTATTTGCATAACGAGGGAAGAAACCTAGAATTTAAGATAAAACCCTTATTTTTATTTTATTTTATTGAATTGCTCTTCGACTTCTTAAAAAGAAGGATTCATGTAGATAATAACACGTTCTCTAGGTGTATCTCATGCTCGTTTTTCATTGAACCAAATTCGTAAGCTCAAATCCCAGTTTCTGGCTGACATTTTTTTTGAAAAACGAGCAACTTCGTTTATTTGTTATTTAAAAATCACTTGCAGGTTATCCATAGGAATTCGCACAATAACATATTTTAATTACTGATGTCGATTTCTAATTTGAGACACCCATGGGGCATAAATTGACATTTTCAAAACTCCTTTCATATTTCTTGAGAAATTGCTTGTCCCAAAAGAGCATAGCAGGCATTGTCTCGAGTATGTATTAATTAAATCTTCTATAAATCATACATGTCTCCATATTTCCATAAACAAAGTAAAAAAAAATTTCTCCCCGACGCAAAAGAATTATACCATAGGTGTATAATTGGCATTAATTTCTTCAATTGCTGCATTCATTCAATTATTTCAATAAATGACTTCTCGATTGTATATGAATCGAAGTGAAAATCTTTTGTTTTTTTTTTCTAATAGGGCACATAGAAGATTCCCAGAAAATTGCATATATGGGCGGGATGTAACGAATTACCAACTTTTTATTCGGTAGACACTGCAAGCGATAAAAAATTGTTAAAAAGTGAACAAATGCATAATTTTATAGTCTAAACCAAGTTTCATCTACTTTTTAATTATTTCTTTGTCTTTCTGCGGGTGGCTGTGAATTTTACTTTGTTGATTTACTACAGTAAAACTCTTACAAAGGAAGTCATTTTACCTCCCGTCTTAGGATTTTTTGTAATTTTTGCACACGTAAACTAGAAGGTCTTCTTAGTACGTTCACAAAATTTGGGGGTTACAAGATGACTTCCCTTGTTAAGGCTAGTAAAACATTCAAAATCTCAATTTTTGTGTGCTCCACATATAGCTTTTCAGTTTTGTGGTTTTGTGGTTTTGGAAGTTTTTTTATATGATAGCAAATTTTATTAATGATCCTATATTTTCTCCTAGATGAATCCATATCCGATTCCTGTGGACATATTATGTATCCGCCGTATTTCACCTCTGTAATAACTTTAAAAAAATCTTCATAGTGGTGAAATGAAAATATATTCTATTTTTAATCACCCACACGTTTTTTTCAAATAAACTCTCGTATATTTGAACCATTTTTTGAACCCAAATAAGATAACAATATTATTGGTGTGAAACATCTAATTCAACCTCTTTGATTATTTTTTTTGAATACCGATAAATTTTTACTTTTATTCATTGCTCAAAGTATATCCTGAGTTGAACTGAATTACTTGATAATTACCATCATAGGGTCTTTTCTTTGATTATCACCTTCCAAAACACTAATTTTCTTGTCCAAAATTGGTATTCTTCATTTCCCCTCTTGTCCCCATTCTTTCATGACAAAAATATGAGATTTTTTTTATTCTTTGATTGTTTTTTTTCGGAATATTTATATATATATATATATATATATATGGTTTTTCTGTTTATTGCTCAATTTGCGATTCGATTCGACTAATCTCATTCAGATATCACGCGTTTCCTGCCAATTCTTTTGGAAGAATCATTCAAAACAAAAAAATGCAGCGTATTTGGGAAGAGAATTCCTCAATGTTTTTCGGGGTGATGTATATTACATTATCTTCTGTAATTTTGCTATCTGAAAGCATTTGTGTATACGTGAGATCAATCGAATCATTTCCAAATTCAGCGCATTCTTTCAGACGATTTTTCAAATGATCAAATCTGATCAAAATATCACCTATCGGATAATGATAATCAATAGCTTTTTTGTTGTCGGACAAGCTGTTTCGTTTCTTAGTTTCGCCATTTTTATTTTTATTCCGCCAATTGCTCAATGGGAATCTCTTACTACGGTAAGATTCTTTACATATTGATTCGAGTAAAAAGATGAACTCAAAATATTGCTAATTCAACAATACAAAAAGAATGTGTGAGTATCTCAAATAGCATTTGAGATTTTCACATTCGAGCATAAAAAGCAAATGTAAGATCCACCGTATAATTTTTTTGAGGACGGACCAATTTAAGGGTGTGCTGCTTATTTTTCAAATTTTGGATATATATTTTCATGATCTTATATTTTTCATTCATTTTAAGGCTTAAACATCGCCGGTGGTCAAGTTAAGACAGGGAGGCCTGTTTTTTTTTGAAAACCCTGTCGATTCCGATTATGCGTAGGTGTATTTCGGATCTGCTCTAAGCCTGCCTCAAAATAGACCTGGGATTTTCGTGGGCGAAATAGCAAACACAGCATATATGCTATGCTTTTTGTTTTATTTAATATATGCGTTTATATTTATTGTAATCGATAAAAAAAAGAAAATTTATAAAAGCAAAACTAAAAAAAATTAAAAATGAAAAGAAAAGATAATATTTAAACGCTGAAAAATCGTTATGTGAAATCGTAATAATGTGCTTCTTGCATAGATCGTTCTTGAAGAACTTAGTTTCTTTCATCTTCGTTGGCGCAAGTATTCGCTTAAAAATGAATTATAGTTGTCTTTTAAATACTGCGATTTGATACATCTCAATATCGATGGTTGGAATGAAACAGAAAATAGAGAAAAGCTGAATAAAATATCAGAAAATGTTCATAGTGGATTTTTTATTGTCATATTTTCATGTTAAACCTAAAATTTTAGTTGCTTCAGATGCGGTATAATAATAATGTGTATAGAATTCACACTATCACAGCTCAAAATTCCAAAAATACCCAACTTATTAGA